TAGACTATAGTATACTTCTAGCCTATAACCCCCCAATTGCTTCTAGCTATATTAATAAGTTAAATTGAAGTTTTAAGCCATTTCACTTAAGCCTAATATTGACCTAGAACCTATAGGCTTTTTTTAGGAAGAACCCCACCTATACTTGCCTAGACTGTGGGTTGGTGGGTTAAGCCTAGAGGAACCTACTATGTTTGGGTACCCGCCTACACCAGCCCGCGGTCCAACGGGCTCGACCCGTTCGGGTACCCGTGGGCTTTTCCCTAGCCTACCTTCCCCGGCATCTAGGTACACTCTCTCTTTTGCTCGCAGCCCTTCCTCACCTTTTTTTTTCATCCCTCGTCTTTATTTTGTCGGTAGAGATGGCGTCCTGCTCTCCTTTTGAGGATTACCAAGTCGATCAGGTTTTAACCTTAAGCGTCATTCAAAAACGCGGCGAAATCGTACAATCGACCTCGACGGTTCGTGCACGAATTCGGCAGCTCCAGAGTTTCCGCACGCTTTCTTGCTGCGTGATTGTGGACCTACTGGGCGAAAGCTGTCCCGAAAATCCGGTGTTCCTAAAGCTTTACGACAGGCGCTTCTCCGAGCAACTTCGGCGCGATCACGGAATCGACCAGTGGACCGTAGATGTGGAAAAGGAGTACATCAAGGCCGTCCGGACGGGCGCAGCGCGCCAATTTCTTCGCAGCCTCCAGACCATTCCTAACTTTGAGGAGGAGACGGGGGAGACTTGGGACGACGGCGACATCGAGACATTCCTAACTGACCAAGCTCACAAACTGTTCGAGGCCGAGATCACCGTGTACGATACACTTCGTGGCATCCAGGGAAAGATGGTTCCCCGCCTTGTAGCACCCGTCCATCTCGACCTCTCCCTCCAAAACGACGGCATCGGCCACACCGACGACGCGGAACTGCTCCACATCAAAGGAATATTGCTTCAGTACATTGACGGTTTCTCCCTATCGAAGGTGCAAGATCACGCACCAAAATCTGAATGGCAAGGCATCGTTGATCAAGCGGTCGCCATCGTCCAGGTGCTCGGCGACCACGGCGTCCTTAATAGAGATGTGCGACCCGACAACTTTATCGTCCAGCGTGACGAGGTGGATAGTTATCGGGTGTTCATGATTGACTTTGGCTGGCTCGATTGCGAGGCTCGAACGAGTCGGACCGCGATTGGGCCAAGGCTAAGTTGGAAAAGGACGAGGAGGGAGCGGTCGGCTGGTGATGAAGAAGCGGCTTGCCAGAGAAGGATTTGAGCTCCGATTCGAGAATTCCGATAGGTACATGGAATGGGCTGGGGAAGATGACGAATGATTGTATCTGTCCGGCCAGAGTAAATTGAACCATCGGACTCGAAGGACTCGGGCGCGAAACCGGAGGTCGAGACTGCTAAGTCTGGAACGGCATCTCTCCTTCTAGCTGTCCCCACTTGCGTGTAACCAATATCATACCATAACTAAAGACCTATCGACGTTGTATGGCAAACAGATGTTGAGCAAGTGGGAGACGGATTAGAATCGTCGCCGTCTAGCTCCTGCGTGTGTGCCCGAAACTCGGTGCTGAAACTATCCCTGGCGCCTGAGGTTTGGTCTATTTCTTGTTCGATGGAGATGATCATTCTAGAACCGTGGCCTTCTTCCTTAGTGCCACTGTTAGCTGATTCCCCCGAATCCGAATGGACCATCCCTAATGGATAAATGCCCCGGTAATGCCCATGGGATCAAACCTTGAAGGTATTCTCGAAGAAGATGGACTTGAGCTGTGAGCACACTACTATCAGAACGGAGGCTTGAAGAGAACAGGTATCCGGCCCAGCATCGAGCAAGCCAATGCCAACTGCATTACTTCTCTATTGTCTTCATGCGGGCTAAGTCACAAGAGATCTAGCTTATTCCCTTGACACGAACATGAACCTAAACAGGAAAGCGACTATCCGGTGAGATCCGTGAAACTGATCGTCGTGACGCCAATGGTCTTGCCATCGGCCAGACAAAAGCAGCGCAAAACGCCTTCTTCAGCTCTAAAATCTACGCCGACTTCGTAATCGAGCTTGTATTCAATGCGACCCCGCACCGTCCTCTTCTCGAACCTGGTCATGTCGACATTCGTAAAATCCACAGTAATAGTGCCGATGTGCTCCATTCCTATAGGAGTGTCAGTCAGCCCGTGCCCAACCTGGGCAGATCTAGCCCAGCATACCAGGGTCGTCGAAACGTTCAGGCGCTAAGTCAAGGTTGCAAGAGTACAGAGTACTGTCGAAGACGTATGAGTCACCCGGTGACCAGGTTGTTCATACCGAGACCGTTCGGTACGTCGAATCGGAAAGTTCTGCGCCCTATGCTCAAGCTGTTACCTGTTGTCCTCAAAAGTATGAGTCTAACGGCGAGAGATTTGAGGCAATGGCCTATCACAAACCTTCCGTATCAGCCAGTCCACACGGCCACGACAATATGTTTTACCCCAGTCAATGTAGGCATGTTCCTCACTGTCAATACCCGGCCGAAAGAGCAGATCGCAACGGAAACCATAATGGCGACGGCAGATGACCATGTGCGGCATCGCTCCCTCAAGACCCCTGATAGCAGCACCACGAACGACAGCAGCTTGGCTATCATTACAGTTAGTGCCAGATACAAGTCACGATATCCCTCACGGGCTGTTGAGTTCGTTTTGTTGTTGACTTTGGGGCTTTGGACGTAAGGAAGAGGTAAGGGACTCGGACGGATTATGGACATTACCAGAAGGTTGGACGGATGCATTTGATTCCGTCGTTGGAGGCGCACCAGGCGTCCAGTTTCCGCTTAAGGTAGTCCGAGTTTCCAAAGCCACCAACCAGGACTATCGTCTACAGGGCCGTCAGTTTATATGGTTATCTAGACTTTGTTTACAAAACCAGTGGGTTCGCGAGCGAGACTTACATTGATTCGCTTGCCCTTGGTGCGCGAAATGTGCTCAACCTGGTGACCGAGGAGACGAAGGATATCCTGGACGACGGGGTCAGAGATCCCCTCCATGTCTTGTCTAAGGCAGACGATCAATGTCAGTGACCTGTCATGCCAGTCGCTTTTGATGGTCGAGGCGTAGTACTCACTTCGTTAGGATAACAGCTGCCTCATCCTGATCGTAGTGCTCCGGGTCCAACTCGCCCTGCATGCTGATAGGATGAATGTCATACGAATCGTTTTCAGAGCTGCCAAAGCTCTGCTTTGCCTTCTCAAACGATGCCATGAACTCGCTTCCAGGACCTCTCCGCCTAGACGGGACATTTTCGAAAGACGACTCGAATCTTCTGGTCATCAGCGAGATAAAGTTCCGATCAATATAGGTAGATCCGCACTTTCCACCTGACGACGTGCATTAGCGAGGTGGTTCCATCTGGTGACCACAGAAGGCAGAGAAGCTAAGAAGCACCATACCGATCCCGACACAAAGCTCATCAAACTCAATTGATGGAAACGTTCTTCGAATCGTATATGTCATGATATCCTGAGTAGTCCATCAGTTCTAGCCATGACGACAACCTTGACCTTCTTGCGGCCGACGAAGCTTACCACCGTTCCCCCTCCACAGTCGAGAATAAGGACATTTTCTCCAACCTGGCATAAAAATCAAGGTCAGATGACAGTGCAACAGTGCGCTCACATCACCTCCCTGGAACTGCTCTCACCTTTGCCGCATTCGTGGATCCCGGCCGAAGGTCTTTCCTTAGTGCTGCCACTGCTGCTGCTTCGGGTTCGGCGACGATCCGGATGGCATCGAAAGAACGGGAGCCGAAGCCAGCCGCCTTCGCCGCCTCCCACGTCGCTATCCGCGCCTGGTCAGTCCAGATAGCCGGTACCGTGAGGTAACACTCCATCGGTGTCATATCAAAAACCGCGGGGGTTATGCGCATTTTGAGGTTATCGACCACGAAACGGTACACTTCGGTAAGAAAGTCCTGGCACACGATCTGCGCATCTTTGCCTCGAGGGATATGGAACAGCGCCGAGCCAGTGGCGTCGCGCAATGATGGGTCGTCAAACTCGGCCGTTTCTGCCGACTTGTCCAGCAGCAGCTTCGTCCGAGAACACGACACCATGCCTGCGCGCACCTCATATCCCCAGTGATTGCGGCACGCACCTCGGTTCTCCGAGTTGTAGGCAATGACCGTGGGTGTCTTCCAATTGCCTTCAACCGGGCGCCCATCGCCAGGCCAGGTCCGGATAACGTCGATATCATCGATGCTTGTCTTGTCCGAGGTCACGTAACTCACTCCTGAATAAGGTTATTGAGTAGGCGGAGCGTGTCTGGTAAGTTATTAAACTGGGGCTTACCTGTGAACGTGGTGCCGTAGTCTACCCCAAGAATGATCTTCAGTCTACCCGCTGCAACTGCTTGCAATCGGGCGAATCAGCTACCATTTTGCAATACCGTTCACTACCGTAGGTTCTAGCCTGAGAACGGATATGGCAGGATTTCGTTGACGGTGTAGGCAGGGACAAAGCAGGACAGATATCTCTGCTTGGACAGAAGGACAAACGGACAAAGGGACGAATGGTGTTTGTGCGGTGTATGTGGGTAGGCTTCATGCAGATTAGATGCACGTTTGCTTTAGGGTGACGACGGTGAGAGTGACCCAATGTTGGAACGAATCTGTCGCAGCGGTTATCAGCCCGCAGCTATCCATAGCATAAGAACACCATCATTGGCCATGGATCGGAGAACGACTTGGACCGATAGATCAGGCTCGTCACGCCCTGTTGCCTCCCGCCTGGCAATGGATGATTTGGACAGAACCAAGTGAGTGGTACGGACGCAGGTAGTGCCGCTGTTGGGTGTTTACCTGCGCGCTGCGCACAAACTTTCTAACTCTTTCCCAAACACCATTAGGCTTCCCAAGTCCCCAACAGATTACAACCCTTCGCGTATTCTCGACGCAACATTTCCAAGGTGTCTAGGTCCCTTTGCTTGTCTAAAGTTCCCATCCAAGTCTTTGCTTTTCATTATAAGTGAATCAGTCAGTTGAGACAGGTCGTCGGAGATGGAAGACCAACTTGGGGACGAGTACTCTGCCACCTCACGCAGTTCCTGCCACTCATCTCCCGTCGGCAGATCCCAACGTCCCGGAAGTGCAAGTCTTGGCCTATTCCTGGGATGGTTTGGACTCGTGGGTGACCCACAAGCAGAAGCCGCTCAGAACGGTGCCTCGGTCGAAGTGTTGCAGCGCGAGGTCCGCGAGCTACGGAGCCGGGTCCGCAACGCACGCAACGAAGCCAAAGAAGCATGGAACAAAGTCGGCGCTGAACAGGATGTAAACCGGAAGCTCCGTCAAACCATCGAGGAATTAGAGTCCGAGCGCGACAGCTTGGGCCGCAGCGTGAAGGAGTTGGAGGCGCAGATCCGACAAGTCCAGGCGCTCGCTTTTGAAGGAATTGGAGACGACTCCTGGGCTGCGGGGGACGATAGCACGGCCCGTGTCGATCTAGAGAACCTGCATGGCCGCCTTAAGGCCTGGGCGAAGAAATATGCAATCGATGAAATGAGCGAGGTTCAGGGACTGGCCCCCGACCAGTTCCAATCCTTTATTCAGCTCCTAGCCCAGGTCGTCCGAAACCGTTTCGACGCGCCGAATGTCATCGAGAATTTCCAATCTGGACCCATGAATCGAAAGTCACCTGCCATATGCATTCAGGGGTTGCTGTCCCATCATGTGTATGTCAATATTGTTGGCCAACCATTCTTCGTTCTGGGCGAAACCGGCAAGGCGTTACAGAATGTATACCGAGCAATCTACCGAGGTAAGAAATCAGAGACAGGGAATTCCAACTTCGTTCTAGCGAACGCTGACGTCTACGAAGTCAACGGAAATGAGTCGCATGCATGGCGGTCTAGGACGCTTCGGCTCCTCGCTACACCTCCAGCCGACATGCAACAAGGGGACAAGCCGCACGACTATAGTGCATTCCAGAAAGCAATTTGCCACCAAGTCGCCGAAGAGTTCTTCAGTGGACCGGCCAAGCACCTGATCCAATCATCACACCGCGAGAGCAAAGACTCGGACGGGCAGTGTTTCAAGGACTTGGACTCGATCGTTCAGTATGCAGGGGACCTGTCCTACAGGTTGTGGACTCGTCGGACAGTGGTTCGTGTGGTGTCCTTGCCCGACCTTTGCAATATGCCCTTCAGAGGAAATTCCGACCTAATGAAGGCGCACCCCCTCCACCGACTGTATGAGGACGAAGACCGATGTGACGGCTGGCTGATTGGAGTCGTGGCGCACCCGGCTGTTCTCGCGGACGGGACCAGCGATGGGAAGGATTACAATACTGCTCGCGTGTGGATGAAGGTAGAGGTTTTGTTAGCTGAAGAATGAAGATGCTGGGGTCATGTCTGGGATAAAGTAGGCCACTCCGAGTCACCAAGCGAGGTACCGTATGGCCTTGCATGTTCCGCGCTCTTGGGAGGCTGAGGGTGCGATGCCAAATCCGTTCTGAAGGTAGCGAAGTTACTACGGCAAACACTTCCGATAAAGCTGATGTCTAATGACGGTCGGGAGACTTGCTACCAGTGGCCAGACAAGGGAGGCGTGCAGGTATGCCATCCACTGCATTATGCTGAATCGGGCAGGTCGAATCTATGTAGGTATACTGACAGCTCCCCCACTGCACAAGGTAAGCAGAGCAAGAAAGCAACTCCGATTAAGGTACTTCAAACTTGAAAAAACCCGGAGGGCAAGCATGGATCACTACCTTATCTTCACACTTTAACCCCGCGCACAAAATCGCCATGAAACTCATCAACAACCTCATAGCCATCCTCCTTGGCGGCACTACCCTCCATGCCTTCCTCTTTCCCGCCCCAGAATCGCCATATACGGTTCAGTGGACATCATTAGAGCTAGTCGACGCCCGCCGCCACGACCCATTCAATAGCTCCCACCCACGGCGTATCATGATCTCGCGCTTCACTCCAATCCCCAAGCACCATTGCACCGAGACCTGCATTGTACCTTACATGGATGACTTCATCGCATCCCAAGAGGACGCAATCCTACAGGGCTTCATCGGGAGCAGCGTCGTATGGCCAAAGAACATCCTCTCTAATCTCTCCCTCTCCCTTTGTTGTTCCGACAGAAGACGCACCTCTCACCACCCCTCCCCTCCTCCTCAGTCCTACCCGGTCCTCCTCCTCGGCACAGGTCTCAACACCACACGCCTCTTCTACTCCGCCACCGCCCAGCACCTCGCTAGCGCCGGCTTTGAGGTGATTGTAATGGACCACCCCTACGAGACAGACGTTGTCCAGTTCCCTTCGGACGGCACCGTCATATACGGCGGTCGCGTGCCCCGTGATCCCAACGCAACTGAACAGCTCAACTTCGCCCTCGACGTGCGGGCGCAGGACGCCTCGTTCGTGCTGGACACGCTTTTTCGCATTCCATGGTCTGAGTCGCGCAAAGTAGCCAAAGTTGGCTTTGTCGGGAGTTCGTTTGGTGGACCGGCGGCGGCGGTGGCCATGTATGCTGACAAGAGGATTGCGGCGGGGGTTAATCTGGATGGGTATATGTTTGGCAAGCCTGCGTTAGAGGAGGGTGCGCCTGGTCCGTTTTTGATACTGGGGTCGACTGGGCATAACTCGTCTAGTGATGACTCGTGGGCGAGGTTTTGGGATGCTACAATGGGTAATGATAAGAGGCTTCAAGTTCAAGGGGGTCGACAGAAATGGATGAAGGAGTTGACCGTGGTAGGCTCGACTCATGCAACGTACACGGATTCGTCTCTGATCGGGGACATATCTGGCCTGAGAGATAACCCGCAGTTGGTGGAATTGGTGTTTGGAGGGTTCACCGGGATGCGTGCCATGGAGATCATGGGGGAATATCTGTCGAACTTTTTCCGTTTTGCGCTGCAGGATGCTGGGGAGGAACTACTGGCTGGGCCGAGCTCCAAGTTCCCCGAGGTCCAGTTTGTTAGAACATTGGAGAAGGGAAGTGATCCACCATCCTAGGTGATTAGAAATCCTGATTACGAACTTTATTATACCTGACCCTGTCTAGCTACTGCCCGGCCTTGTCTGTTGTTGATAGAGATGGACACCTAGCATACCTATTAGAAGCTTGAATGGATGAAAAGATCATCATTCATCAATCGTTTCCATAACTGAGACCGACGTAGTGTTGTTGATCTGTGCCGGCAAGGCGAGATCTAAAATCGAATCCCGTATATGGACACCGCGACATACACTGGCAGCGAGGACCTAAATATAGCATCGTAGATAAGGTAGTCAGTGACTGGTCGGTCGCATCCGGAGGTAAAACTACCTCTCAAAACAAGAGAAGAATATGCCATACCTTATAGAAAACCTTTTCGACATCGCGAAAGTTGCGGAGGTCGCAGACCATATGGTTATCAACCCCAAGCATGTTGGCCACGGCTCCTGCATACTGGTACTTGGCCCAATCCGAGACCTCGGTTGTTAGCGACTTCTTTTGATCGGATTCTTCATCTCTAACACAGACTACAGCGAGCATTTGATTGGCACTACGGTAAGGCATCTTGCGTAGCCAGACCTCTTGCAGCTCGGTGAAGTCGGCGTGGCTTCCATCCTCGGCGCAAATTAAGACCACGTCGGCTCGCTTGTAAGTGCGCTGAAGAATTCCGCCATATTCCGCCATGCCGGTGGCATCTTCCAATAGAATCTGATGCGTTTGGCCCACGTACCTGAATTGTGTCAGCTGTGCCTACATGTAGGTAGTTGGAGGAGTGCAAGGGGCTGCCATACCGCATAGTTGTCTTGTAGCCTTCATACATATTTGTTGAAAGGAGCAAGTCGTCTGGCCTGGCAGTCGAATTCATGGCTGCATGGCACAGCTTGGTGACGGGAACACTTGGGCCCACCAATAAACATCTAGACAACTCCGTCAGTGTGGTCCCAGGGTAATGGACCGACTCTATAGTAGGTAGACATGGATGAACCAACCGAAGTGTCTGAACATGTGTATTGTAGGAGGCTACCATATCATCAGAGAAGAAAGAGGTCATAGTAAGTTGGGGCCCAAGAACGTTGATATCTCCAAGAGTGACTGGCAAGGCAAAGACTGAGGCGACGGATATGGCATTGAGGCTCAAGCCGGACAGCATCGTCCAAGCGTTGCTTTTCGCCACCGGACTCGTAAAGGATGCATCCATTCTCTTTGACTTCGTGCGGAGATAGACTCGAGATCTGTGTAGTTCCTTCTCAAAACTCGACTGGGGGAGAGGCCGGGCAGACCGGGTAGCAAGATTAGCGGTGAATGCCCTTAGACGGGAGCTCCCGCCCCAACTTCGAGGAGTATCGGATTGGTATATGGTGGACTGATCGTCGTCAAAGAACTTGACGGACCCTGCATCGTTGTTGTAGACGGCCTCCATGCGCATGAGGCGAGTTATAAGTTCGTTGTTTTCCCGCTGCAATGCATCTATCTTGACGGAGAGCTCATCTCGTGATGTCTGGGCATCGATGTCGGAGGCACTAGAGGCACGGAAATGAATTTTGAGTCGGAGTAATGGAAGAATTGGCATGCTGGGACCCTACCATTGTAGTACATTCAGCATCAGAACCATTACGCTTGATGCTTCTCCAGTATGTCGACCGAATGTTGTATCTTCTTCTCCGCCAGGTTCCAGCTTATCCGATTCAAAGGAGAGCCCATCACTCTCTTTAGCAAGGATTCAACCTTGGAAAGTGTGAGCACACATTGAGTGAACACAAGAACGAGATGATCCAGCCGTATCATGTCCCTTCGGTGCGAGGGCACCACGTCCAGTTTCTGAATGAGGATTCCAACCATATCGAGAGTACAACCCAGCTCGTTGACTTTGAGCAGGGCCGTGTGAGCCAGCTGCGGGGCATCGGCGACGCTGGAGATGAAGGCAGATAAAGGCTGCAAACCTTTCCGGCGGTTGCGAGAAGGCCGACGACGCCTGCTGCGATGCTCAGCCGGTCAGCCATTTCAACAGTTGCGTCGCACAACAGCAAGACAGGACACTCATCCAAGCAAGGCTCCGCAAAGCGCCATGGCGGTGAGTGAAGTGCAAATGGTGTGGGATGCGGAGGTGGACGAAAAATTAGCTGTCCAATATCGTCAATCAGCCGCAAGAAGGAGATGCAGTGGCGTTGCGCTCGGGTCGTGTTCCGGGGTCTCTGTCACAAGCGTGTTGTATGTATGTACTTGTACTGGGCAGTACATAATACGTGCAGGACCTGCAGATTGCGGCTGAAGATGCCTAGACCTCAAAGCCTCGCACCAAATTGCAAAAGGATGACCAGGCTGACTGGAAAGCCTCGATGGCGTCCCCTGAAACAACCAGGAACGCTAAAGCAGCAAGGCACTACTGCATTGTCAACCTGTGGCATCTCTGGAACGAACAGCACCAGTTTAGGACATGGAATCTCGCGGCGGAAACTCGGGTATTATCTTTGTTTTTTAATCTTGATCTATGCCTATTGGCCAGTTTGCAACCGAGCCCTTTACCTGGTCATGTTGAGCGAAAGGTTCGTGCAGTCGTATATGTTCCAGTTGTCTTTCATGTCAACATCTCACAAAGACAAGGCTCTTCCCCATTTACATGGCTGGTCGCTCCGGGTCCTGTATTCTCGCCAACTCCAACATTAGCCTGTATATATATACAGCTCTATCCTCGTCTCTCATTGCTCTCGCCGCCCACTCTCTGCCTCGTTCGGCCACGGTCTTTGCCCTCGCCCTTCCTTCCTCGGTTCCTGTCAGCCAAGACACCAACTCCGGCACTTCGCCGAGGTCTTGGCTGACGGGTATGTAGTGCACCCACGCGGCGAGCCGTTCGTCGTGCCACTCCCGAAACAGCGTCTGCTTCAGCACGGCAGACCTGGACGACAACAGTTTTACGAACCGCCCGCTGATGCCGTTGCCGTCCAGGTCGAATACCAGCTTGGATGCCAGTGCCGCGTCCTTGTCCGCTCTGGGCAGCACGTCAAAGTATTGTTTTTCAGAGTCGCATATGTCATCGCGGCATTGAAGGATTGTGGTAAATCCGACGTCGAAGAGGTCCCTGCCGAGAAGGGACGAGGCAGCGCGGTGGAAAACGCCGTCTTGTTTACGGAGATACCAGTACGTCTTCCCAGGCTCCAGGTCCTGCGCCAGCGCCACGAACCTATGTCTGTGATACTTCTTCCACTCATCGTCGTTGGCCGCCCATCCCCCGGTGGTGGACCCAGCCCAATAGAGGTTGTTAGCCTTCAGATCCCACTCCATGTCTCGCCCTTCGTCATACACGAACCCGTCCTCGGCGTAAGCAGGGCTCGGGAACAGCACGTCCGCCATGGTTGTCAGCGTCCCCGACGACAGCACCGGTACCGCCCCGTCCACAAGCAGGAACGTCGTCGGGCTCATTGCTATACCGTGCATGTCCCTGTACTCTGGGTGCCGGCACAAGTCCTTGTCTGCGTTCGTGTCCGTTACAAACGGCAGGCCGTGCGTGTTAATCCCACCGCGCGCGCCCTGCTTCTTTAGGGTTAGGGAACCGCTTTCAGGGGCACAGCCTCTCGTCAGGACATCCCAGACGGGCTTTCGAGAGAGGTTGGTCACTCGGACGCGTTCCCGTTCCTCGCCAGTTGACTCTGCCTCGGGGAGCATCACGCGCGGTTCATCGAGTGGGTTGACTAGAAACTCCACATCCGGTATTTTACCCGTCACACCCCCTAGCCACCTCAAGAGGGTTCCCTGTATCTGTGGATTGTTGCAACGCGTCTCTCCCGTCTCCCCCTTGAATTCACAGTGACACAACTTGCCATCCTTCGCGCCGATGGCCTGTGCCATAGCCTCTCTGACCTCCTGCCCGCTCATTTTCAGAAACGGCGCGATGGCCTGGTGTATCATGTCGAACTCGTCGATGATGGGAGACGCGTGAGCCACGGCAAAGTCATACCACGCTTCAAACCCGGAAGGGGGCTCCAGGTTGTACCGCCGCTGGTACTCGAGCACTGCGGCCATGTAGTTGAACGACTGCCGTCCCAGCATGGCGTCAAAATCTGCCTCGGCAGCGCGTGCCAGGACCTCGATGGGATGCTTTTCTGGTGGGAACAAGGTTCTCAACGCGCCGATGCCGCCCATGTTTACGATGAAGGCCATCAGGGGGAGGACACCAAGCGCCCAGAGTCTTGTTCTTGGCTTGCTCTCCTTTGGGACCATGTCGATGGTCTGGCCGAGGGAGAGGAGGGAGGCGACGAGGTGCGATGCGGCATACGCGTAGGACGACCGGTCACCCAGCGCTGAGCTGTAGGTGGATGTAATGGCAAAGGTACCTATGGTGCTGGAGACGCACCACGACGAGTCCCTTGTCTAGACACAATCTTCTCGTTGGCGTGCGTTCCATTCATATGCAATCGAGGAGGCAAAAGGGGCATGAAAACGTACCGCCTTCAAAGTAAAGAACCAGCTCAAGGCCTTGACCGATGCAACCATAACCACCCTGAACAAGGCTACCTGAAGCTCATGAGAAACTAGGAAGCGAACCCCCATGGCAATGGCCAGAATTGGCAGGATGCGGAGCCCCAACGAGAGCGCCATGTCTTCGACCTGACTACTCTCTGGGGCATCGCCACGTCCCTGCTGGCCGCCAGCATGTTCGGCATCCCCATCCACAGCGGACGCGGGGCTTGAAATGGCGAGGTAGCCTCCATACAGAAGAGCAACCACTGCGACACAGACAGCCAGGGATGGAAGGCTGATGCCGCTGGATCCCACGAGTATTACACAGGAAAAGGCGGCAATGAGACCGGAACTCCATCTAGCGGTTAGGGGCGGCGGAAAGACTCGCAAGCCGGTCTTGATAGAGGTGGTAACTGGGCCGACACCAGCGAGAAGGAGAAGGGGGGTCAATGCCGGCTAGGCAGCTCATTGTTAGTATGTATTATTCCATACGAGAGGAGAAAAGGAAGGGAGGGGGACTTACCCAGAGGACGATGATGCGCTCCTCGGCCCTGTACCAGCACGCGGCCCCAACGCCGAGGGCAAACAGCCATGCCTTGGTCGAGGGAACAGCACCCGAAGCCCTGCTTGCTGTGCCGAGGAGCGTCTTGCTCGTTGTTGCTCTGCTGACACTGCCATAGCGCCGGACGAGCAGAATCACAGCGGGCAGGGTGGCCCAGCAAACTACCTCCGATGGCAGCTCGACGTTCGGCGTGGTCAGGTACTGGACGAGGGCGGAGAAGAGCAGGGCCGCGCCGGCCGAGAACATGATTAGGGGCCGCCTTTAGCGTTTACGGAGGTGAGCGCACATCTCAAGCCGGAAGGTTAGGGCGGCTGACGGTAGGTCATGGAGAGCCCGCAGCTCCGTCGCGAACGTTGACTGTCGCAGAAAAACAAAACAAATGGAAGTCTAGAAACGCAAACCCCGCTGAAAGTTGAGAACTCGAGGGCCAGCGGACAACCGTTCCTCTAATAACAGACAGGGATAACATCAGGGCGGCGCCGCATTGTCACATTGTAATTTCAGCGCGCTTATAGTCGCTAGCTGATACGGGCTTGTCATCGTATCCGGCATGCTGGCACTGTACCGGATGCGATATGCATGGTGGTTGGGGGGGCGCTTAACGACAAGGCGTTGCTCTTCCTCGCCCTATCAGGAACGGCGGGGCCCCTTTTTCGGACCCACTGGGCTGAATGCTGTAGTAAACATTTAACGTAGCCCAGGCCGCCCAGCACCTGCGGCGCAGCGCCAAGGCCACAAATTACTACCTTAGGTACATAATATATGGTTTGACAAAAATGCCTTGCCAAGTTGGCAGCAATCGTAAGGTAAGTATTTGAAACCGCGTGTCGCCCATCCAGCTCTTCGGTAATCACCGCAAATTCTCACTCGTTAGGACAATACGCTAAATTGACACTACTGCAGCCACGTCTCGTTGGTTTCAGGCCCATTGTGACCCACATTTAACTTTTGGCCACCAATGGAACGCGATACCGATGAGAATTGAAACCCGTACAGTACAGGGACGGTACGGAGTAATCCGTAGGGCTAAGCATCATGAACCAGGGGCTGAGCAGTCATGTGACTCATGTTTGGTTGATAGGGAGATAGGCTACGGAGTAACTCCATACACACCATGACCCACATTCAACTTCTGGCCACCCAATGGAACACTGCCTCTACGTGAACCAAACAGTACTCCGCACGAAGTAGAACTGCACATTTCTTTCCATCGACCTATTTTGCTAAGTATCCCAAAACCTCTATGTTTCTCAGTAGCTACCACTACCATTTTAAGTAGGGTTCCGCTCATGGTGGGTTCCCGCTCAGACAGCCACTTAGACGCTAGCAAGCCACAACAGACTGTGGCAATCTCCAATCCCAGCTCGTCTAGCCACATCTGAATGTGGCTTACCAGGGTCAAAGTGGCTGTGTGAGCGGGAACCCACCATGAGCGGAAACCCTACTTAAAATGGTACCAACGTCTACGACCTTGTCCCTATGTTGTAAGAGGTAGTGGTTGGTACTGTATCCGTATATACCGGGCATTATTTTTCCCGTTCCGGGGTCTGAAATTGGCGCCCGTCGAGCTGGTCTTTGATACCACTATGTATGTATTGTACATTTCCCTAATGTATGTACTTCATGCTTACCCTGTGCTCTCCCGGGATAGCAAGTGGTTTGTCCACGTCGTTCAGGTTTTGCCCAGAGAAGCCCAAAACCAAACACTCTCATGAACTGAAAGTCAAGTACATACATCCTACTCCGTATTGGCCGGATTCGCCAGAAGTTGAATGTGGGTCATAGTGCTCGCCCTCAAGACGCCTCACCGAGGTATGCAAGGATTCAGAACGCAAGTGTCCCTCCCCCAGCTGCGACAGGGGACACTCTCATCGCCTAGTGTCATTGGTTATGCCAGAAGTTGAGAGTGGATCGAACACAGGCTATCCCAGAGCTCCGGACATGCGGTCTGATTTCTATCATTCTACCCAATGGGCTCTACGAGGACTTGAGCAGAGCAGTTATTAGAAGTCCTTCCTCCCCCATTTCCACCCACGGTGATATTAGGATAGTTATTACTTATTAGTTTGCAAGAGCAGTACGGCTCGGATCGAGTCACAACTCCAGTCTTCAACCATCGTTTGAACTTTGCGAAACACGTGCACCCAGCTGGCTCCCGTCAATCAAGACACCCTGAGCCTAGCCTCGCCAATTACTATCACACCACATGGCAACGATGGACATGACACTGGAGGCAGCAATTGGAATCGCTGCACTCCCTATAGCGCTCATACCTACAGCAGTTTTGTTGTGGAAGTGTGTCTGGGCACGTCGTTCGACCCGAGGGAGAAGATGTAAGTCTTTCCTCTCGCTACATCTTACCTTTCCTTATACTATACGGCCGTGGATCTTCACAGCAAGCTCTAATCACATGTATATAAGTAGTAAACGCAGCCATCTTCCATCGTCCACCCCAAGCGCAGCCCGAAAATCTTCTCCTGCCCTTGTCAGATGTCTCATTGAGGGGCCAATTGATTCTTCGCGTCACCACTATGACCTCAGAGCCCGAGCTTGCACGCTTCGAGGAAATTGGCTATCAGCGGGAACAGAGATATAGACTACCACCAGCAGAAATGGCAGTTGGGTTTTGAGATCTAAAAAGTGATGAGTCCGGCCATCGATATATCGGGCATTTGGATATATATACTTGAGGTATTTGCCGATGCATTGACTTGTATGCCGTGGTTGTTGGATGTTGAGGATGTTCCCATTTGAGTTATCGAATGCTAGCTGTATCAAATGTATCTCGTCCAGACATGTGCAATTTCTCGCCATAGTCAGAGCTTGCTTGCGAAGGCTTAATTGCTTCTGTGACATGTGCCGGGATGAGAGCGTTCAGATTCTCTCAATTGTCGGTTGATACAGGTAGCCTGGTAGGGAAATAGATATGGCTCAGGTCAGCCGTCTATGACTCTATGTAGTGACGAGTGGGATGAACACCCAAAATATGAACATCCAGTGAACTTAGGTAGTGAAGTGAGAACAAGTTTCCAATCTCTCTCATTGCAGTTGACTGGAGGCCTGGGTGTCTGGTCATGCCCGACGATACCAAACCCAACCCACAGCCAAAACGGCGACAACCCATGGCATCATCATCCTTACGGTACTCATGTAAAACTCCCCCAGCCTCCTTCTAGCCTCCTGCTGATGAGCCTCTCGCTCATTAGCATGCGGAAACGGTACATCTGGAACAGGTACACCGAGGAATTCGCACAGTGGTTGCCATCCATCCCCCATCTTGTACTCGAGTCTCCGCTCAGGGGGTACCAGCTTCCTGATTTCCGCAAAATAGTCGTCATACGTCCTGCGCGCATTGGCGTAAATCCCCTGCAAAGTCTTCGCATGAAACAACCCAAAATGTATCTTCCGCATTGCATGGACAGCCCGGATGCCCATCACGTTCCACCCCATCCATCCATAGATGGTGGCCATGGGCTGTATCAAGACCCCATCAAGCACCTCCTCTTTGAAGCTGGGCCACCACTTCTCGAAGTCGCGTTGTACCACAACCACTTTTGCCTCAGGGTACGCCTTAATCAACTCGACGGCAAAGGGCGAGGCAAGGTCGGTGACGACGTCGTATCCCCGGGCAGCCCAGATTGCGTCCCAGTCGGAGCGTCTAAAAGGTGGGCGCGGAACTGCTGGTGCTTCAGGGACAAATGGCCAGGTCGCTTCGGCTGCTTGTTCCAGTTGTGTCCAGGGTGAATCCATTGTGCCCTCAAGCAGGCCGTGATGGGGGTTGAAGCCTAGGATTTGGTAGGCATGCGCCATGGATTTGGTGCCCATTCGGAAGAGCGCGGCGTTGATTATCTTTATGCCGTGGGTGTTGTGACTTAAAGACGATGAGCTGTTGGTGGAATCCATGACGGTGGTTTTGCGTGTTCTGAGATAGAGGGGATGGTGTTAGTGGAGGGAATGGCAAAGGAAGACCGCAGCCGTAAGGTGGAACGACGATGTATTTGAGTTCTGATTGCCAAGAGAAGGATCGGTTGTTGACCATGTAACTCACCACATCGGCTGCAGAACCCGCAGACTACACACCTGCTGTAGCACTTCCAGCCCCCTTAATGAGCGGGACTTTACTGGGTAGGAAGCTTACATAAAAAGCTTGTTCTCCCGGGTCAGCACCAACCATTGCAAGGATGGCCCAAGATTAAGAACGCTGGTGTCTCCGACATGCATCTGTGGTAAGCACTAAGCAGTCTGCTTCCATCGGTTGTCTGCAGGAGTATTTTCCGACTAAGACTCGTAACTCCTACCCCATTGTTGCCATAGAATAAGTTCACACATCTACCAAGACACCTTTTAGTTTATCTTGTTACCTATCTTGAACGACTTATAGCAAGAGTCACATGCCCCATGCTGGTGTTTGGGAGTCTTGGCCTGACTAGAGTTGGCTGGCAGTTTGCCTTGATCATTGTTGACTCGAAGTACATGTACGACACCGGCTCGGCAGTCGTGATACAACTCCAGCCATGGGACGTTCCCTCATGTAGGCACGCGCTTTCTTGCACGCGCCCAGCGGTACTAACCTCTTTGTTTTACATGCGCGATGGATGCTTGCGTTTTGTACCCCCGGACCTACCGCTTTCCAGGTTTCCCATCTGTAAGAACACTTAACGCTGCCGAGTTTCCCTCTTTGCATAGCATATGCCGCCAGTCCTACCGAATCCAAAACTTCCATATCATTGATTGGGCACGATACATGGGCTTGGGTTCTTCTTTGCCGGCAACCGTTTGTATGCTTCGCGTCCATGACACCTTAATCCCGCGTCATGGACACCAGCGAGGCTACATGAGTTCTATGTGATGGGAGCAATGGGGCTTGTAGAGGCAGATAATCTCCCCTGCTGGGCGAACGGGCTCCCTGAATTTGCGCCGTTGGCTAAGGTAGTGTTACCTCCAGGTACATAGGGCAGAGATCATGAGATGGTTACTAGTCCGGCTCAAATCCGTTTCCGCGTTGGTTCGTATGGCTCAGTTACCATTGGTCCCCTCACGTAGAGCGTGTGAAGTTCAAACAAACCCCTATTTACACCCCATACTCTTCAAGTTGGCATTCAACATGAGAAGAGCCTCGGCATGATGAGCGTCCCACCGGTTGCATGTGTTGACTATGTCTCGACTGCGCCCTCTCCTTTCAGTTTCGCCCACAACACCTGTGACAAAGCCCGTTGCTCATCACGATACACGGCATAGGGACTATCATCGGGTGTTTTTTGAATAATTTCGTCAACCTCGACCATCAACCGCTCGCCCTCGTCTTGCCGTCCCTGCATCCAAATAGCCTGGACGAGAATCCGTCTTGCGCTTAGAGACTGCGGCGACTCCTTGCCCAGCTTACTGTCGAGCCAGTCTCGCACGGGCGCCTCAAAGCGCTCAGCTTCTGCATACCGACCCTTGTCTGACAGAAAGCCAGACAAGCTATGGTAATGCGAGAGATTTGACGGGTCCTTCCTCCGCTCAATCAGCATCCGCAGTGTCTGCTCCTCTGCAGGATCCTGTAGCTCGTGCTGAATGCCCGCGATAGCGAGCCAGGTCTTCTCCCAGGCTTGATGGTCGATGTCGTAGAGGGATTGAGGCGCCGCGGCAGCATCACGGCTAGCGAGGCGCTCGTTGAGCAGCTTGAGAAGCAGCTGGAGCTTTTCCGTCTTGTCCAGCGCGCTGCTTTTGGCATTGCCAAAGATTGATGGTTGTTCGTCTTGGCTGAAGAGACTGAGGAAGTTGCGAGCGACAGTGTATGGCAAATCGTCCCAGAATTTGTTTCGCGGAACGGGGTACTCCCACGAGAAGTTTCGAGCCGTGCCGATGTCCTTGGTGCCCTGGGAGTAGCGCACACCTTCAGGTGATTGAGCCATAGGGAGTTATCCGTCGAAGCGGTATGTGCAGCTCCAGTTGTAGGTACAATATATGTAATGATTGTCTACTGGAAGTCGATGGTGGTATGGAAATGTCAACGCCTGCTGTACATGTAGGGTGTATCTTCCTTTGCGGGGTCGGATGCCCCGGACTATCTCCTCGACCTCAAGGATCATGACACGACCGGGATGGGTTACACTCAATCGAATCCTGTGAAGCAAGATAATCTACAAGTCAGCTAAACAGCGCGCTGCAACTGCATTTGCCTACCATTTGAGAAGCAAGTTCTTTAGCTCCTAACTCAGTACACCTATGCAGCTCATCTTTCACTCCTATCAAATTTGACTCATCGAAGAATAGAGCAGATATAAATACAAAACAAAGGGAAATAAGTTCTAAGCCTAATCAATACCACGTGTTTTAAAGCCCTCTTTGTACATCCAGAGCTTTTCCGTTCCATACATGTAAGGTAGCTCGTCCTTGGATTTTTGTTGGCTGGTCGGGCGTATGGCGGCCGACCAGGTGTGTTTCATCAACCGCCATTGTCGTCCACTCATTGTATGCAAGTTTTACATGACCCACCGGACTCTGACAGTAAAAGAACCGCGCGTTTGTCGCTGGAGACAGCTAAGTTTATATGTATTGATGAGTCCCGTGATTTTAATCCTTTGCGAAGTCTGAACGTCGTCTCTCTTTTCTCTTTTCCTTAAGCGGTGTTTTTGCATCTGGTTATCGACCCGTTACTTCCCTCTCTTCTACAACACTCGGAGATGCTGGGCAGTCTCGAGTGCAATGTTATCCCTGACTCGGTCCCAAGCGATGCCGGCATCGCAGGGGCAGGTGTATGTTTTCCAACCACTTTTCCACCCGCTGCACCTCCTGTCTTACTCCGCCAGCAAGCTACCTGCAGTTCGCAACGAGTATAACTGACTGTTCTTTCTTCTGCAGGTTCTGCTCTCATCGACCATTACAGCCGGCCTAGCGCTGGCATTATCAGCCAGCCTGGTGCTGCAAGGCTTCCGGCCCTTGCGATCGGCCCGCAACCCGAATCCTTCGGTGATACGACGAAAACTCCTGAACGGCTACTCGGACCAGCAGATCATGGTGGGCATTGGCTTGCAGGGCGTGGGACTCGCAAAGTCGCACTCGCTGGTTCCGTACCACTTCTTCCTTGTCTGGATGATGGCCCTCCTGTCCACGGCGACACACAATGCCGCTCTGCTGGCCTTGGTGGGGGACTTCAAGCGGGATTTTGTTCTCAGATGGCTCCGGCAGTTCCTGATGTTCGTCAACCTTGCGCTCTCGATCGTCTACGGCGTGTATATCTTGCAGAGCAAGATCAACGGCTTGCCAAACACTCTTCCCATCGGCTGCGTCTGGACGCTGAAACCGGAGACTCCCAATGTCGGCGGAATTGACTATTTCGGGACCATTATAGTCATTGCCGGCAACTTGATTGTCTTTGGTCTGGCGACGTGGTATCTACAGAGCCGCGGGCAGTGCAACCCGAAGATTTACAAGGGTGTCCAACTTGGAGGTGTGGTTCTGATGTCTGGTGTCGCTATTGGTATGCTTCCTCTCGCACCCTTGACCCCTTTTCCCGAATACGCTGACTTGCTTTGTCACTAGGAGCCACCACTCGTGCCTATCTGCTTTCCCAGGCGTTTGGCAATCCCGATGTCAAACTTAGCGACGATGGGGAGAAGCAATGGAGCTTTGGGCAACTGCTCTCCATGCTTATGCTCCTCCTGCCCCTAATCTCTGTCATTGAAATTATGAGAGGCGACATTTCTGTGGCACCCCCTGTTCATCAAGAGGACGATAAACAGGCCTTGTTTGACGGAGAGTTGTCGGATAACCCGCAGACGAGCAGTGTACATAGATAGTAGCAGTTTTAAACTTGAAGTAATGGTAATAGATGACGCCTATGGAGTCCACGGCATCTTGATAACCAGGATTGTATTACCAAGATATCTTAGGTCGTCAAGTGGTAACTCAGTGTCTGGTACGTCTCGGAGGTCCTTATATGAAACTCGCAATGGCCTCCCAAAATTCCCTCGGCGCTTCCGACATAGGGAGGTGACCGGCAAGGGGGACGATCTTGAGCTCGCAACCGTTCTGGCCGAGCAACCCCTTAAACCCGTCCATAGCTTTGACGAGGGCACCCTTACCATCGCCCTCACCGACAACAAACAAGCCCCGGACCGTACTGTTCTTCATCTCCTCCCGCATATTATAATTCCACAACGCTTGGCAGGAATATCTGAACCCCTGAACACTGTTCGCGGCTACCATCTCTGTCATCCACTCGGCAACATCCTTCTTCTCGGTCATCGTATGGGGATGGAACCATCTTTCGACTGTCAAACCGGCGAGCTTCCGGATCCCGCCGTCCGGGCCTTGAGCCACCGCAATACGCTCCTTCCAGGCCGCGGTGTTCGCATCGCTGGACGCCACGTTGAAGTCGCATGCGACAAACTTTTCCACCAGCTCCGGATACTTGAGCGCAAACTTGAGAGTCGTGGCACCGCCCATCGAGACGCCCACCATGGCGTGTAACTTTGGAATGCGCAGGGCCGTGAGCAGCGTCGCCAGATCGTCGCTCAACATGTCTAGATTTGCTGGGACGGGCGGAGAGGGAACGTCGTACCGCCCGCGTGTGTCGTAGCGAAGGATACGTAGATCGGGACGTTCTGTCTTGATGATTGCTACTAAGGGGTCCCACATGTGGAGAGATGTAAGAAGGGAGTTGGAAAAGGCCACCGTCGGGGCTGTGGGAGATGGATTGCCCTCCAGCCGGTAGGGAATAGTTAAAACATCGGCAGTCGTGACATACGCGTCGATTGCCGCGTCTTTTTGGCCAGGAGTGGTAGCAATTTTTCCGTCGGCTGTCCTGAATGCGGCCGTCTGCGGAAGTCTCGACAAATGCTCCAAGTCCCTCGGCGCCGGACTGAAAACGTAAAATAGCTCATACGTACGGCGGCTTTTCTGAGCAATGTACTTTGCAAATATGTCGTCACGCCAGGGCGTGTTCATTGCTGCCTTGTGCTCTGGTCCATCGAGGCCGTTGACCTTTGCGTACTCGTGCAGGGTTACAATCTCGACCGGGCTGCCCGCGCCTTCGATGGCCGAAGGGGCGCGGAAGACGCGACTGCGAAGCCATCCCGGGATCTTGGCGAGCATTGGAATATGTTCCTCCCTGTACCACTTTGTGACGGCCTCCTCCGCACCCTCAACTCCCGGCTTAAGCGACACCTTGACCGACACCAGGACGATCCCCTCCGCCTCGGCATCAGTTAGCTTCTCGATAGGCGCAAACAAGGGACTCTCCTGAGCGGCGACGAGATCGAGGAACCTGCGGTCGACATCGACTTGGCCGATGGTAGCAGCCTCGCGGGTAGAGCGGTTTGCGCGCAGTTCCGTGTATGTGGGAGTCTCGAGATGTGACATGGACGTCACATCATAGACGGCTAGGAAATGCGGTTGCTGGCCATCCGTGGCGCGATACCTCAGGCCGTTGGTGAAGATGTGCGGAAGGCGCAAACGTGTCGGGCCGTGCTCGTTGTTGTACCATTCGTGGAACTGGTCCAACGACAACCCCTCGCGGGGTTGCATCGTGACGTACAGCATGCCGGGCCCGTTCCCCGCCATGGCTTTGGGACGCCTAAAACTTCTTTGTGCTGATCTTCCTTTGCTGTTCTCTTTGCTTACTACACTTTTCCTTGGGCGTTTCCGGGCTGGCAGTTCGAAATGCAGCCGACCGAGAGTTTGGTCATCCAAATTCCAAACTGCAGATCAAATGAAGTTCAAAGATGTATTGACATTGATGAAAGGGATTCCGGAAGGGTGATACCGGGAGCTCGTCCGGATAACGGATCAAAAAGCGGAGGTTACTTGTGGAGTTCGGCTCTTCTCCCGGGATCGCACAGGCGAAGCGTTTTTCCGGCTCTCCGACTCACATACGATGGCACTGCAGACTCGAAGTGGAGAAGACTTGACCAGATGAAATTCAACACCAATAACCACCTTGCGAATTCAGTGTCTGCTCAAATGTCTTCGAGATTTGCAATACCGGGTGCAAGGTAACCTTAATTGCTTGGAAGCAACGACTTACATCATACGAGTTCGAATCGGGAGGCAGTGTGGGGCTACACATAACCCTAGAATCCTCCACCCGTAGGGTTAGGCTTATGTATGGCACACTGCCCCTGGAGTGTACAGTACATGCGCCGCCCCCCAATTCGAACTTCAGCCTTCAGGGGTAAGGGGCTTATATTGCGGGGCGCAGTCCGCCGTCTTTAGCCTGGACATCGTCTCGGGGTTCGAGTTCCTATCTACAGGGATGGGCTAATTTGAATGTCCGAGATAGAATGAGATTATATTAAGCGGCCCTCCCCGCTCTGGACTCCGGGTGCTTTTCACCAACCCTCGCGTAAGACTGTGGGATATCCAGCAGTTTGTGCATCCCACATCTGCATGAATTCCTGTACTTGGTGCCTGTGCTGTTAGATATCAGAAGAAGATTGCTATGTCATACGCTCGCAACTCTGGTTAAAAGTCATTGGAAGGTAACAGAATCCAAACCTTGGGCATTCTCATCGCAAATATTCAAAGGGCACCTATTTATGAACTCCCTTGCTGTTGTTGTCTATCTTTTCTTGTCCTATACGACTCTTATATAGCTCTCGGCATCGGTCCACAATGGTGAGTAGGAATTGACCACTCAGAGTCCTTCAATTACCAATTTGCAAAGATCAAGGGACAAGATCACCATTTCAGCCGTCCCGGGAACCAAACTAACATGCTCGCAGCAATAAACAAGATGGCCATGACGAACAACCGGACCCCCAATGTCCCGGATAAACCACCTGGAAGCTGTACTTGCTCTCATCGGAACACGATGTCTATATCTCATCGGCCGGTCCCTCAGACCCGACTGATGTCTGAAGTGAAACCCCTGGTAGTCTGACCAGTCCAGTTGCTCCCAGTATAGGTGCTACCAGTTCCACGCTACGGCATCTTCAATGGGTCTTCTCAAGACGGCCGCAAGCCTCCTGGTGCTCGGGCTTGTTGCCCACGGGAACCCCGTTCCCCAGGGTGGCACTGGCTCGGCAGCCGCCAAGTACTGTGACCCTGCCACGACCATCTGCTATTCCGAATGGAAAAGCCCCGAGAACATCGCATACCGCATTGCAATCCCGGACACGGCGACTACCGGGAACTTCTCGGTCTTGGTTCAGATCGAGGCACCGAGGACCGTTGGGTGGGCTGGCATGGCATGGGGCGGCATCATGGTGAACAACCCACTGCTAGTGGGCTGGGTCAACGGAACGGGCACCGTGGCGTCGAGTCGAAGAGCGAGGTACGTGGTCTAAGCCGAACCCATGCGACAAGTCTGATATTCCTTCAAGACTTGGTCCCGCTTCTCCATGCGAAAACGCTTGCTGACTCGTCTGTCTAACCCATCAAGCGCGCGCACGTATCCCACCCCTTACACCGGAGCCACGTACACTGTACTTCCGGGTTCGGTTGCCAACAGCACCCACTGGACGCTCAATGTGCTTGCCAAGGGAGTTAGCTCATGGGGAACCACGCAGCTTAATCCAGCTAGCACGGCCGTATCCTTCGCCTATGCTCAGAGTGCTTCCCCTCCCGTCGAACCAGCAAACAATGCTAGCCGCTTCAGCATTCACAACACGCGCGGCAAGTGGTCGCACGATCTGAGCAGCGCGAAGCTTGCAAACTTTGCGGAACTAGTTCAGAAAGCGTCGGAGGCGAGGTCGTCTTGACCTGGAGATCATTATCAATTTGATAACAATCTGTGAAAGAGCGAGAGAAGCTTAGACCTAGGACACTGCACGTAGAGGAGTCCAAGGAAAACCAAAACCGAAGTAGGCACAATATATTCCAGTGGTTATAGATAAACTATTGCCATGTGCTCTACACTCGATTTGATCACAACCCCTTGCAGTACCTGCATGTGCTGCACTTCGAGACTTACTATACCGGCACGGCTAGGGGGTACTCCAACCCCTGAGTACCTGGTATTTACCTTTGGCACATTGATGCTCTGACATGTACGAGCGAGTCCCTGGTCCCTCTCCCCCCCATGAAGTAGGTCGCTTGCAAGCGGTCCCTGGAGTGTTTCCAATGTGAGCCTAATATTAGTGTGCAGTTCCTTACGCAGTTTGGCCCCCTAGCCACAGACACATCGCCATGTGCCCTCACTCCAGCATCTACGCGGCTGTGCCGAAAATTCGGCAATTACGCGGGACATCCAGGTAGATCAACTCTTATACGACCTCAGCGCAGTCATTGGCCGCTATGACCCCAACCTCTATCTAGGTACGACTTTATTAGGCAAAACACACCGGAGCCGCGAGATGCCGCACTTTCGCTTGCCGTGTCTGCTGCAAGGGAATCCTCGGGGACAGCCATCTAATCAGTGTTACCTTACTTAAATAATAGGCCTGGGCAGCACATAGAGATATGTTCTTCGCCGCTCCTTCAGCAGTGTAGACCGACGCCCTCTTCCAGCGGAATCTGCTCACAACTTGCTCAAACCCAGCTCGCAAACAACATGCTCTTCAACATGCCTTCCCTCCTCAGCCTGGCCTTGCTCGCCTCGCAGGCCTCGGCTCATGGCCTGGTCCGGAAACCGGCAACCCGCCAACCCGGGACCGCAACCGAGGCAGCATGCGGCAAGACCATGGTCAAATTCTACAAGGACGACGGCACCTCATACCCCGAGGCCCTGCTCCGGGCGAACCCGCGCGGCCTGACCGACGGCTACGACGCCAAGAAGTGCAACCTCTGGCTCTGCAAGGGCTACCAGTTCGCCGATAACGCGGCCAATGTGCAAAGCTACAAGCCCGGCGATGTCATTGACATGGAGGTGTACATTCGCATCCCCCACAGGGGGTATGCCAATGTCAGTGTTGTTGATACCGCGTCGAACACAGTTATTGGGACCCCGCTGGTTGCCTGGCCGCAGGATTATGCGGCGAGTGCAAACCCGCCGGCGGATCAGACCAAGTTTAGTGTCAAGGTGCCTGAGTTGGGCGGGAAGTGTACGACGGCTGGGGAGTGTGTAAGTCATCTTTCCTCTTTCCTTTCCCCTTTTCCTACCTAGAGGAAGGAAATCTATGTTAGTTGAGTTCGAAGCTCACATAAATCGAAACAACAGGTCATCCAGTGGTATTGGTTGGGCCAGGGCCAGACGTACGAGTCATGCATCGACTTCACCGTTTCTGCGGCTGCGGAGGAGTCGGGTCACGGCCATCCTATGCACAAGATCAGAGGGCAGTCATGGGCTTGATGGAGACGGAGATCTCTTCTCGGATTTTGATGTAGAGCCAACTTTTAGTCGATTCTGTGCCTGTCCAAGTGTGAGAAATCTGCCATGTGGATAGCTGTACAGCCACGGCCAAAAGATAACTTAGGGTACATGTATCAACTTCATGTTGCCCAGAGCTAGGCTTAGATACGCAGCGCGGTGTCTAGAATTAGATGCATTACTTGTTACTATTAGAAAGATCTTGAAGTACGTGTACTCTATGGCTCTTGTTCTTCCTCTATATAACCCCCCGGCATCTGCATGTGATCTTGACTACCAACGCCTTCGTCTTTCGCTTTCCCGGTACTATCCCGGGCAGGTCTCGCCTGCTCCTCTCCTTTGCCACGACCATCACTACTCGTTCGCTCCTTATCCATGCTCGAGCGAATGTTAAGCTTGTCCGCCAACGCCGCCTTGACCTCCTTCATCGTGCCCGTGGCACGGCCCGATTCATCACCTCCATGTCGTTCCTCTTCCCTTTGCGCCTTCTTAGCCTTTTTCTTTTCCACCTTCCTCATAGCTTGCTCAGTCAGATCCTGCTTCAACAGCCGGTCAAGCACTTCATGTTTCCTCGTCCGGCGGTCACCGATGGATATGAGGACCCCAGCAGCAATGTTGGTTGCAATCGAGCAGCAGAGGATGGTCGTGGTGAGCGCGGCAGGCCGGTGTTCGTATGCAATACCCCAGGTGCAAACGCCGAGGGCGATTTGTAGGCAGCTATGCAGGTCGAGAAGAAGCACGACGGCTATTAGCAGCCGTAACGGGAAAGCACGGTGCGTCTCCGTCTCGTGGGGTTTGTAGAAGGTGTGCGACTTGGCTAGCTTGGTCTGGTGGTGCACAAGTCTCTCTTGCTCTTTATCCGAGAGCACAGGGAAGAACTCGTCGTCGGGCCGCTTAGCTTGGGCTTCGAGGTCCGCCGCGGTTCCGGCGTCGTCTTTTGCCGTGGGTAGGTCGTTGTGGTCTTTGAGTTGTGGCAAGAGCAGCTTTTTGCGCTGTTTCCATGTCTTGCGGTCTGGGATTCTCATGTTAGCAGACCATGAACTGAAGTTGTGTGACCAGTGGAGAAAGGGGGAGAACGTACGGTAGTGCGCAACGTAGATCATGTGGTATGTGTCAATGGCACGGAACGGCGCGAGTCCGTCGCCGACTACGGCAAACAAGGCAACGAGAACGTAGTCTATCACGTTGATGACATACAGCTGCCGCTCGCCGACATAGATCCAGCCGATCAGGAACAGCACCCAGGCAAGGCCAAACAGCGTTATCAGGGTAGCGTACAAGGTGACCAGAAAGCCGAGCGGCTTGCTGCAATACCTGCCAAAGGCTCTGAGTCGCTGCTTGGCTTTGGACCGTCGTGAGTGCAGCATATGGCGGACATAATCGTTCATCTTCTTGATGTCTTCATCTGTCCAACCTTGCAGTGATGCGTCCTCGGGGAGAATGGCGTATCGAGGCTCGCTGAGGACCGAGGACAAGCTGGGCGAGGAGCTGCGCGCCGGGTGCGGTTCTGGTGGGACCGTGACCTCGGTAGGTTGGGCTGAGGTGCCATCCTCCTTTGACGTTGGATACGCCCGGGGAATCGGAGGGAGCTCCGGGAGGTGGAAGGTAGGCCGTCGGTTAACCCATTTGCCAAGGGATGGTACAAACAGGGAGTTTTGGATGTTTGTGATGGACGAGAGTGTGGCCACCTCGGGGTCTATTTTCTCCGTTGTCAGAGTGACATTCTTCGAGAGCACAGGGTATGGATGAAGTTAGAGTGTAGGTACTGACCAACAACATCGAGAAAGTCGACAATGCGCGAGTTATAGCGATCTCTGTCTGCTGCCCGGTCCACTGCTGTGCCCGGAGGCCCGCCCACCGCCGGGTCCGCCGGATTTGCCGCCCCAACTACCGGCGGGTTTTGAAGCGTATGTCGGCGCCGTCCGAAAGCACTGTATCGTTCATTTGGCGCAGTAACCGGTATGGCTGGTGTCTCGGCTGGTGCCTGGGAGGGTAGTTCAGGAGGCAAAGCTGGTAATGGAGGCATCGATGGCCCAGCACTTGCGCTTGCTATCCCTCCGTGGATGGAGGGCCTATGCAGCTCCGAGAGTGGTGCATCGTTCGCGCTGAAATACGAGTCCTCGGATGCTTCGTGTGGATTTGGCCGAGAGTTTTCTGCCATCTTGTCCACGGCAGAGGGTCACTGTTGCACGCTGTGTAGGAATTTGCGGAGGGTCCATCTTGACTGATATTAAGCGGAAGTGTGCTCAAATGTTGCGAATCGAGTGTTGTTAGCCGCTGATGTAAGGCTTGGAAGTGCCCGGCGCTGGCTGCCAGGATTGCCGTCGGATGCTGCCAGCCAGGCACCATGACGTCACGTCCGTCACTTGCAGGCGGAACAAAAATCTCCCTCCGGTCTTGGCCTGCCTAAGGCTTTTCCTCAGCACTTTCAGCACAGCACTGGTACAAACTTCGCTCAGATTGGCTCTTTGAGCTCTTGAGATACGCATCTGGCATTCATGGTCGTTTCTCTTGAACTGTCTAGAAGGCTTGTCATGCACCGTATTCTTCACCTCAGGCTGTTGAGATCACTCAGGGTTAGGGTACGCTATGACGACAAGCGGCGACCACGAACAAATCAGATGGAAGTGTATATGGACCTGGTTCTGCATTAGACTTGTGGCATGTATGTAAAGAAGAGTGATTGTGGTAGGTTATTGTCCGTCGAATGAGTAGTTCAATGACCAATGCAGCAGTAACATCATCCTCATCCATGGAACTATTCGCCCCGAGTGTCGACTTATACGCATACGCACGCATCTCATTCGACTAGGTACCTATTGTAAATGTAGAAAATAATGCAGTGACGGCGAATGAGTTTAGAAAAGGCTGAGATGAAGAAGAAAGAGAATCAGCGTAAGTGTGCGTAGGTAGGAAACATGAGCCTCCTACTTGCCCCGAGTGTTGACCATCTGAGGTTTGATACTCTATTCCCATTTCCATTGCCTAGATACCGAGTAGGTAAGATCCATAATGCGTAAATAGAGTCGAATGCCTCCCCGCTTGCGTCCATATGTAAAGAAAATCCCAGTTACGCCTCATCTATTACCCGACACTCAGACTAACTACTACAGTATTGATGCTACCCCTGAGTCTAACCCGTTCCCGGTGCCAGGGCCCGCTAAGCTCCTTGTCCAGGCCCTGAACATACAATGTGTCCGTTCAAGACGAGCCAACATAGTGAAAAGTAGACTCTTCCAAATGCGCTTCACTGCATTACATATGTGATGCAGGTCATGGTAGCATTAGAGAGCTAAAAAGAGAAGTGAAACCGCCTCTCGCCTCATCCGCCCTCAAGTTCATGTTCTTTATCCAGGCCCAGTCGTCAAGAGCGGAACCGGACGGCTCGCATCGGGGGGTGTGCGGCTGCGGGTGGTGTGTGTACCGCCGCCGGGGGGGCCACATGCGGTTGTGCTACCGGAGGAGGATGGGCCGCCGGGGGAGCGACTATAACAAGGGGAGGCGAATGCACCGGGGCAGGGACTGCCGGCGGGTGGGCTGCGGGAACGTGAATTGCGGGTGGCTGGACTGCCGGAGGGTGTGCTGCAGGCGGTTGGACTGCGGGAGCGTGGACCACGGGAGGTGTTTGAGCAGGGTGAGCTGCCGAGGTAGCCGCAAGACACCCTGGCGGGGTGACGGTGACATGGACGGTCTGAGTGACTTGTTGACCAAGCCCTCCGCCAACATGTACCGGAGCAGTAACATTGGCGGCCCTCTCGGTGACAGTGCTAATGACCGTGCTGACGTGGACAGAGGTTCTCGTCACCACCTTCTCCACTACCCTGTCTTTGAACTCCGTTTTCACCTCGACCTTGGTCACCGGGACCGTGACGGCGTGGGTTACCACGTGGGTGACTGGGACGGTAACCTCGTGACGCTGCACATCGACCTTGGTGACGACTCTTTCGCGGGTTTCCGTCCGGGTAACCGGAACTGAGACTTCCCTGGTTTCGGTTCGTAGCTGGGTGACCGGGACCGAGACGAGCTGCCTCTGGACAGATGTGACGTTGACAAGCCTTTCCCTGGTCTCGGTCCTGGTTACGGGTACGCTGACGACTTTTTCCTGCGTGTCAACCTTGGTGACGACCGCAGTGACGACACGCTCGCTGACATCCGTCTTGGTCACGAGTTTCTCCTTGACCTCGGTGCGCGTGACGGCTACGGTGACAGGGACGCTGACTGCCACCGTAACCAGCTTCTCTTGTGGTTCGACTTTGGTACTCGTAACGACTCTTTCCCTGGTCTCGGTCTGCGTGTGGACGAGCGTGCTCGTATGAGTGACTGGTACCGTAACATGAAGCGTTTCCTTGACTGTCGTGGGAACTGGCACCGTGACATGAAGCGTCTCCTTAATAGTCGTAGGGACCGGCACGGTGTGGACGACCGTCGTCGTGTGAGCTACGGGAACAGTAACATGGACTGTCTCCCTGACGGTTGTCGGCACTGCTACTTGCGCGGTATGGACAACCGTAACTGTATGCGCAACAGGAACCGTAACATGAACCGTCTCCCTTAGTGTCGTAGGGACGTGGACGGTTTGGACCACCGTATGCGTCACAATCTGAACTTGGGGTGCGCCCGCAGCCGGCGGAGGGTTTGCGGCGACGTGGGAGACGAGGGCACCCAAGGCCAGAGGTAGAATGGCGAAGCGCATTCTGGTGGGCGGACGGCCTCCACCACAGCCGTAACCTGACCTGAGGTAGATGGAAGAAGTGTGGTTGAAGTGAATGGAGAGAATGTGTCAAACCAAAGCGAGCGGCTTGCGCTCTAAAGAAGGATAAAGAGGTGGTAGGTAATAGTAAGTCGACAACGAGTAGCCTGCTCTCCTGAAGAAACGAAGGACAACTAACACAGCCTTGACCACACCACGCCTAACGGAAGTGACTGTGGACTCGGCACCGGTGATAGAATGTAACTTGAAGCGAAGGGAAAACGGACAACAAGACGAAAAAAATCGTAGTTGAAGGGAATGGGCGGGAAGGGAGGGAAACGCCTGGTCGATCATCGTCGCGGCAAGCAGGAGACCAAAGCACTTTTATCCCAACTGTGATGTTTCCAGCGGCCTTGTCTGTCTTGACTCGAACTTGGCGGAGTGTGCAAGTCCCGGGACTCGGGGCTCTGGGCGGCAAGGATTGGGATGCAGGGGCTGGTGCACATCCAGACACTCGAGGTGCCCCTGATATGCCCAGACGGCCTTGGCAATTGAAGCACCTTCGTTATCTGCAGATTTATGTACGAGCCTTTGAACACATCCCACTTCATAAGTAGAGTTTTGAAGGATGTGTGTCCTTATTGAGAAAATGCCCGAGGTGGACGCCAAGGGCGTGACGCCGGAGTATCATGACTCGCGATGTCCACGCCGCCTGTAAGCAATGCATTTGGGGACCTTGGGCTACCTTGACGAGAGGGAGAGCGGGGGGGGGGTTTATACTGGCGCGAACACAGTAAGGCCTGGTTGGACTTTCCTCCAGTTGTGCGCATTCAGGTCAGAAGACAGCAAGAGCGGAACGCATTCACGTCGGACGACAGAAAGAGCGAAGCGGCTCCCGTACCTCCGATGCAGATGTTTTCTTGTTCCTGTTCATCTCTGTCAATTGCATTTGATATCAAGTCGCAGCCTTGTATCCACGATGCGCAGTTGGTGGTGACCAAAGTGATCCTAAGCTTAAGCCAGTTCACTGTTGTGTCAGACTTCAAGATGTGCACAAATGTTTTCACCCCTTGGCTCCTGATCAAGTACATACCCAGGCACTTCAGGTGCCAATGCTTCGCAGCGGGTGCAACCCCACTTCCCCTTGGGCGAAGAACTTAACGTTAACTGTGCCCCCCACTTGTGCTACCCGCTAGCAATACCGTCGCGAAGGTTCCGACGTCGCAACGTCACAGCCACGAGACATGGGAGGGAGTCTGGAACATCAGAAATTCAGCTTGTTTCGAATGTTTGTTTGTCTACTTTTTTGCATCTCCAAAGTAAGCCTCCCTCCTGCTTTTGACGACAACATACGTCCAAAAGCCAGGGACTGGACTTTACTGTTCTCTTGCTTGCAGGTGGAGTGCCATAATTCTTCCCGCCCGCCCCGCTGGACTCTGGCTGCGGAGGATAACTCGGTTAGGTAGGTAGGATAGCTTTCCCAGGTATTTCTGCGACGATCAAGCAGTGGCCGTAGATCAAGTGCGATCCCTTGGGCTCATCATAGGATACATGTCCTAAGTACAGTGCAGTAATCAAGCCTTCGAGCATAACAACGTCCGTTGTCATGCCGAGTCCAACAGGCTGCTGACGTAAGAGGCGCCTTGGAATATCACATCAGCGGCCAACTAGGGAATTCACCACAGTAGAACTCTCGCAGAATTGTCTCTCCTGTGAAAAAAAGACATTTTGGGCCTTAGAATGTCTCTTAACAAAACAGGAAACGACGTTGCTCTCGATGGCACAGGACTTGGCGGTTGTGACCAGGAAAACTCGCCGAGTGAGGTGACGAGGTTGCTGCATCCCCTGCGAGGGCACAGCTCCTTGTGTTTGAGACTCGGACCACCTGTAAGCCGGGCGCGTGGCTCCACCAAACATCCGCCCCCGGCCGGACTGCCGCTGACAACAAAGCAGTCTTTTGCACCAACTGGAAGACAGCTGAATCCTTCCGAGAATTGTATGGATTGCTAATAGGATGTAAGCGAGGTGTCTATATGAAGTAGATGTAATTGAACTTCCTGGAGATTTATACAGCGGCAACACACACACAGTGCTGTAAATATACGCAGCAAATACAATGGTAATTACGCACCCCTCCTCTTATTGTTCCCCTGAGCAACTACATACATACCTACCTACTAGTACCACTACCTAGATCATAATGCTCGAGATCATTCAGGGAATATGCTCATGCTTAACGTTGATGAGAGGCTCTCTGTGCAACCCGTCCCTTGCCTCAGGGCTGGAACTTGAACATGTCACTTCAGATGACCACGGATGTTCTTGGCGGTCAAGGGTCTGCAACAACGCCCAGCCTTGAGCCAACCTGCCCCTTGCAAACCCTATGCAAAAAGCAACCAGATAACGTTAAGCATAAAACAACCATGGGGAAGGGGCGAGCTTTGCATGAAACTGCGGCCGCTCATCCGCTTTCAGCTCCGAGGCTTCTTTCTGTTCGGTTTAACTCATCTAGCCGATGCTCCCGATCAGGCGACGCCGAGTGCTCGTGTTTGCTTGTTCAGTGTTCACCAGTTCGCTAGTCGCTACCCTGATATTCGTACAAAGAAGAACAGTCTAATATGGTGATAGGGGAATAAATAGTATATGATAAGATGATGTTCAGAATCGAGTATCACGAGTCCCAAACCACAGACCACAAGATCTTGATGGCGCTGTCACAGTTAATGTCATCCCTTCGAATCTTCTTCAACGAGACGGAGACCGTCATATCTCCTATCTTCTTAACCACCCGGTCCGCCATCTCAGCAGGCTCGTTCCCATCGACCTGTTGCTGTAGGTGCTTCGTGGCCATGTGACTGATGAACTTGAGCCCAAGAGAATCATTCCAGTAACCGTCCCGCACCATGTTTCCCCACCGCGCCTTGAACGCCGGATCGGCCACCGGAACGACATCGCACCATCCGTGGCCGACCACGATGCAAAACGCCCCGGCTCCTGCCTGCGGCTGTTCAAAGGCAAACAGCCGGACCGTCGAGGGCGGGAGGTCAAAGGGGAGGAAGAGTTGCGCCGGGTTGAACTTCCGTGGCACCTCGTATTTGCTGTGGCCGTCCTCACTGCCAACGGCATGAGAGAAGCAGCTTGTGATCTTCCACGGCGCCCGCGATGCCATGGCTGAGTCCCCCGCTCGCAGAGAGGGCGGCTTCTCCAAGATGTACAGGTTCTTGTCGAGACTGCTTGTCCGATGGTTGTGTAGCCGAGAGAGAGCCGAGTCGTTGCCGTCGATTGAGAGGTAGATTGTCTTGCGCTCGAAGGATGCGAGTTCCTTCACGCTATCCAATAGCACGAATGCTACGTTTGGGTCGTCGGACCCGATGTAGATGTTGGAGCCGTCCTGGCGGTGAAGCACCAGGCATACGGGAGACAAGGGCGCTTCTGGTGGGGCGCCTGGCTTGGTCGTTTTGCAGTTGATATAGGCCAGAATATCGCCATTCCGAGGTCCCGACTGCCGAAGCAGCAACGAGACACGGAGGCCGCGGCTGGTTATTAGGGGCGGTGTGTCGTCGGCTATCGGAGAGCCTTGGGCTGCTACCGCGCCGCTGGAGTCCGGGAGAAGCTTGGAGTAGGTCCACAGAGACCGGTTGTGCAGCTCAAAGTCATTAGGACTGTCGGCTAGTGGCCGCCGGGGGTCCACAAGCTTCAAGGGGTTTTGGACGGCTCTCCAATGGTGCTTGTTGCTCAGAAACTTTGAGAGTCCCCATGCGAGCATGGTGTAGTCCTCGGTTGTCTTCATGATTTCCTTCTGGAGGCGGTAGAAAGCCCGCTGACCCTCGCCGTAAATGAGCGGCATATGGACTTTGAAGATACCCAACAGACAGTACGCGGCATCTTCGACCCGCGTTGTCTGCCTGTTTGCAGCCCATGACATGCGTTCGGCCACATGGCATGTAGAGGGGTCGGCGCCCTCAAGCACCCGGATGTCTATGCCCGTGACCTTGCTAATCACTTTGCGGAGAGAAAACTTGGTGCCTATCTCCTGCCAGTCGCTGGCGTAGAATTCGACAATGGGCGGGGCAATCAGTTCTTGCAATGTCCAGCCCCGGGTGAACCATCGAGAGTTCTCAAACGTTCGCGGCAGCTTGTCGTACTCCCTCAGAATTGATGGGATCGTGTGAAACGTTGGACGGGTCGGGCCGGTTTCTGCTGCATCCTTCCTAGCAGAGCCTTGGGTCGTCGAGGAGGAAACGACCCCTGGGCTATCCATGGATACGTCGGACATGTAGGCGTAGCAAATATGCGCCTGCTGGTACCACATAAACATCGAGTTGATGGCTTCAGAAAGCTCGGCGCTGCTGGACTTGTCGATGCTGTTTATGTTGATATCAACCCAAGGTCAGTCCGGATTCATGAAATGTGACTAGAGGGGATTTTGAAGTAAACCTCGTGTCTAGATTGAGATGGCTGGACGGCCTGTGATCAAATGCCTCACTTACCAGCATGTATCAACCCACACATACTCATAGCCATCGGCTGCAGCCCTGCTACAGCAGCCGGCAATTTTGGCATATCCAGCCCTCTTTTTCACCGCCGCTTTTGGAAGTTGAGTCAGGTCACTGAAGGTTACTTCATCAGCGCCCCATGTGTGCGAGAGGATCACGTACGGCGGTACGCGTCCTACAAACTCGACGAGCTCCAATGTGTCTGTTCTTAGTAGTCTCATACTGCCATGAATTGATGTGATCTGGCCGTTTACCGTAACGGTGTCGCTGAGTGAAAATGAGAAAAAGAGTTGAGGATGACATTGATGAGCTTGGCGATTCGGGGTAAGATCTCACTAAAATCTTCATTGCCGCTAGTCACCCAACACCCCGGTCTGTATTACCCACCTAGCCAGATGAGGTAGGTGTTAGATCAGGATTACAGAAGTGAGGGATGTGAGCAAAGCCCCTTCAACTTTCGACGTAACTATATGTAAATATTAACTACCCACTAAGTTGTATGTTACATGTATGTTCTTCTGCGAACTCAACATTGACTGTTCACCGAATAGGATTACTGGCGTGCCCCTACAAGTCACCGAGCCAGAGCTCTATACAACAGCACTGAGCAAGCTACCTGTCCCCTGAGCAGCTTAGCCAAACCTCAAAACCTCACCTAGGCATGGGCCCAAGGGCTGTATGTACAAACCTGGTAGCGTTCCCTGCCAGATAGAGGTAGGTATCTGAGCAAGCGTATAGCTGATTTACTTCGATGATTACATTATGTATCGAATTATATTGACTTGAAGCAGGTAGTATCATGTTCATACAGACCATCTGAAGGTAGAATGGCAGTGATTTGTCCTCTAACAAAATTCATGCCCCTGGATAACTCCACGCTTCAAGTCTCTTAGTCTCTAGTCTCTGTTCTCTGAAGATAACCCGTATCAACTGACATCCCAGCCTTTGGTCGACCCTCACAGACTACCAATTGAGTATGTTGAAGAGCGACCTCCTTGGGTCCCCCTCGGTGTCAACCAGGAGCCTCTGCCTCCTCGTTTCCTCCACCTCAGGCGTGTTCTGTTGCGCGAACAGGCGGTTTATTGTCTCGGACTCCTTCCGAAGCTGTGACCGAACGTAGTACGCCACTCCAGACACTACCAATTTCATCGCTAGGTCTCAGCATCTCAACGACCAATCCGATTGTATGTTGACACACGAGTTAGGAAGCTGGGGACGAACCTGCGCCAATCACAACAATGCTGGGTAAGATGGTATTGGCTGAGGACCTAAACCATGATGTTATCAGAATCTTCACCTTCTAATCTGTCAGGTCGCGTTTGTCCCATGCCATACCTTGCAAGTGGCAGATTCAGTGGCTTAGGTTGGGCGGCGGCGGCGGCAAGGGGTCGTGTTCTGCGAAAAGGCGACATTGTTTATGTTGCGAAACGTGGTTCTTCCACCCTGAACTCAAGATGGATTCAATGTGAAGGCCGAATTTTGTTATTAGAAGATATAGCAAGTATGCAGCTTGATCGCGAATGTTTAGGGGGTAAAATGTCAGCTTCAAACCCGGAGCAAGTGCAGCGAGAACTTCCAGTCGTTGAGAAAAATCCGCGACGCACCACACGTCGGATAGACGCCGCCTTAAGTCTTGCATTCAATCCTCTTACGAAGCTCAGCCCAAAGAAAAGGGTCAATTTCCTTCTGTTTCCATCAGCAAACAGTTGGGTGATACAGATCTAGGATGGAGTGACGCTTGCGGCGCGCCGGTGGGAAATCGGGTGATGGTGGCCTGACCCCGGTGAAGTCTCCGCGCAGCGCCGCACCGCGCCGAATCTTCACTCCGAAAGTTGAGTAAAGTGAGTTATTGCCCTATCACCTCGTAATCGGCAGCATGTGCTGAGACGACAACAAGGTTTGCTCTACTGATACCTTATTCTAAACATTTGCCCCCTTTTGTTTACTCTTCCTACGGTAAGCAATCTGTCTGCTGATCTGCCCTAGAAGCTGAAAGTTCACAGTTCACGCCTATACTCTAATAGCGCAGAATCATTAGTATGTTGCTGCATCGATATTTTGCTTAAGTGTGACAGGCTGACAGCTGGTCTTCATCTTTGCCCCTGACTCCTAAGAGCGGCATACCTGTAGGCATCTGTATGCATTGCACTACCCTAGAATTCAGCTTTGGGGTCACTCAACAACAAGCTACATTGATTGAAATACTTGACATTGGTACGTTTATGTCGCCCTGGGTAGTCCATGTCCTAAACCTAAATCCGAGTCGCCCCGCCTAAAAAACTTCTCCGTGGTGTTGCAGAAACGGAGACATATACCAGGGATGTTATGTGCCAGGGTAATTGTTCCGGGAGATGTAGAACATCATAATTGTCATATTATCCGCAATATAGCTCTGGTGTCTTTGGACATGTCGAAGAGGGGAATATCCGCTGGGTAATAATGATACCCGACACGAGGGACGAGCGGGGAGCGGAGTATAAGCAATTATCCACCTCAGGTCAGCCAAACACCTACCTCTCCTTGCTGAATCGACCCTACAAATTCAATAGCATTGGAGCTGCTTCTATAGAAAACCTCTGTATTGGAACAGTCCAATTATTAGATACTCATCGAGTATCAATTCATCTTCATCACCTGAACACCGGATCCCTCCAAATCATGAAGCTGCTAAAGTCCTTTCTGCTCGTGTCCTATGGCGGGTATACTGCGTGCAGTTCACCCGGCGGCGGATCTCCAACACGTAGACAATATGAACCTGAGCTGGCAACCTACGACGATGCTTGTAACGTAGGATACTGCTCAGTGATGGGGGCGTATGTGGTTTGACTGGATTGATACTGATTCCCTGGAGATATGGGCTAACATGGTTATTAGGACCATTGGCGGCTGGGGTACCAACGAGTACACCACTGTCTCTACCTTGGAACAATTTGCAAATGCAGTATCATCTACGGGACCGGCTGTCGTGATCGTTGAAGGAGCAATATCTGGGGAGGGAAAGGTCACCGTTGGCTCATACAAGAGTATTCTTGGTGCCCCTGGCAGTTGCAAGTTTGCCCCTAAAACCCAAGTGACTACAGCCATGAAAGCTTAAGGCTGACTGTATACCCCATTGCAAAGCCCTGGCAGGAATCGGGCTATCCCTTAATCAGAGCCGAAATGTGATCCTGCGAAATTTCAAGATCTCCAAGGTTCCTGCTAGTCAGGGGCCTGCCATCTCCGTGGAAAACTCACGCAGCATTTGGATCGACCACTGCGACTTGTCCTCCGGCTCAGATAGAGCCCAGACAGCGGGACCATACGCTCCTAGTCTTCTGAGCATATCCCAGAACAGTGACCTCGTGACTGTTACAGCCACTCTTTTCCACGATCATCCCCAAGCGGTCGTGGTTGGACAAACAGACAAATATACCAAGGTGGACAACCCGGACGGCAAGCCGCGCGTGACCTTTGCCAGAAACTATTTCCGAAGCCTCGGCAACGCTGTTTCGTACAGCTTTGGAACAGGGCACCTGTTCAACTCGTTATACGAAAACGTTACAGATGGTATCAACACTGGGATGGGTGCCAACCTCCTGATTGAGTCGAGTATATTCGAGAAATCAGGAAGGGCGATCTACAGCAATAACAGCACCGAGGCTGGGTATGCGACCGTTCGTGATGTGCTGTTAGGGGGCGCCTCAAACAGCGCCCTTGCGGGAGAAATGACCGCCGACAGCTTGCCATATCCATATGACTGGTACATTTGGGAGACGAGCAGAGTACAAGAGCTGGTTGTCGATCGAGCAGGTCAGACGTTGGATTTTTTGAAGTAGCTGAATACCGGGTCAGTACTACTGTATAAGGTACTTAGCCCTAGCCGGTCTCTATCAAGCTCAGGTTGTGCATGTGGCCAAGAAGTGCCATGAATATCATGACATTCTTGGTGCCAGGTACTTCATTAGATAAGGTAGGTATGTAGGCGATTCATTGTGCCATCAACCTACATGTAAGATCGGCGTTCATCAAAGAATCCATATGCCCATCATATGCATATCACCTTTTACACAAACAAGACATGCATGGCATACAGACTACAAGGGAATGTTTTGTCCCGATGGGCTCAAGAATGGGATGGTTGAAATTGGTTGGTTGGGGCTCTATGAGCCTTAGAGCTTCTTAAAACTCTTGAGTCCTCTATGATGGGACAAACACCCTCACCGCCTATATAGGCGTGCACTCTTCCCCACTGTCAGCTTCTCTTCTTCCCATCCATCAACAAGCTTTAGATCCCACAAAAGTTGACCAAATCGACGACTCATCGGCAGGCCAGAAGAGTAAGCAAGGCTCCTCCAGGCGAGAAAAGAGATGGACATACCTGGTTATACGCAAACACCTTACGTTAGTTGCCGGTTTAACTGATGTGGCACCTCAACCCAACTCCCCACGCGAAACAGACAGAGTGTTCACATCCGAGACGTTGCTTTTGGAGCCACCTCTCCTAGTCATATAATATTATAATCAATCTAGGTATACAGAACCGAACAACTTAGTACAACAGCAGAAACCGACACTTCACCACACATCTCACCTTCACAGGCGAGTTGAACAACATGAATAGCTTACCTATGCGAACGAGAGCAGCCTTTCTATGCTCTTCAACAACGTTAAGTCAAAGAAAGGTCATAGACCGGCTCTCATGGTGATACATTTTGGATTTACTATATATAAGAAGCGTGAGTCGTGTTCCACCTCTCCTAAACCTACAAACCAAACCAACATTCAGGACACCCCTCTGCCACCAACACCTTCGACCTGCTGAACCGTCGATTTTGTCTCTCTCAGCAGGCCGAAGCGTACCTCTCCCGACACTCACGACGCAGAGGGTTGCCCTACGCTACTACAAACACACCGCGAAACACGCGGATCAAGAGCGGTAAGCCACCCCCATCCTTTCATTACGATCCCAATCATGCCAGCAGAAGAAGCAGGCATGTTCGTGTCTCCAGGCCCGCCCGAGGCCATGGACGAGCCCCAAGACGTGGACATGGCCATGTCTCCGAGTGAGGGCGAGGGCTCAGACTACGAAGGCAACTTGATCCCGTCGGCTACAAGCTCTGAGTTGGCCGCAGCTGCTAACGAGTCGCAGGATGCTGTCCAGCCTTATGTCGAGAACGGTGACTATGACCCGGCCTGCGACAGGGGCATCCTTTTCGAGATGTGTGCGATGGTTGACAAGATCGACAGAATGCCGACTTCTGACCATTGCAAGCACGAAATGTGCGAGCTTGTCACCCGCGCCTGGGACAACCTTATCCGTAATGACCCCGGCCTTCTCTGCACCGGAAGCCCACTACCAAGGCTTCTTCAGATTGCTCGCGGTCAAGAGTCGGACAGACTCGAGTTCTATACATCGACCAACCCTCAGGGTGCACGGATCGATGCAGCCATGGCAGTGAAAGAATACTGCCAGACCGGACCCCGTGACGAGCCCACCACTGTTGAACGCGCCATCGACACCCTCTTCCAGCCCGGTGACGACGTCTGGAATCTTGACCAGTGCAAGCTGTGGCATACCCTGCGGGGCTTCTACAGCATCCCAGACGCCGTTCGGGGTCGGCCTATCGCTGAGTTCGTTCGGACTCACATGCAGCTCCTCAACCGGCTGGCCCATACGCCGCCGGCGGCTGGCTGCACTGGTGGAGAATGCTTCCCTGTCGTGCCGCTCAACTATCTGCAACATGATAACGTTGGCGGCACGTCTCGAGCTGCCCTGACCTCTGCGTTGCGCCACATGGCTCCGACTGTGGCTAACATCATCCGGGACCAACTGGACCGGCCGGGGGAGTGGCCCGGGTGGCTTCGCAATGAGCCTGATCTCATCAGGGTACTGTGGATTATGGAAAGGACTGGCGCCTTCCAGGCGCGGATGTACGCTCTAAGACATGACCGGCATTACCAGTCTTTCGAGACCAATTGCCGCCGGTGGATCCAGGAGTGGCATGATGCCAGACCGCAGAGGGCCGATCTCCGCGCAAACCCTAGCGATGAAATGCAAATGCTCATGGGCTTGTATGAAGGGGAGGTTACTGAAGCCTGGGAAAAATCTAGGCAGGGTGAAATCCTCGACGAGGCGGTGCATTACCTTGAGCTGCGGCTCGACCTCCCCGAGTCGGAGTAGACCAATCTTCTGGCATCTACAGGCTGGCCACTGGTCACGATGGATAATGCCCGGGGAAAAAGAATGCCTCGGAAACAAGAATGACTGACGGAACTAGATTGTCACCAGACGGAAATCAGATTGCCAGAGCGACCAGGTTGTGGTGAGAGGACAAGGGATGAGAGAAAGAAGGATGAGTCCCACCAGCACAACGGAAGTTGACTAGAGCAGAAATATACCTTAGATTGATACCATCGCTGATGAAAATGCCCTGGCTTGCATGTGACCTACCTTACAAAGCGAATCAGAACTCAAGCGCAGCAAGTGACACGCCATCTACATGCATTGTTATCGAATAGTACAGTTATTATCAAACGTCCCTTTTCTCACAACATCAACCTTGTTCAGTATTAGAGCTAACTAGTTCTAGTTGTTATTGAGCTGGTTGTCTTCTGTGAATGAGAGTCACTTCCCTAAATTGTATGAAGTTCAAGGAGGTTGTTGACTTTCTTGATAGGGGGTTGAACACCGTGACCGTCACGAGCAGCGCGACACAACCTAGCGATTCCAGAATCTCCAGCCACCGACTTGGAAAATTGCTGCTCCTTTTGCCTGCCATGGAGTACCAACCTTCAAGTTCGATGTCAACCGCGACCGGACGACATCAAGCACTAGACTATGTAAATCAAGCGCTTTAAGGCCTCACTACCGGTTTTGACCTTGCTAGATTGACCATCAACCGGCGACCGCGCTGCACATCCGGGAACCAGGAGGTCATACGCATGACGACTCAAAGGCAAGGCCAAAATGGGCAGCGCAACATCATGCCATGATGAAGGTGGTGAATCCTCCTCCGATGTCTCCATACCAAGATGCCCAGTCCTTGGCTATACAAGAAGTTGCAGACCCAAGGTCGTTGCAAGGGCTATGAGACCAATCAGGTACGGAGACACGATGGTTCCGAAGGCGGCGCCTGCTCCGGCGGTGCCCGCAGTCGAATTCCCACCCTGACCGCCGTTCGCGCTTGTATCGATGGTGAAGTAGGTGGCGCCGATTGCAGGCCCCAGCCCGAGCTGCGTACGCCATTGCGAGAGCTGTGGAACATAAGGTGAGCTGCTAATCCTAGCAAATCTGGTCTTCGTAGTGGGTTGTACTTACATTCCAGTTTGAAGTTTCGGTTTCCATTCCAACAGACTCAAAGCCTGCATTGTTGAACCGGGCCGGCTGGGTATAGAGCGCATAAATAAACCGGTGGACCCCCGTGTTCGGGGCCGGGTTGGGGTTCGTGAAGGGTGTAAATGCTTGCTGCCCGGTTGGCAGTCCAAGGAGCTGGGCGGTACTCAGAACAGTGGAATTGGATCCTGTTCGTGTATAATTCCCTGCCAGATAGTGGCGGAGGTTTCTTGCTGTCGGATTGTTCCGTGACGGAGCATCAGCGTCCAGCTAGCAAAGAACTGTTAGCACGGCAGTTCCCGGATTATGGTAAGATAGGTCCCCAAGTTCCTAACCAGGTAGATCAAGAACCTCGTCTGAGCGGTAATGTTTGTCGCATTGTTCAGGTTCTCGACGCTGAACTCGAACGGCATTGTTGCCTCGGAAACGCTAAGGCTCGAGCCGGGCACCAACAGCTCGTTGTGGCCATCCGCAGCCCTATAGCTGGCGTAGAAGGATACTGAAGGGTCCAGCGCGGCGATAACCTCCGGTACAATCCCTGATTGCACAAATCTGTTCTTGAAGTCCAACGTGCTGACACTGACAGCATTATCGTCTGCCGAGACCCCAAGGGCCAGGGCGAGGGCGAGCAGGCCCGCAGCTCGGAACATTGGTGCAAATTAGGGGGTGAACAGCGTTCAAAAAAAAAAAAAAAAATCCGGTTGGTAATGGATGCAGTGCGCAGCACTGGGAGAAGCGAAGGTGTAAATGGACAAGGAGAGGGACGGACTCGAGTCGTGCAAGACCTTTGGAGTATAAAGGGCGACGCACCTTCGTATATATAAACCATGAATGACTGACGATGCAATGGCATGTTCAAGTTTCGAAACGATCCCCAGCACATATAAACTCCGATGCCGTCGATGCTATCCGGAGACACGACCGAGCGGAAGGAACTGCACTGCGAAACACCCGGACGTGAATCTCAACCTTGGCAGAGAGAAAAGCACTCTGGCTTGGGCTGTGCACAGCGCCGTTGTCGACTTCAGGTTGGAGATCACACGGAGACACTGTCTTGGCGGCCCCCCTGAGTTTCGGGAGGAAGAAGCAACGATGTGGAAACACTTGAGACAGTAGCTCTTTGACCTAACTCCTGGGCTCCTTAGTTACAGAATTGCATGCGTTACAGCGTAAAAATGCCCAGTGCTCTGTGCAATGTGCTTTTTGGATCTTGAGACCCGGAGTGCTCGTTCCCTCATGTGCTACATCATGTATTGCACATACTATAATTACCGCCCCAACTTAGACCCCGTTCTAATCCCACGCAAATCCCCGGGTATCAACAGCTACCACTTTTCCTCCCTCAGTGTACGTGCCGTTGACAGGTGCCCTGAGGCCACCACAGGTCACAACATAAAGGATATGGGCATCTGTTTTGCCCCTTCCAAATGCAGCCGCGGTATTGCCCGCCAGCGTCAACTCTGAGGTCCCTCCGGCAACCACAACACTCCCATTAAACCCTCGTACAGCCAACAAACGATTATCGGAGTTAGTCGCAGCCCAAATCGTCCCATCCTTGCCAATGACAAAGTCATCAAGGAACGTCGCGTCCGGCGCAGCCGCCTTCTGCACCCTCGCACTCTCGCAAGGAGAACCATCTCTGCGCCCCCCCAGCCGGTAGAGAGAAGCATCGGCACTGTTGCTCCAGTACAGATACCCGCCGTGCATCTTGACCCCGTTGATCCCCGTGCCTGACGATCCGGCCGCAGGAGCCATCTCAGGAACCTGTGCAGCAACCCTGTGCTCGCCAGTGTGCAGGTCAAGATGCCAGACGAACCCGGCCGAGTCGGCTATCAAAACCGAGTCACCCAGTTGAGGAGAAGTTGTCATCCCGTTGGGCACTCTTGCATCGCGTAGCTGCGCGATTTCGGTCACGGCGGGTTGTGAATCACGCTGTCGGAAATCCACACTCCATGCAGTGGATGCGCCGGAACCGGGGTTTGATGCATTGGTCCCGACGAGAACAAAGACGTCCGGTGTTGCTGTCTCCGTGATACCCAACAGGCCCTCCACGCCATCGAATGTGTGGACTATCCCGGTTTTGGGCGAGACACTTGCCGGGCTGATGACGGTGTAGAGGATTGGGCTGGGGAACAGCTGGGTGAGTAGCAGGTCTCCGTTTGAGCGAACTGCGATGTTTTCGATCCAGGATGGCTTTTGAAATTGGGTCACGATTCGGTGTGGGAGCGGCAAGGCTGCTGGTGAGCCACGGGATGCATGTGAGCTCCCATGAGGTTTCAAGTTCTGCGCAAGTGTTGGAGATGTTAGGGTGAAGGCAGCGGTGAGAAACGAGGACCAAGTCGAAAATTTGCGTTTAGGTTCTATCATCTTGTATGGAAATGCAAGATACAAAGTATGAATGTGAGGGATCTAGAACAACAGAGTCCTATACACTATAAGCGTGAGATGTCGGGTCCCGCAGATTTCGATCTCTCTGTCGAGTCAACATGAACATTCGAATAATTAGCAGAGGCTGGAGTAACCCGTCGGCTTTTCATGCTGTTTAATTCCTTGGTATATACATGTACCTACCTAGGTAAGGGTATATTTAAGCTTCCATATGTATTGCTCTTCACAAGCAGTGAAGCAAGCCATGTCGTTATTCCCGTCGCTTGTTCCTGCCCCAGTGACTCACCGGTGAGATTGACGAAGGTTTGGCTAGTCCACATCTGCTCAAGTGCACGTCTACGGCAAAGCTGTCAGGCGATTGGAAAGTCCGAGATCAAGTCCGACTCGTACTCGAGGGCGGCCAAATCCTTCTGACTAGGTGAATATAGGAATGTCGAATTGAACGGCGCCTTTGTCGCTAATCACTGCTGCAATTACAAGCTAGCCAGGGGAGACTTGAAGTGAGTTTCAAGGTTCCTCTTCATTCGGTCCTTCTCAGAACTATGACGATGTGGTCACCTACATGTGACTTCATGTTGAGTTCCAGGCAATTCATGTTGCTCCAGGTCGTATCAATCTGGACTCGGGAGGGAGGGATCGCCAGCGTTGGGTAAGGCACTACTAGTAGGCACTATCAATGTGACCAGTGAGATGGAATAGTATATATGTATAATCAGAATGTTTCCTTCTTCGCTCTTTGTGCTCTTGCATTATGATGTCTGCATGTGGTGTGTGTATGTACCTGAGGTTTGTAGCTCATGTTATAACTGAGATCCATGGATGTCCAGGGGTAATTGACCATACCTAAGACATCAATCCTTACCTATGACGGTGAGACGGTACACTCAGGTACCTTAGTCAATAGGTAATTCAGGCACATCGTAGCAGCCTCTATCACTGGTTCCAACGCCGTGAATGATTGTCTTTTAGCTCAAAGTTGAGCCTTCCTCTTCATCATGGATCATTCGCGTTGCTCAGCTACTACTCTATTGTCGTCAATGTTTCTCAACAGATCTCACCTCTACCTACATGCACATACAAAGTACCTATCTTATGCTGGGTCGCTCAGTTTGATGCGCAACAAATCGGAAGCGGGAGCTCCGCTTTTGCTCGATCCATTATCCATTATTGAGGCGTCATAGAGAAGAGAGAGAGGCCAAGGGATGGTGGCCGAGTTGAGCTAGAGCAATTCAACTCTTCGGTAGAAGCATCCGGGTCGCGATAATTAATCCCATACCAGCTTACAGTCAGATGCCAGGGCGGGAATCTATGGCACTGAAGGTGACTGGCTGAGCTGTCAATCCAACCCAACTTGGACCAGTCCTGCACACCAACTGCCGGCAACAAGTCCGCCCAGAACGCCGGCGCCGGCCAATGGGACGTTGTTTGTGGTGCTCGGCACAACTGGGGCCTCGGGGAAGATGTGGTCGGTGAGGGGCCGATTTAATTGCCTGGTAAATTGCCCCGTCAAGCAACGTCCCTCCATAGCCGCCCGGGAACCCATTGGGGACGACATTGCAACTGCGGGGTCCAAGACTCCGTGATTCGAAGATGATCCGACCCGGAAAAAGGCATGGAAATGATGGGACTGAGAAGGGCCAGCGTCACAACGGGCTAATCATTCTAATGCCCGCAACCGAAAGACTTCGGTTCGATGTGTTCATCATCACTCGCCGCCGTGGAGGGCCCTCCGGGACGCAATTCGGCGCCATACCCCATGATACCCCATGAAATACCCCAGATTTCCAGGGGCATCCAATCTATCTTGCTGTCGCTTAGCTGGGCCAAGATTCGCCGTGCATTGCCTCCCGGCGAACTCGGACCAACTGTTGGCTGATCAATAAAGGGATATGGAGCTGCGGCTATGGAAAGACGGCTGTCTTTTCCAGAGCTCGAGTTCCAAGGATGATGAGCCTGTCGCCACTTTCCAGGGCGGACCAGGCCCCGGCAGGGGGGTCGAGGGTTCAGGACGTATAAGAAGACGCGGTAGCCTCCCCTGGGGCCGACTGCAGCACAGAGCCTCCTCTTGTCACGCTCAACCCGGATTTCTCTAGAGTTTCTTTACTCAGTTACGGTCTCGCAGCCATGAAGCAGTATCTCCAGTATCTCGCGGCGGCTCTGCCCCTGACGAGCCTCGTTGCGGCTCAGCAGGCGGGCAAGCAGCAGACTGAGACACACCCCAAGCTCACCTGGAAGCGCTGCTCGAGCGGTGGATCCTGCACTGCGGTCAACGGTGAGGTGGTCATCGACTCCAACTGGCGCTGGCTGCACGACTCGAGCGGCAAGAACTGCTATGACGGCAACGCGTGGACCGACGCATGCAGCTCGGCAACCGACTGCGCGTCCAAGTGCCAGCTCGAGGGCGCCAACTACCAGAGCACCTACGGCGCCTCGACCAGCGGCGACTCGCTGACGCTCAAGTTCGTCACCAAGCACGAGTACGGCACAAACATTGGGTCGCGCTTCTACCTCATGAACGGCGCCTCCAAGTACCAGATGTTTACTTTGATGAACAACGAGTTTGCCTTTGACGTTGACCTGTCGACGGTTGAGTGCGGCCTCAACAGCGCCCTGTACTTTGTCGCCATGGAGGAGGACGGTGGCATGGCCAGCTATCCCAGCAACAAGGCCGGTGCCAAGTACGGTACAGGTGTAAGTCTCTATCCGGCCACCTGACATGAAGCCATAACGGGAGAGGTTTTGACAGAACGGCTGATCTGATTCCCTGGGCAGTACTGCGATGCCCAATGCGCCCGTGATCTCAAGTTCGTGGGTGGCAAGGCCAACATCGAGGGCTGGAAGTCGTCGACCAACGACGCCAATGCCGGTGTCGGTCCCTATGGCGGCTGCTGCGCCGAAATCGATGTTTGGTATGTTTACTAGTACCGATCACTGGCACCACCCCTGAATGTACCTGAATATTCGCCTAACACAGAACCTCACAGGGAGTCGAACGCGTATTCGTATGCCTTCACCCCTCACCCGTGCGAGAACAACAAGTACCACGTCTGCGAGACGTCCAACTGCGGCGGTACCTACTCCGAGGACCGCTTCGCCGGCGGCTGCGACGCCAACGGCTGCGACTACAACCCCTACCGCATGGGTGTGACCGACTTTTACGGCAAGGGCAAGACGGTCGACACCAGCAAGAAATTCACGTAAGTCACTAAATGCATATTCGGGATTAAGCCGCATACTGACATGGATAACAGTGTCGTCACCCGGTTCCAGCCGAACAAGCTCACGCAGTTCTTCATCCAAAACGGCCAAAAGATTGACACCCCCGCCCCGACCGCCTGGGAGGGCGCCCCCGCGACGGCCGACATCACGCCCGAGCTGTGCTCGGCCGCCTTCACGGCCTTTGACGACCGCAACCGCTTCGAGGAGGTCGGCGGGTTCCCCCAGCTCAATGCTGCTCTCCAGATCCCCATGGTCCTCGTCATGTCCATCTGGGACGACGTAAGTTTTTGCTCTACTGCATTCCCTGATATTTGAAAGATGGGTGTTGATAATGATGTCTCGCAGCACTACGCCAACATGCTCTGGCTCGACTCCATCTACCCGCCCGAGAAGGAAGGCCAGCCCGGCGCCGCTCGCGGCTCATGCCCCCAGACCTCGGGTGTCCCCTCCGAGGTCGAGTCGCAGTACCCCAACGCGTACGTTTCTCCTTTCTCTGGCTTTTTAACACAACAAGATGCTGACCCGTCTTATAGCAAGGTCGTCTGGTCCAACATCCGCTTCGGCCCCATCGGCTCGACTCACCAGGTCTAAGCTTTGGCTCTCAGCTCGCGCATCTCGTATGCGGCGTTGGCACCACCTTTGGGCTCTTGTTCGCTGATGGGACAAATAAGACTGTGTCTTTCTCCATTCAGAATGTCTATAAGCATCTTAGGTTCTTATAGTCGTAGAAATTGCGATTCGCATTTCAGACAATGCCATTTTGGGAAATTTATGTTGTAACACAACTGGTCAGGTCCGTCAAACGATGAAAGCACTGGATTGCTCTGGGCAAGGATCACTGGAAGTGGAGCCCATCACAGCCAGATTTTCATGGCATGGTACTTGTTGCACCTTGAGAAATTAGTAGACCTCCATGATGTGGGCTGTAAAAGTGAGCTTGAACATGTAAATGCTCTAGGGGAAGCATACCTACATTCCCATGTACGTCAGGGGTATTCAGGGGAAGTGTGGTCTTGTGTCTCAGCAGTTTGCCATATATAACCCCAACCCTTGGCAGGAGAGCCATGGTTGTCCACATTGTCCATAGGTATTCAGCGTTGAACTCGAATTAGGTAGGGTGTACCGGTGCCAACTCTTCGATCTGAATCTCTGTTTTACCTTGCGCGTGGGCGTGAAACGTTGGCGTGGTTTGAGTGTTAGTGTAGCAAACGTTGTTCCGTAGGGATGTGCTGGAGGTTCTGTAGGCAAAAATGTGCCTGCGTGGGGGTGGGTCTTAGGTAGTGCATGGTGCAGTGACGTAACAGGAACTTAATGCCCCCAGAGTCCCAACTCGACGGAGGTAGGCCACATGAACTGCCCTCCATACCGTACGGTTGGATCTACTGTACCTACCTCAGATATTCAAGCCAAGTGCATACGGGCAGCTGACGAACTCAAAACAGTTGTGCCCTGCTTGAGAGAAGTCGATAAGGAAGATAAAGCCACCAGGTATCCGTAGCAGGTACCTTATCTCTCAACATTCAGTTCCTGGCTGATAAGGAAAGCGCTCTGGTCTGATGCTCGGACACTAACCTCAATTAGTAAGGTACCCATCCCTCTGGCAAGGGACCCATTCTGCGTTACCTGTGCCTTGGAACCTCGGCGAAGCGAACTCAACGAAAAAATCATTGGAATTCTGGAATGCCAGAAAGGAAGGAGCGAGGTACCCCGCCAAGCTCAAGCTCAAGCTCAATTTCCTTTCCTTCCCTTCATTTTTTCTTCTCCCATGCGCAACACTCAGCCCAAATAAACAACCCCACGCAAACCGCCGGCGATCATGAGCTCACTCCCGGGCAGTTCATCCGGTCGTGGCGCTGTGGCGTCATTGCCGCCGGCGCGGGCCGACGCGCGCCCGGGCACGGGCACCGTCACCGAATACGACTCGTCAGACGACGCGGACGGCTTCTTGGCCGCGATGGGGTACAAGGCGGAACTGGTACGCACGCGCTCAACCTGGCACGTGGCCTTCATGTCCTTCGTGCTGGCGTCGATTCCCTACGGCCTCGCCACGACGCTCTACTATCCGCTGCAGGGCGGCGGCCCCGCCGTCGTCGTCTGGGGCTGGGTCCTTGTTAGTTTGATCATCCTCTGCGTCGCCGCGTCGCTGGGTGAGATTACCTCCGTCTATCCGACTGCTGGTGGGGTTTACTATCAGACGTTTATGTTGGCGCCGGCGAGGATCAGGAGGGTGGCGGCGTATATTTGTGGGTGGTGCTACGTCGTGGGGAATATCACGATCACTCTGGCGGTGCAGTTTGGGACGACGCTGTTTTTTGTGGCGTGCGTCAATGTCTTCGAGTCGGAGCCTGGCGTGGGTATCTGGGTCACCGACACGTACCAGGTGTTTCTGACCTTTTTGGCTATAACGCTGCTGTGTAATGCCATCTCGACCTTTGGCAACAAATTCTTGCCCCTTTTGGATGTGAGCTAGATACCCTTACCTACCTACATGCACTGCCCGGTCTCTTCCGCACCTTGCTAACATGCCGCTGCAGACCTTTGCCGTCTTCTGGACCTTTGCCGGACTCATCGCCATGCTAGTCACTGTCCTTGCCGTCGCGAAGGAGGGACGACGCGATGCTGCGTTCGCCCTGGGAGGTTTCGAGCCCACGTCTGGATGGCCGGCGGGGTGGTCGTTCTGTGTCGGCTTGCTCCACGCTGCCTACGCCACTTCATCCACGGGCATGGTCATCAGCATGTGCGAGGAGGTGCAGCACCCAGCTACCCAGGTGCCCAAGGCCATGGTGCTAACCATTGTCATCAACACGATCGGCGGCCTGCTGTTCCTTGTGCCCCTGATGTTTGTCCTGCCCGATCTGGCCATGCTGGTGGCTCTCCCCTCGGGCCAGCCCGTGCCCACCATCATCAAGTCGGCCGTCGGCTCTTCGGGCGCCGCCATTGCCCTGCTTCTGCCTCTGATGGTGCTGGCCATACTCTGCGGCGTGGCCTGCACCACGGCGGCCTCTCGCTGCACCTGGGCCTTTGCCCGCGACGGCGCCATCCCCGGTTCCAAGTGGTGGAAGCAGGTGCATCCCACGCTTGACCTGCCCCTGAACGCCATGATGCTGTCCATGGTGATTCAGATCCTGCTGGGCGTCATCTACTTTGGCTCTACCACCGCCTTCAATGCCTTCTCGGGTGTCGGCGTCATCTCCTTGACCCTGTCGTATGCTGCTCCGATTGCCGTGTCCATGCTGGAGGGCCGCGCTCAGGTCAAGGATGGCAAGTTTTCTTTGGGCAAGTTTGGCTGGCTCTGCAACGGAATTGCCCTTGGTGAGTTGCTTCCTTTCGCGTCCTCATTTCTGTCCATTTCCTCGACCTCTACTTGTATCACTTGCTAACCAGCGAGCTCAAACCAGCCTGGTCGATCCTTGCCGTGCCCCTTTTCTGCATGCCCGCTTACCTTCCGGTCACCCCCCTGACTGTCAATTATGCCCCTGTCGTCTTTGTCGGTTTTGTTGCTATTGCATCTGCCTGGTACGTCGTCTGGGGCCGGAAGCACTACCAAGGGCCGCCGACAGAGCATCTGGGGCAGCCAGTGGCGGGACTGCCCGGGGCTGCTGCCGGACTCCCCGGCAAAAAGGATTAGAAAAGGAGCCATGTCGCTGCGAGATATCCGGCGTGAGACACAGCCCATGACATATCGATGTATGCACGATACCACCAAGAACAGGGCTTCCAAGCGTGATCCAACAACCCATCCGAACTTTTGAACTAGCGCCTTCATACCCTTAGAGTCTATACTATCCACGTATAGGCATTGATCAATGATAAGATGAAGAAACTTTAGGCGATATCATGAGTCACGTTCCCAGCAAATCCGCCAGATTTGCGCGTTCCCCTTTACATCACCAGGCCCTTGACTTGCTTGTCATTGAGCTTGACGTCTCTCCAGAAGACGACGCACACCAAGGCGCCGCCTAAGAGACACACACTCGTAACCAACATATACCATTGTGCATCAGCATAGGCGAGCGCGATACCCTTCCGGATTGGGCTGCCCACGACGTAGCCAAGCTGGGAGTAGATGCTGCTGTAGATGGTCTCGACCGGCGAGCCGGGGGGCAGATGGCGGCGCAGAGCGGCGGGGAACGAGCCTGTCCAGATGGCCGCCGAGACGGTCGAGCCAACGGCAGTGCCAACGCTGCCAAACAGGTCCAGAATGGCCAGGATGGCTGCAATCTCCTGGTGGGTGACCGTCGACATCATGGCCAGCTCGCCGCAGATAACAATCGGGCCGCCGGCAAAGGCAATGAAGATCTGCGTCATGACTATGTAGCCGATGCCCGAGTCCGGATGCCGGAAGTGGATCATGAGCCCGACGCCCAGCATCATCAGGGGCACCGCGAAGTACAGGGCTACCCACTTGAACCGCCGCGTCCAGCGGATCAGGAAGCCAATCACCAGCGCCGAGAAGCAAGACCCCACGCGGTAGATGTTGCTGATGTAGGTTGTGGTGGTGATGGACTGGTTGAACGCGACCATGAGCATGGACGTGAAGTAGCTGCCCCATACGGCTGCGTTGAAGAAGACAAGCAACAGCATCATCCCGGACAGCAGTACGTTGCGGTCGGCAAGTAGGCGCGTCGGCACGAAATTGACCGGGGCCAGGAAGTGCTCGTAGAGTGCAAAGGCAATGATGAGCAGGCCGCCAAAGACGATGAGGCAGATGATCAGCGGGGACCGCCACTGCTGGGCTTGGTACGACCAGATACTCATGGGCAGGAGGAACATGGCCATGCCGGCTGCCAGCAGCACGATGCCGAGCAGGTCGAATTCGATGGCGAGCTGCTTTGCCGTGGCAAGGGTGAAGGGATGGGTTTGGCGTGCGACGACGCCGAGTTTCTTCGCTCTGTGCTGGTTCCAGAGGAAGAGGAGGATCAGGGGGGCCACCACGGCTGGTGTCAGGATCGCAAAGATGCCCAGACCCCAGCGCCATCCCGCACCTCCGACTCGGAGGAAGGCGTCGGACATTGGGCCGCCTATCCAGGTTGTGGCGATGTACGGCGAGGTGGCCCAGGATAGAGCAAGACCGCGGTTCTTGAGGCTGGATGTGTCGGCGATGAAGACGGTTAGGCAGTAGCTCACGCCTTGGGCTCTATCGGGCAGTTAGCATCACAACTCCGGGAAGACATAACCTGGTGCATCCAACCCGGCCCTGGGGTTCAGATCTGGTGACATACCCGACGAGGGAAAAGACCTGGGCCGCAGCAAACGTCTCAACACCATTGCAGCTCGCCATCATGATGAACCCCAGCGCCCAAATGACCAGCATAAGCGTCAAGCCCTGCGGCCGGCCCCATAGATCCAGGATCTTGGCCAGCGGAAGCTTCGCCAGACCGGCAATGATGGGAGCAAATATGTTGGTGGCCGCCGTCAGGCTGTGCATTGAGAAACTGCTGGTGATGAAGGGCGAGTATGCGCGGACGACGACCTCTTCGAGGGAGGTGATGAAGTAGATGAGCCATATTCTGGCGCGGTCATAATTAGAACATTCTCATCACGATTCGGGACGGGGAGGGTGATGGCTAGTCCTACATTCCATATGCGGCTACCAGATGCCATTTTGTCCAGACAGAGGTGGCTGCTTCGATGTTTTGGACGCCGGCTTGTGCGTCGCTCGAGACGGATGCCGTCTTTTCGAGATCTGCAGCCTGAGGTGCCTCCTTGGCCAGAGGTTCAGGTCGGGCATCTTTTGGAGAATTGGCGTCGTTGAATTGCCCTGTTGTTTGGAGGGACTGCATGGCTGATGGTCTTGCTTCCGCTCAACATCTGACAAACGACACACAACAAGAAGAGAGAAGAGATGGACGGCTAACAAAGTTGGACCAGACCTCACAGGGCTTGGCCTGAATCCAATCTCTAGGTTGCATCCATCGGGGAGCTTCGGCGTGCTCGGACTGCAGGGGGCTAAACACCGCACAGCACCGGACTGGACCTTCTCACCCCAGTCCAGGAACGGGAAAGAAGCTGGATGTGGCAAACGAAGATGGAGGGTGTGTGGAAAACCCCTAGCGTCGTCCAAGCTGCCGATATCAGATGATCTGATAAAAAATCTCGTGCATGCCAAGCTAAAACTATTGAGATCGCTTCTCCAGCGGATCCGCAGTTGGCCAACTTTGAGCGAAGCGAGATCGGCGGGGTCTGTTGGAACGGTTGACAGGGGCAGAAGAAGTGACACCCCCTGAAGTTGGGGTGGTGTGGTTGTATAAATGACACGATGCCTCGGCAGGAGCAGGTTCAGTTCCTGAACGTATATTGTTGGCTGGCCGGGCAGACTTTTACTCGTCCAGTGACAGATCTTGCCGGAAGTAGTAGAGTTGACTCCAGGGTTGCAACGAGACGAGACCCTTCGAGCTTACCGCCCAACCAAGCCGAGAAGTTTGAACCTCATTTTGTTCCCTACCATCTACGGTCAAGATGAGATACCTCCCCGCCCTTCTCGCCGCCGCAGCCCTCGTGAGCGCGCAGAACGAGTCCATCAGCGACTATCTGCCGGCATGCTCCATCGACTGTCTGACGACGGCCATTGCCGACGCCACCACGTGCACCGGGACATCGGACCTTGAATGCTTCTGCATTGCAGACAACTACCGGGCCATCTATGACAGTGCTGTCGCCTGCGTGCTCCAGGCGTGCGGGAATGATGTTAGCGTTGGTACGCATCTCAATGTTCAAGTGTTGTTATTCAGCGTTCGTGTTCTCCTGAATCTAACGAGGAGACTCCAATAGGAGAGGTTCTCCCTGCCGCCGCTCACATGTGCGAGGTTGTGGTGGCACGCGCATCGAGCACTTCGGCCGCCGCAAGCACTGGTACCTCTGCTGCTGCCGGTCAAAGCACGGGTGCAGCTACGACGACCTCTACCAATGGCGACAGCACGACATCTCCTACAAGCTCTCCGACCTCCACCGGGACTGCTACTCCGGGGTCAAACGCGGGAGGCCGCAGTGCCCAGGTGATTGCCTTCATGGGCCCGTTGGTGGCTCTCGTCGCCGCTGCCAACGTGTAAGGTGGCACTTGGGGGCACTGGAGGGTACCACATAGAGAGGATGGGCTTTGTATATATGAGGCATATATGGAAGCAATTCTGTTACAAGGACGGACTGAATGAGCTTCCCATGCAAGCACGTTGGCACTCCCCTTTGGCACATCTCTCTCTCTGCTAAGCCGGCAAACCGCCAGGGTGACTCAATCCAAACCGTCTACCCGCAAGCAGAATCTCTTGCCTGATGCCTTTGACTGCACTGGCGGTGTGCAAACCCCCTTTTCACACCACTCAGGGGCTGTAGGCCTCCGAACTTGTGTTACCCCTATGCAGGACACCGATGCCTCCTTATTCCGGACAAGGCTGGCCGGCAGAGCCGCAGCACTGAGGCCCGCAGCGCACTGTTTGTTTGTCGTTGGCGGTGGGTGGGCACTGGATGAGTACAGACAAGAAAGGATTAAAGAAGGGGGAAAAACCTGGTCCCTAACAGATCAGTGTCTACCACCTCCTACACAACCTTTATCAGCCCATACTCTGTTTCAATCGCCACTGAGACAGAACCAAACACCTCGTCATAATGTCGCCGTCCGAAGAACCTTCAGACCCCAATCCAAAACGCGTGGTAATCGGCATCTACGGTGTCTCCGGCTGCGGCAAGTCTTTCTTGCTCAACCAGCTGCGAAACAAGCTCAACAAAGACCTCTACTCGTTCCACGAAGGGTCAGAAGTGATTGCCTCGCTGGTCCCAGGCGGCCTTGAAGAATTCCAACAAGCCGATCCCCAAACCAAGGAAATGTGGCGTCGCCGGGCCATGGAGAGCATTGCAAATGACAACCAACCTGGCCAATCCGGCCAATATCAAACTGCTGTTGTTGCCGGCCACTTCATGTTCTGGCCCAACGAAGCGGACCCAGCCGGGGAGGTAGTGTTCACGGATGCCGACGCGGCCACGTACACGCACATCCTCTACCTGGACATACCCCTCCAGGTCATCTTCGACCGCAGACAAAAGGATTCCGCCCGCGCCCGCCCGCCCGTGTCAGTCGAACACCTGCACAAATGGCAGCTGGCCGAAAAGACCGAACTACGACGTGTCTGCGCCGAGAAGGGTATCCTCTTCGCATCGCTGTCCACATGCAACCCGGTGGTCTTGTCGGTCAGAGCGGCGGCGATGCTGGCTGATTTCCGCTGTCACACGGAAGAGTCCAATCTCTCGTGGACGAAGACCAGGTTGGATACCATTCTCACCAGTCATTATGAGGTGGAGAAGCTCCAGACGGTGCTGGTCTTGGACGCAGACCGGACCCTGGCTCCTGACGACACGGGGGCGGCGTTTTGGAAGGCTGTTTATAAGGAATCCAACCCTTTGAAAGCCCTCTTTGGTGGTCCGTTGAGGTATTCTTATACTGCCTTCAGGCAGGCCACGCTCTTGTACGAGGAACAGGCCGATGAACAGAATTACAATGCCATCTGCGAGCGGATTGCATCCTCGGTACGCTTGTACCCGGAGATGGTGTCCATGCTCAAGCACGTCGGGGAGCATGACCATGTCGCTGCCGTGGTTGTGACCTGCGGGCTGCGCCGGGTTTGGGAGCTTGTCTTGGCCAGAGAAGGTTTGAGCAAAGTGAGGGTTGTTGGTGGAGGACGCCTCGCCGACGGGTTTGTCGTAACGGCGGATGTCAAGGCTGAGGTTGTCAGACTCTTGAAGTCCAAGTACAATCTCTACACGTGGGTGTTTGGCGACGGGCCACTTGACCTACCCATGCTGCAGGAAGCTCACAAAGCGATCGTTGTGGTGGGAGAGGAGCAAGCCCGGAGCAAGACCATGGACGCTCTCCTGTCAGACGCCGTCGACAAGCACGGGCTCTGCGCGCACCAGGTGCTGCTTCCGCAGAATGTAACTCCCCGACTGGACAAGCAGAGACTTCCATTGTTGCAGCTCTCGGATCCTCAATTCCGTTACTCGCTGATCCGAGAGCGTCGTCGTGTGGTGATGCACGCAACTGAATGCAACGGAGCCAAGATCCTCGCCACGGCCACCCGCAATGCGGCTGTTCAGGGCCCAGCGCTGAGAGACGCCCACCGTCGTGTGGGGTGGTACCTGGCAACCGAGTTCCTGGCTGACTTCCTCGGGGTCGAAGAGTATAATATTCCGCATGTTCAGGGGAAACCGACCACCGGCCACCGGGTTCTCTTTGAGAGGGTAACCACCATCGTGGCGCTGATGCGTGGCGGGGCACCCATGGCTGAGGGAGTAAACGATGTGTTGCCGCTTGCCATGTTTGTTCATGCCCATCAGCCGGAGGACTTGAAGGCTGATAAACACTTGGCGGGCCAGCGGACTGTGGTGCTCGTGGACTCGGTTGTGAACAATGGCACGACTGTGGCCAAGTTTGTGCGGCACATCCGCGGCCTTGACCCACGAATTTGCATCGTGGTTGTTGCTGGTGTTGTTCAGAAACAGTCAGTCTTGCCTGGCAATGCCCTTGGCGATATGCTGGAGCGCGACAGAAACTTGAGCTTGATCGCCCTCCGTCTCTCAGGGAATAAGTTTACGGGTACTGGCTCGACTGACACGGGCAATCGCCTGTTTAATACCACTCTACTGGACTAGTTGCATGGAATGCATGGATATTTGTTGGGGTCAACAAGTCAACCTTGTGGTTGCCCCGCAGACGGGAAGACGCTGAACATGATGACTACCTAAGGTACTTAGGTGTACTAGCAATGGGAATAGACTAGTTCTTTGAGGTTTCTAGGTCTTGCTAGGAGACGCTGACGATAACTGCCTCTTATTTCCCCTTATCCATGGAGTACATTTGTTGAGACGCGTACCTATCATGGCGTGGTAGGCACACAACAACCATTTTTTGGGTCAACCCCTATTTTCCAGGGCTGTAAACAACCTCACCCAGAGTACACACCCGTATCCTCAAACGGCTTCGCCGCGACCGAGGTCCACGCCCCGTCACACATCAGGGCAAGGTCAGTCTCCTTGCCATGAAACAGCAGCTCCTCCTCGCCATCCCAGAACTGAGTGACGGACCGTTCCTATTCGATTCCCCCAGTCAGCTCATAAAGTCATAATCAAGCCGCACATGCAGGCTCTCAGTGAGCAAACGCCATCCCATCAGGGTGCATGTACTTACCAGCCCCAAAGTCAGTTTAATCACACCGTCCCCCCACTGCGTCTTGTACGTGTACCTCGGCTTCTTCCCCCTGACAGCAAGCACCACGTTGTCCGCAGCAATCTCGGCCTGACGTGCGGCTATCCGCGAATTGGGGTTCGGCGCCTTGGTGTCTGCCACGTCGCCACAGACATAGATGTTGGGGAAGTCGGCGTCGATCTGGAGGGTGGGCTTGACACGGATGTGGCCCGATGGGGAGATAGCCTCGGGTGCTAGCTCCGTAATGAGACCTGATGCCGGTTTCTGTCCCGTGCAGTTGATCTGCCGCCATTTGCCGGTCAGTGTCAGTTAAGTGTTCCCAGAGGTGGAGGGTACAGAGAAATCCTACAAAGCAGTCACACTCGATCTTCCTCCCTGAGCTGAGTGTGATGAACTTGCCGTCAGCGCTCGTCGGGTCCGCCTTCTCGTTCAGGATCACGTCAACCCCTAACGTCTGCAGGGCGTCCATGGCCGCTTTCTGTAGACCCGGCCCAAAGCGATGCATGACTGCCCCCCGTGAGTGCACCAGAGTAATGCATTTGTCCGGATACTGGTTCTTCGCATCCGTGGCCAGCTCAACACCAGCCGCACCACCGCCGGCAACAACAACATGGTCTGCACCCTTGATACGAGCCTGCATAGCTCTGAGCAGCTCCACCCCTCCCTCCTTATCCTCAACCCCGACGCGTGACGGGAGCCCGTCCGCCACCGTGGACCCTGTGGCTATGATGAGATACTCATAGGGCACCTCCTCACCACTCCGCAAGACCACACTTTCCCGCCGAACCGACACCACCCGATCCCTGATCCACCTCACCATGCCCTTGGGGCCCTTGGCAAAGAAGTCGGGCGTGTACGGGATGAAGGCCTTGTGCTCGTGGCCCTCGACCACACAGAACCGGGGCAACACCCATGTGAAGTTGAAGTGGCTGTTGGGTTCGATCACGACCACCCTGTACCTGCCATCCCGGGGCAGAGACCAGGCTAGAGTGCGCGCGGCGAAGTAGCCTGCAAACGCAGCGCCTACGACGACAATGTTCTTGACTTCGGATGGGTCGACGGGTGGGCTTGAGGTGCGGGTGGTCAGGCCTGCTAACCGGACTGATACCGTGCGGCCGAGGAAGGAGACGTAGAGGCGGAGGACATAGCCGAATAGCCGGGTGAAGAGGACGGCTTTTTTGATGCGCTTGAGGACCATGTTTGGGATTATATCGTCGACGATGATGGCGGACAAGAAGAATGGAAGGATGGAAGGTGGAAGGTGGAAGTCAAGCTCCAATGATCAACTGTTGGTCATGCAGCTCATGCTAGGCATTCCCATCTAAAGCAGCATTGAGAGGTATTGTTCCAAGCCCGACTCCGAATCCGACAAGCGACGAATATGCCGGACAGGCCGAGGCCGCATAGCAGTGGGGGCCATGTTGGGCTTCAGGGGACCATCTGGACCAGACCTCAATTACTCCGTACACGCCCCTGACCGGCCAGGGGTGCTTTGGCAAGGGGTTCACGAGACACATGCAGAAGTTCCCTGCCGCGCTAATGCATTCTGATCTGATAACGAACCGAGTCTTGGCATCTCGGAGCAAATTCTCTCGCGAGTGGAATCATCCTTCATGACCAGACCTAAACAGGCAAAATCAGCCGAGGCAGCGGTTCAAGGGGATTTAATCATTAGGTAATTTACCAGAATATCTGCTTTGTGGTATACAAATCCGCGAGAGGAAAAGGGAAAGGCAAAAGGGGAAATCTAGGTTTCCCTAGACAAAAATCTCCCCAAGCCGAGTTTTGCCAACAAAATTCTGAAGAGTTCACCCCAGCTCGGGACCCGAGGTTCCCTCTTTGCCTCGGCCGCTGGGCCGGGGTTACTGGGTTTCTTGATCTCAGCGAAGCGGGGATACCCTTTCTCCTTCCACTCGTAGAAGCTCATGCCGCCTGCCATCTTGGGCATACGGACCATGAGCGGCACCGTCACGTCTTCCCTGGTGCCCAACAGCTCTGCTTTGTGGACAATCGTCTCGTTGAGCCTCTCGTAGCCCATCTTCTCATAGAGGCCCACCGATGTAGGTGAGGCCTCAAAGTACATGGGCAGGCCGGTGCGGTCGCAGAGGTCGATACCCATGGATGCCATGGCCGCACCCGCTTTTTTGCCTTGGTGCTCGGGGAGTACGCCAATGACATGTGCGTCTTGGGGGTGAAAGAGTCAGCGTTAGCAATCGCAATGCTAGACCGGGCGGCACAGGAGGGAGGCTCACAAATATACGGCTGCCCACCAAACAACCGCTCCCTCATCTCCCACAGCGGATTAAGCACCTTCTCAGCCCTCTCCCGCTGCTCCCCCTCCAACCACGGCACACCACCATTCTTTCTTTCCTCCTCCGACCGGTGCTTGATATAGATATCGATGAGGGCCATGCCCACAATCTCGCCCGTGTCCATGTCGACGCACTTGTACGTGTACTGGGTATCGCTCTGGTGCCACCAGCTCAGCGTGCCGGCCGCGTGCGCCTCACGGAACTGCTCCGAGTCGATGCCGTTGGGGAAAAGGATCTGAAGCATGATCTCCCCCATGCCGTCGTTGCCGAATGCTCCAAAGTAGACGTTGTAGACTTTCCGGATGTCCGGGATTAGGGCGGGAAGGACGGCGTGTACCATTTTGGCGGTTGAGTGATTGGACTGGGGAACGAGTGTTATGGAAGAAGTTCGGTGACGGTTGAGCGGTTGCTTGCTGTGTGGTGATATTGAGGACAGTAGCCTTGGTAAGTTGAAGGTACGCTGCTTGAGGGTTTACCAGGTAGCGAGTAATGAGTGAGGATTGAAAGAAAATATGGCAATGGTAACCCTCCAGTGGTCTCTGAATGTCTTCTATTTGGTTTCCCTCGGGAGTGGGGACTCGGGACGGACTCGGGTTCGAGACGGAGCTATTGAGTCTTGGAGTCTTGGACCCAACATGAAATCGCTGTGTGATCCTCTTGCTCCGCTACCTTACCCTTAACTCGGGACCAGCGGTGCCATTCGAGTCCGTTGCCTACATGTAACGAGGAGGGGCAGGGTGTGCATGAACAGACCCAGTATGTACTATCGATAGCCACGTGCCAGTGAGGTCCCATTCGGGGAGTAACTCCGCAAATGCCTAGCGTAGGTAGGGTCTTCCTCCTTGAGACAATCAACACCCCTCGCTCGGCGGCCGGGTCTTACGAGGTTGGGTATGCAGAGTGCAGCTGGCCATGTCGGGTAAAATGTCGAGGGTGCAAGAAATGCCACCCTCCCTGGTACGCTAAATCGTCCGATAGAGTGTTATAAGCGCGCTGTAAAAGCTACCAGGTATGGTACCGAAGTAAGATATGTTCCTACTTAAGAAGTAAAATGCTATAATCCGGTGCTTAGGAAGGTGCAAGTACGTACCTCTACGACGTATACAGTCGTCTTATCCACCCCGCTTGTCGATTTCTCCTGTTCTCCACTCATTCCCACGGCATCCGGCGTTGTTGGCACCACGCGAGGACGGTTGATCGTATTCGCTTCTGACGGGATTACAGGAGTGTTGCATGCATGCGAGCGCGATCCAACCAGTTCGAGCCAGTCCGTCCGGTTCCATCGCAAACCTCGGCCAACCGACTTGCAGGCAACCAACTCTAAAAGTTAACGTTATCTGATCCGCATTGGGGTGGGGCCCACGCCGCTTTAAAGTTCCACTTGCAGGGGTTATTGTCCGAGATCGGCATGACTTTCACAGATCAGATCATCTGATAACTCAAACCCAAAAAAGGACAAACTCAAATCGGAACATCGACACTTCGTCTTAGCGTAGGTGCTTATCTGAAGGTACCACTACGTCTTGAGACGCCTTCTTTCTGACCAACATTATTTCAACCTTGTCGTTTCAATGGCGACGCCGGAAATCCCGGGATTGGCGAATTTCAATTCCCAACGCTACTACCGGTAGTTGGCGGGAAACCCGGAGAATTGGTTTCAGAAATGGATAAGGAAGGTGCGTTATATTATGCTTCAAGAGATGGAAGTTGGAACTCCATTACTACAGAGACTAGAAATCCTGGAATTTGCATGCCGCTCTTTCTCCCACCGTCCCACGCTCCTTCCCCTTGTTCCAAGAACTCATCATCTAAACTCTAAAGCACCCCAACACAAACATACGCATCCAACCACATCAACTCACAGTTCGTCCCCACGGCAGTATTCCACTTCTTAAAGTTGGCCAAGGTGATCTTGTACCGATCCGCTATCGCCTGGCACCCATCACCCTTCACGACCTTGTGGAAGGTTTTGCAGTTGGTCACCATGCCCGGCTGCGTCGGCGTCGGAGTCGCGACTCCATTTCCGCGAGTACTAGTAGTCGACGTGCTGGTTGTCCTCGTTGTCATGGTCGGCGGCGCAGTTGGCCCGCCCGTGGCTTTCACACAGACATACGTATCAAGCCACAGGCCCTCACAGTTGGAGCCCACCGCAGGGTTCCAGGCGAACAGCTGGTCGAAGCTAATGCCATACTTCTGCTGGATGGATGCACAGCCATCACCCTTGACAACAAAGTGGAATTGGGTACAGTTGGGCGTGGTTCCTTCCCGGATGGGTGTCGGGGTGACGATGCCGTTGCCCGGCCTGGATGTTGTCGGCGAAGGCCCCGGGGTTGTGGTAGTGGTGGCGCCGCCGATGACGCCGACGCAGACGTGCGTGCCGAGCTGCAGCGTCTCGCAGTTGCTGCCGATGGCCGGGTTCCAGCTGAAGAGCTGCGCAAAGGAAATACCATACAAGGTCCCGATGCTGCTGCACCCCTCGCCCTTGACGACGAGATGAAACTTGTTGCAGTTCGTGGTCATGTTGTCCTGGATCGGCGAAGGGGTGACGATGCCGTTGGCGGGGGTAGTGATGGTCGGTGGTGCCGAGGTGATGGGCGAGCCCCCGATCAAGCCCACGCAGTAGTTGACGCCCAGCTGGAGCAGCTCGCAGTTGCTCCCGACGGCTGGATTCCAGGCATAGAATTGGGCGAAGCTGATGCCGTACTGCGTAGTGATGGCCGTGCAGCCATCCCCCTTGACGACGAGGTGGAACTTGTTGCAGTTCTTGACCGTGTCGTCCGGGATTGGTGTGGGCGTCACAACACCGTTGGTGGGCGTGGTGATGGTTGGTGGCGTCGAAGTGACGGGTGTCCCTCCGATCAAACCCACGCAGTAGTTCACACCCAGCTGGAGCATCTCACAGTTGCTCCCAATAGCAGGGTTCCAGACAAACAGCTGGTCGAAGCTAATGCCATACTTCTGAAGGATAGAGGCGCAGCCGTCGCCCTTGACAACCAAGTGAAATTTGTTGCAGGTGGTGGTCATGCCGTCACTGATGGGCTTGGGCGTTGCCACGCCATTCCCAGTAGTGGTGGGCGGCGCCGCCGATGTGCTTGTTGTGGGTTCGGGATCAGGAAGACCATAGTTCTTCTCGATGCAGTATGAGTTGCCCACGACAAAGTTGCAACCGCTGGCGAGCGAAGGATTCCACTTGGTGAGTGTGGCTACTGTGAGCCCCCAGGCGGCGCTCAGCTCCTCACAAGTGTCGCCGGCGACGGCAACATGCCACCAGGTGCATTCGGGAAGTGTGTTGGGGTCTGCGGTGGTGGGAGGCGGTTCGAGGAACTGGGACAGGGCACCACTGGCAAGAAGGGCACAGCCAAGGCCGATGTGAAGTGACTTCATGATGGCGGTCACGGTTTATGCGAAAAAAAGCCAGGGCAATTCAGTGTTGAACCTCCGACACCGAGTGGCTGGAACCATGATAGATTGGCCAGTGTCTTACACAAGGCGCCTATTATAGGTACATGTTGAGTTGCCGGACTCATTTGCGCCTGTCCTGCCGATACGAGGATCCAAGTGCTGCTCCAGGCTCTCAGAAGAAGACTCATTGACCGCTGGAGCTCACTCTCATCGGCACCAGACCGTTCCAGGGCTTTGGTCCGGTCCGTTGCCACGAACTTCATGGAGTCTACGGTATTGCTAAGCCGGTACAATACATCACTGTGCCGTTTTGGCACCGAGATCCACCCGGAGTCCGAGCATATATTATTGCTTAGTCGGCACTAATTCTTAGCAGTACGACTCTGCATCTTTTAAGGAGAGTGTCAGCGGTCCATCGCCCTAGATACTATTGAAATCCTTCAACACGACGCTCGCACTTGCTCGCACTCATACATTTTGATGGCACGCGTGACGCGACATTTTGATCTCGGGCGATGCGGGAAATTATGAACCATAATACTCGGATCTTGACGAACGCAACATCATTCCAATCGCCCGAACCACAGAGGGGGTGAGTTTAGCCCCTTGCTCAGGAAAGATGGGCGCGAAAACAAAAGACGTATTGGCAGTGATCATCTTTATGTGAAGAGCACAGGCTATCCACGCCATACCAGGTGACCATACCTACTGTGAGGTCAACCCGAGCACACCAACTCGTCCGCCCAGAGGATAGGGGCTGCAGCGAACACCATCATCCCATGGCGGCCATCATGACGTTCTCGGCCCTCTACTGGGCGCTTCTTTCTTGTCTCGCGCTGGGAGCTGCATCATCTCAGCCAAATGCCATCGGCGAACATGTCTACGGCCCGCTGGTCCCCCGAGGTCACGCCGGTATGGCTGCTCGTCGCCACATGCATGCACAGGTCCACGCCATGAACGCCTCTGTCGCCAACATGATGCTCTACGGCCGCGCCGACGAACCCGATAACAGAAACCCCGATGGAACACCCTACGGCCCTCTCTCTTACGTCCCCGGATGCTTCTACTGCCCCTCGATCGAGGACCTGGCGTTGGAGGGACGCGCACTGCTCGACAGCCTGACGACGGAGAAGATGAAGACGTACATGCGCAAGGACAGGGCCGACACGCTGCACGACAAGTGCGTCTTTTACACCAGCTCGCTCACCGCGCCTGAACCGAAATACCTCAGCAAGGGCGCGTCCGACTGGGCGTGCCGCAAGGGGAAAATCAGTATCTGGCACATGTGGCCCAACAAGGCCATGGAGGCAGCTGAGCTCCAGTACCGCGACTTTTACGGCATCTTTGAGCCCGGCTGGCTCAACTCGATTGTCTCCCTGCCCAAGATCAACAACGTGCCCCCGCACATTGTCTACTTTGAAAACATGTCCGAGGCCATTGCCCAGTCGTGCTCGGGCGAGGTGGTCATCATCACCCAGTCGCCCGATAACATGAGGCAATATGTCGACGGCACACGCGGCGAGAACATTTGGAAGAACAAGGAGCGGCCTGCGCTCGAGATACTGTGGCGAAGGGGGGTTGTCACCAAGTTCTACGTGGTCGACTACAACAACATGGACGACGCCTATGAGTTCAACATTGTCGACAGCTCCACGGGCGACAAGGTGTCGTCGAGGCTTATTAAGGTTGCATCGCGCGACGACGGGTTGGAGAAGCGGGCGATTTGCGACAGCAGTGGGCTGGACTCGCTGTCGTCGATGCCAGCAGACCCATTTTCGGATTCTTATTCGTTGTTTTAGCTGCCTCGGAGGCAAATAATCGTGAGATTACCAGTAGTATTTTCTAGGATAAAGATTGCCTTGACCCCTTTAGTATGGAATTTGAATAGTTTTGCTGCAGGTCACTATGTTAACATGAGTATGTGAATTGATGACTCTGCGAATGTGATACGTGACCTAAACAACCATCTACTCCTTGCAGATAGTACTAACCTAGATGGCTGTTGGTTCTCTGTTGAGTGGGAGAGGAACCTTGAAGAAACCTCAGCTGTATTTATTTGGGGCACTGTGACTGGGGCTTGGCTCTTCCCGTCTTCACTCAGACAACCCCTCCTTCAAGGCTTCAACTTCAAACCGCCTACAATGAATACACCCAATTCTTCGGTGGTTTCTAACTTTCTATTAACTCTTGAACAGAATACGCCGCCGACAACTCCCTTCTTACCAGGTAATTATAAGCTTATCCGCCCGTGCCGGGAAGGAGGGGCGTTCCCACGCAGTACTCATACCCAACTCGAAGTCCCGAACCTAAAACGGATAGCACGTCAGCACAAATAAGACAACAAAAAAATCCAAAAAAGGGGTCAAAAACTCACAATCATTCCCCAACACGGGATTCCACGCCACAAACCGACCATGCGTCAATCCATACCTCGCTTCCACCGCGCCACAACCACCCGCCAAATCCTCCCTCTGCAACAAATGCCACCTCGAACAATCCTTAAACGTCCCCTTGGCCCTGAACCCGCGCACCGCAACACAATAGGTCCTGCCCGGCCTGAAACCAGCACAATCCCCGCCCACATGCACGCTGGGATTCCACTCGCCAAACGCCTCCCTCCCCTTCGCATCCGCCAGGCCATACCACGCTAGAAACCCCTCACACTCACCCCTCGCACCGCTCTCAGCAACACGCATATCAACACACGCGCCCGTCATGCCCGGCGCGAGCCCCGTGCTGTTGTCTCGCTGCGCGCAGTACTTTTCGCCGGGCCAGAGGTAGCATCCTGATCCGCCGCTAGTCTGTTGTTCGAGGAGGGAAGGGTTCCATTCCAGCAGCTGGGCGAGCGTGATGCCGTAAAAGGCGGCGTAGTCGGCGCAGAGGTACGAGTCGGTCAGCGAGCCGTTGAGTCGTACGGGTGGTGGTCGGTGCAGGTGGCAGTCGAGGATGGAGCCGTTGGCAAAGGGCTCGACGTAGCCGGCCATGGGGAATAATGCGGTGGTGGCGATGGCGGTGGTGGTTGTGGTCACGGCGGTTGTGGGGAGGGATGTGGATGCTTTGGCGGGGAAGGGGGTGGGCGTGAGGGTGAAGTAGGTTTCAGAGTACGAGGTCGTGGTGGAGGTGGAGGGGTCCGGAGAGGGATTGGTCCAGCCGCCGCCGGGCTGGGAGATGCAGAGAACGGGGCCGGCACCGGCAGCAAGGGCGGGCAGGGCTTCGCAGTATTCGCCGAGTTCGGGGTTCCAGCTGACGAGCTGGGTCCAGGTGATGCCGGCGGCGCGGGCGATGGAGTGGCATGTGTCAGAGAGGTCGGCTTTGAGCTGGTAGGGCTTGCACACGCGGGCCGTGGGGATGCAGAGGGTGCCGCCGGGCTGGGGGAAGTTGGCGCAGTAGGCCCGCAGGTTGTTGGCCGTCAGGAGGGAGACGGTGCTGATGCCGCGGCTGAAGGATACGGTGCGGCAGTTGTCGCCGGCCCGGACGGTGTAGGTTTGCCCCGCGCACGAGGGCGTAGGGGTGGCGGGCAGGCTCGTCGCCCAGGTAGTGGTGGTGGCGAGCGAGGTGAGCGCCATGGACGAGAGCTTGCAGCTGGACGTCAGGGAGCTATACTGGTTCCGGAGCTGGGTCTGGCCGTAGCCGATTGGCATCTGAGCCTGGGTGCTCAGGATGGAGGCGACGCACGTGTTGCAGGCGATGCTGGGTGCTATAGTTGTCGCCGTCCCTGAATCTGCCGAGTTGAAGGCGTCGCGGACGACGGCGTGGCAGAACTTGCCCTGCTTGTCCTGGAGGCAAAGGGCCGAGTACGTCTCCACGATGCCCTGGGCGAGAAAGGTGGCCAGCACAGAGGTCTTGCCATCCGTCGAGTATCGAGACGTGCTGCAAACTTGGGAAACTCGTCGGGCCCAGATGGTGAGGGCGTTTGTGCAGGACGCGGTGCACACGCTCGCCAGGGTGGCGTCTGATTCAAAGGCCCCTGCTCTGCCGGCGAGCTTGATCTTTGAATCGCAGGCCACGGCTTGGTTCAGGATGCCGATGCAGGTGGTGGTGAAGTTTTGGTAGGGCGCAGTGATGTTCATGAAGTTGACGGTTTGAGCGTATGCGTGCCCTGCGAAGAGCAGGGCCAGCAGAGGGAGAGCGGACAGCATCATGCAATCCCACACTCTACCAAAAGGTAGAGAAAGCAGAACGAGCGACGACAAATGCCAACGACAGTGACGAGGGATACTCACTGACGGCGACGACGGCAAGCAGGACGTTGACTTTCATGTGGGAGAGATCCATCCCCCTTCGGGCACTTACACGCCGATAATGGGCAAACCCCCGGGCGTCCGGCAAAACAGGATAGGGGTTGCATAGTATGCCCCTATCTACTATCGAAAAATGCAACCTTCCTCCAAATCCAGTCAGCACTAGTACCCCTAAATCACTAGGCGGTTTACAATAACTTGGTTGATTTGATCAAGTCCGAGTCTGACGCTACTCTACCAAAATGCGATTTGGAACCCTGGTATGGAGCAGCTACTAGTAGCCAATCCTTACAGTCCGAGACGGTCCAGTCATCTTGCCCGTTATGGAATACTAAGTACTAGTGGATAATGAGTGACCAGCAGGGACCACCAGGGTGAATTCACCATCGCAACCGAGTATTCAGTGGTACTACTGTACAGTCCAAATGTTATCATGGTTCCTGCATGCAGTGGATTCCACCTACATGGGACCGGCTGGCTGGAACCTGGAGTCCGAGCTGTCAATCCGACTGGAACCCCCGGTTCAGTCAGCGGACGATTTTCTCCATCAATGAAAGAAAAAAAAAAAAAAAAAAAGGTACCAGTAATACTATCACACCTTCCAATTCCATCATGGAACCCTACTAGTAAGTAACGCTCTCAGCCGGACGACATACTACTTGGAAAAGAAAGAAGATGGAAGGGCAGCGGCAGTTCTCACCATCTGCTCCATACATGTCTCGTCTTTCGTTCTCCCCGTCCTTCTCTCTTTCTCACATTCTCTTGTAGAGGGAAAGAGAACCAAGGCACCACTGCAACACGCCTGAAGCCAGCATTATGGCTCCCATACTTGCCCTCCTTTCCCGTCTTCTCCTAACAACAATCCTCTTTCTCCCCCTCTCTATCACGGCATTCCGCCATATCGATGGCAATGCCATGGGCATAACGCCCATCCCGGCCCTCCTCGGCATCCGCCAAGACTCTGGCAACGGCCTGCCCGAGGGCGCCTGCACCAAGGATATCCCTTGCGCCAACCAAGCGTGCTGCAACGGCGACACGGGCGTCTGCGGCTTCGACAAGGCCGACCACTGCGGGCCCGCGTGCACCTCAAAGTGCGATTCGCGCGCCGAATGCGGCCCGCACGCCGAGATACCGGGCCAGGAATGCCCCATCCACGTGTGCTGCAGCAAGCACGGGTACTGCGGCACCGTCGAGGACTTTTGCGGCGACGGGTGCCAGAGCAACTGCGGCGAGCCGACCAAGACGAGTCCGCACACGACCGACGTGCGCGACCTGGTCATTGGGTACGTGGAAGGATGGGCGTTTACGCGCGAGGGGTGTGCAGGCCGCGACGTGTACAAGGATCTGCACATCGACTCGGTGACGCACTTGTTTGTGTCGTTTGGCTACATCAAGCCGGACTCGTTCGAGGTGTACCCGATGCAGGGCGTGACCGACGAGAACATCCTGGCCATGACGGGCTTCAAGGAGCGCGCGCCGGGGCTCAAGGTGTGGATCGCGCTGGGCGGGTGGTCGTTTAGCGACAACGGCACCGACACGCAGGCCGTGTGGGCGGACCTGGCCAGCACGGCAGAGAAGCGCATGAAGTTCTTGGTGCAGCTGGAGAAGTTTATGGTGTACTACGGCTTCGACGGCGTCGACTACGACTGGGAGTACCCGGGCGCGGGCGACCGCGGCGGCAACAAGGAGGACGGGAAAAACTACGTCGAGCTGGTCAAGGCGACGCGCGCCTACTTCAAGGACAACGCGCGGGGCTGGGGCATCTCGTTCACGGCACCGTCGTCGTACTGGTACCTGCGCCATTTTGAGATTGGGGCCATGATGGAGCACGTCGACTTTGTCAACCTCATGACGTACGACTTGTTCGGGAGCTGGGATGACCAGTCCGACTGGATCGGCCCGCACGTGTACGGACACACCAACTTGACCGTCATCAAGAACGCGCTGAGTCTTCTCTGGCGCAACGGCGTGCCGGCCAACCAGGTCAACTTGGGACTGGGCTTCTATGGGAGGACCTACACTCTCGAGGACCCCTCGTGCGACCGCCCCGGCTGCGGCTTCTCGGGACCAGGCAACAAGGGCTTCTGTTCGGGCGAGGCCGGCTACATGAGCTACCAGGACATTGAGCGCGTCCTTAAGATGTCGCACAACCCCGTCGTGACAGACGAGAAGGAGACGGTCAACTACTTTCGGTACGACGACGACCAGTGGGTCTCGTACGACGACGAGAACACGATCAAAGCGAAGGTTGAGTTTGCCAACGAGCAGGGGCTGCGCGGCCTGTTCATCTGGGCCGTGACCCAAGACACGGCAGGTCGGCTGCTGGACGCCGTGCTGCAGCCCGACGGGCTGGGCAAGTTCAAGGAGCGGAACGGCGTACAGTCCGAGGTCGATCCTTGGGAGACGCGGCTGGGCGACAAGTGCGCCTTTTCCGACTGCGGCGAGGACTGTCCCAACGGCCACATTGAGCTGACGAGCATACGGTGCGAGAAGGAGGGGGACAGTTCGAGCCCGCGCAAGAAGCTCTGCTGCCCCTTTGGCAGCGCCCCCGACCCCCAGCACTGCAAGTGGCGCGCCAACAAGAACGGCATCTACTGCGGCAACAAGCCGGTGGGCTCGTCGCCGAGCCGCGGAAACGCTCTCAAGTGCGAGGACGGCGAGCAGAAAGTGGCGAGCGACAAGTGGTTCGTCAACGATCAGGGCGACGACGAGATGTGCTCGTACACCGAGGCCGACTATTGCTGCGACGAGTACAACGAAGACGTCTGCGCTTGGAGCAACACGTGCACGGCACCCGGCGACAGCGAGATTAGCTGCCCACGGTCCGGCATGCAGCCACTCTTGACCGAGAACTTCAAGGGCATTGCGATCGGGGGCTGCGATGTCACGACAGAAGTCCAGTCGTGGGATGTCCTTTGCTGCGAGGCTTCTCTCCAGCCCGAGTGCCGTTGGGTGGCGGACATGGACCCCGAAAAGCACTGCGCGGCCGAGTGCTCATCCGACGAGGTCAACTATGGGCGTCACGATTACGGCGGCGGCGAGGACTGCGAGGACAAGCGGTGGCCCCGAAACGGCTTCTACCAGTTTGGCGAGAACAAGGATGCCCAGCACGGCCGTCTCCTGTGCTGCAAGAAGAACTCGGTCCGCGTCAAGCACAAGAATCTGCCCGTTCCGCTGGACCATCTGTTCGACACCAAGATCGAGGACACAGACGAGCAGACGTTCGACATTGACGTCGACTACGACGGCAAGTCCGACAGCAGCCACCCCAACGACGGCAGCTTCGGCTGGCACATCATGTCGGGCCCCCCCGATCAGCACGCCAGCCTGAACCGCCGCGACGGGTCCGACTGGGCCGTGTATGACTGCGACGAGACCATGCACGAGGGCCGCCAGTCTGCGCGCATCGTGTGCACAAAGGAAAAGGACCACAACTGCGACCGGCTGTTCCTGGGCGGAGCCAAAGACACGGTTGTCGACATGCCTTCTCACTGTGGGCCTGGAAAGTACGCCCTCGTCGTCAGTGTCGAGCCCATGCATGATGCCCACGAAGACGATGTTCTGGCTCGGGCCCCTCATCTCAAGCGGCGTGTGCCCCCCAGCTCGCGAGTCTTCAATCTCACGTTTGACTATGGCTTCCACCGCCTCCAAGGCCGTGCCGACAACAAGATGAAGATCCGCATCGACTACAGCAACGCCAAGGGCTACTGGGATGATGTCGTGGCCGCCGCGCCGAGCTCCAGCTCCAACAACAAGTTTCGCCGCACCGTCCCTGACGGCCAAGACGTCCACCACATAGTCCAGCGCGACTACAAGGGCGACTACAAGCGCTTCCTCGACCACTCGTACCGGCTCGACAGACGCCACACGCCCGACGACCAGCTGCATGAGCTTCACGAACGCTGGTTCGGCCTCGATGTGCCCGACTGGGTCAGCCGCCTGACCAAAGTCAACAAGAACGTCGATCTGCTCGACCAACGCGTGAGCAAGACGTTTGTGTACAAGATCGTGGACGAAAAACGCACATGTCCTACGGGCGAGTTCGCCGCCGACGTGCACGCGCGCATTTCTGCCGACGTGCAGACATCGGGGGTCTTGACGCTCATTGGAGACCTGGCCAACATGAAGGAGTTTCGGCACTCGTACATCAACTTCCGCAACAAGGGCGAGATCCAGGCCTCGCTCGTGTTCCACGCCCACGGCGAGCTGCGGCTGCCGTACATGGAGGACACGATCCTGGGCATCGCGCCGCTCGGGGCCAGCTTCAAGATCCCCGGCATCGTGACCATCGGGCCCGAGTTCAAGCTGGTCGCGTCGGTCGAGGGCAGGGTGGCTGTCGATGCGGATGCGCGCGTCGATTTCGACGTGGCCAAGTGGGATTATTCGCAGCGCTACCCGGCCGATAACGAGGCGCATATTGATCCCGACAAGGACGAGCCGGACACACCCACGTTTGCGACGTCAAACAAACAGGGGAATGAGACTATCAAGTTCAACTGGCAGGTGACGGCCGAGGGCATCATTGAGATGCACCTGATCCCGCTGGTGTCTTTCGGCATCGTGTTCAACCCCAAGTGGGAGGTGCCGAGCACCGCGGCCGAGCTGGGCGTTGACACGTACCTCAGGGTACATGGCGATGCAGCCGTGGGTGGCGCCCAGGACTTTCAGGCGTGTTTGGCAAGTGAGGCGGGCTATGAGCTGTATGCGAGGATCACTGCACCGACGCTGTTTGGGGTGGACCTGAACAGGAGGTGGTCGCTGTATGATGACGAGGTGAGCATTTTCAGGAGCCCGGGTTGCCCGAACCTTGAGTCTGCAGCCAGGATCCGCCGGGGTCAGGACATGTTGTTGGTTGCTCCAAGAGCAGAGGTCAATCCGGTTGTCGACGGTGGATCTAAGCTCTATGGAATATACTAGTACTAGGTTGAGGGGCTCATGATTGGGGTGACTTGGTTGAGGGCGCGGAATCGAGGCCTCTTGGGATTTTCGTATGTAATAATAGTAGTTTGATATTGCTCTGGATCAAATGACCAATGATTGACCAACAACAACATCAATGGGCGGTGATGGTGTTGGTATTAATCAGCTGTTGCAATTAGGCTTTGCTTTCTGTCCAACTCGTATATGTAATATACTTACAGTAGGTAATCGCCTGGTGTTGTTCGTGCTGGGCAGGAGAGCGACTACTAGTATTGTTAGAAAGAAAGGGGTTCAGGGGCTCAGGGGCGTCTAGCCAGCGGAACTACCTACACTCAGTACCCGTTGGCATCCATCTATTGCTCCACAACTCCAAGTATCGCAACGGGAAAACTCCAGTTCCGTCGGCTCTAAACTTGGAATCCGGCTCGGTTCCAAACAGTAAAGAAGTTTGGTCCAACCTGCATACCCCGCCCTTTCAAGCCGTGATCCTGACGTCTCCAGTCGATCCACTTGAACTCGCTGCAACTTTGAGTGCAGCGAGGCCGCTAAAACGAGCCGGGCTTGACCATATTTGGAGTGCCGAACCATAAGAAGCCCTTCATGAGTGGCTGCAGCTCTGGTGGGTACCGAATTGTAGTACATGATGATCTTTTCAGGGGCTTCCATTTTTGCTCTTGAGCTGGAGGGAAAGAAGACAGAACCCCGCCCATCATCAAGGTGGAGTTGAAATATTTGTGCCCCTCCTTTATTAGGTAGCCCCTCGATTCCTTTCTTCCCAAGAGCTCTGGTACTTCAACTTGAGTAAAGGTCTGACGCGGAAAGCAGTTCTCACTACTACATCCCATCTACGTTCAACGTCCAATTTACTTATTCACCCCCTCTCCAGCATCCCGCATTCTCCCCACTCCGTAACAGCCCACTGACACGATGCCGCCGTTTCGTGCTGAGCATATGGGCTCGCTCCTGCGGCCGCAGCGGCTGCTGGACGTGCGCGAGGCCATGCGCCAAAAGAACCTCACCCCTGAAGAGGCAGGACTGTCGGCAGTAGAGGAAGAGGCAGTTGGGCACGTGGTCAAGCTGCAGCAGGAGCTCGGGTTCAAGGCGGTCACCAGCGGCGAGTACAACCGCACGCGCTTCTGGGGTCTCATGTGGGATGAGTTCGAGGGCACGATCCGCCTGCAGGACGCCGACGAGTCACTCTTTCGGCTCTATCACCCCGACGTTGTGAGCTTGATCGAGAAGGAGAGGAAGGTCATGCCTGGCGATTCTGTTATTGCCGGTTCCAAGCTGCGGCATAACCCCGAGGCTTCCGTGTCGAATCTTCATGAGCTTAAGCTGGTGCAGAAGTTCGTGCCGAAGGAGGACTGGGGTCAGATCAAGCTTACCATGATCACGCCGGCTTGGTTTCATATGAGATACAAGCAGGGCCGGGCCTACACCAAGGAGGCGTATGCGAACGATGCCGAGTACTTCGCAGACGTCGCCAAGGTTTATCAACAGGAGCTTGACCAGCTGTACAAGCACGGGCTGCGTAACGTTCAGTTTGATGATCCTGGTCTGGCATGTAAGTGCTTCTCTGGACCAACCCCTTTCTGTAGACCACACACTTACTCCATCCCTTCCAGATTTCTGCTCCGACAAGTTCCGCCAAGGCTGGTCCTCGGACCCGGACAACATCGGCACGGTCGACGACCTGCTCGACGCCTACATCAAGCTGTACAACGACAGCATCAGCAAGCTCCCCGCCGATTTCCACACGGGCGTGCATCTTTGCCGCGGCAACTTCATTGGCGGGCGTCATTTCGCCGAGGGCGCCTACGACATCATCGCGCAGAAGCTCTTCACCGATCTCAACGTCAACACCTTCTACCTCGAGTACGACACGGAGCGGGCGGGCGGGTTCGAGCCGCTCCGGTTCCTGCCCAAGAACAAGAACGTCGTCATCGGGGCTATTAGCACTAAAGTCCGCGAGCTGGAGGACAAGGAGGAGGTCAAGCAGCGGATATACAAGGCCGCTGATTTTGTGGCTGAGGGTAGTGGACAGACGAGAGAGGAGGCGCTCAAGCGGATTTCGATCAGCCCGCAGTGTGGATTTAGCACTCATGAGAGTGGGTACCCGCTGAGTGAGGAGGACGAGAAGAAGAAGTTGGCACTTGTTAGGCAGATTGCTGACGAGATTTGGGGGGAGCCTTGAGGCGCTGGCTTAAGGAATTGGATCCATGTCGATGGCGGCGCTGGAAAACAGAAGGATGTGCAACATGTGTGTGGTTCATTCTGATTTTGGGAAAATCGGCGTTAGGGAACAAGGAGAGGACGGGGAGGTGTTTGATGCATCTTCAACATCGCAAGGGACATAGCATAAGGCACATACTGCAGTAGTGGTGCCGGCGTGAATGGATATCAACTTCCAGGGGAATGTGAAACAGCACAAAGATCAGAAGTACCGTGACATTTATGTAAACGAAGCTGTTTGAAAAACCGTGTTCCGAGCAGTAAACGCAATGCAGAATGCTACGAGTGAAAGCACCAATCGTGGGGTGTTAGGGTCACTCTCTAGTAACCTGAAGTCTAAACTGGCTTGTGGATAAGTGCCGGGAAAGATTGTATGTATCCGGGACCCGGAAGGTGTCCACCCCTATTTGAGATTCGTGAGTGATATCTTGGATCCAGAGAATATGCAGTATAGCGCTGCGTGAGACCTCGGTGTCCGCCTCATCTGCAACAGCTAATTGTCAGCTTGAACCGCATTGCCCCAATGGCGGCTTGAATCTCTTGGGGACTCCCCAACGCTCTTACATTGCAGCATCTTCGCTTTCTGCCTGGTTGGTATCTGTAGATCTGTGTATAGGACTTCCAAAGCAGAAGGTATAGACAGCTGGTATATCAAAGTACTGTATACACCAGGGAGACATTACCGTGGTTTCTCCTCAAGTGAGTAAGGATAAGTCCAAAAGACAAAGACCCGTGCTAGGTGGCATAGCGGCCTCTTCCATGAAGCAACGCCCGTTCGATGCCATTCCGTGGTATCGAATCTCGAGAGAATCACAATGTTCCCGAGGACGTTGAAGAGTCGAAACAGCCTGGCGGAAGGGGCATGTGTCAGCACTTCTCAGCAGAGAGAAACAAAACCGAAGACCTACATATTCAAGGCAAACATGGCCAAAGCAGCCTGGGTGCTCCTTGGGACCGGCTGGTCCCCTGCGCGAGCGATCTCAGTCCCAAGGTAGTACACCGGCGGTATCCAAAGCCCCAAGATGGCCAGCTCCATAACCAAACTCCAATGGTACGTCCTCCTTCTGTTCCTCCATGCCACCAAAACCAGACAAACCCACAGCAAGATAAACCCCGTCACCGTCGGGGCCAGCACCATGACCACATGCCGAAAATACCTCCACGCCAGGGCAGCCGCCACAATCCCCAACCCCAGCTGCACCACCCCCAAAATCAAATGCCCAAACAAACAATCCTTATACCTCTTATAACACACCCGATGAAACTGCTCACTCCCAAACGCCGCGCCCTCCGTCACCGGCCATCCACACCATCTGCACACCCAAACCGTCTCAAAATTCGCAAACGTCACCTTCCTGCCGACACGGATCCTCGGGTCGCGGGCTTTCAGCGCACAGTCCAGACAGCGGCTGGCCAAGGGATACCCCGGGTCGGCGTGGGACTGCTGCAGTAGACGGGCACGGAAGGGGTCGTGAACTAGACAGTTCCTGCAGTGGCCGAGCAGCTGGGCGCGGAGGCGGTCGGGACCGAGGAGGATGCGGATTTGCTGCGGGCTGGCGAGGGAACGGAGGGGTTTGCAGGTGCGGCGTAGGCGGACGATGTCGGCGAAGGAGACGTGGCGGAGGATGAGGAGGAGGATTTCGGGCGGGAGGGTTAGGAGGTGGAGAGGTCGTCGCGGTTCCGGAGGGTGATCTGAGGCTTGGTCCATGGCATCGCTGGTGTGTTCGGGTGTGCAGCCGGGCGACTGACCAGGCCTATCATCCTTATCCCTGGCTTTAAGTTCCTTGCACGAACCTGAAGCATGAATCGAACTATGGCCATGATGGCTGGCCGCCGGCGGGATCGGGCCGGAGACTCCGCCCGAGGAACCGGGAGTGAGGCGGTCATGGACAAAACTGCCGGCCGGGTGCCGTGTTGGCTTGCGCGGCGCGGATCCAGAAGATCCAGAAGATCCAGACCGTGACGATGTGCGGGGAGGTTCAAGTTCCGAGTCAAATCCCGGCTCCACCCGCCCAACAGGCGGCATCATTGATGTGATCCAGGACTCCAGTTGAACCAGTTTGTTGCGTGATACAAACTCAAAGCCCAAACTCAAACTCCCCGAAACGAGAAACAAGGCAGCGCCGCAGGATGTGCTGCGTTAAGGTAGCTAAGGTACCAGTTGAGTGAGGTAAGGTATTGGATGTTAGTGTGAAATGCAAATGCCCCGCTCAAAGCTCAAAGCGTGATGTCAGCATCTGCAATTGGAAGTGCGTGCCTTGCGCCTGGCCTGTTGGGCTGCCTGGGCCGTGATTAGGCTGAGCCAAGGCACCGTAATCTAGCTAGCGTTACTAGCTGCGGCAACCCGACCGTTAGCGGAGAGGGCGGTTGAGTACGAATCGTTGTTGTGATATCTTTGAACAACTCTGTAAGTAGGTATATATATATAACAGGCCCACGTTGGGGCACAGCTGAATGTTTCTGAAACTGTCGTTATAAATGGGGTGGTTGGTGAAGCTCTGAATGGAGTAATATATAAAGTTCAGGCTACTACTAGTGGTCTTTATATATTGAGAGTGTGGCTTGCTTGTTGATTAGTTGTTACAATAGTTTGAGACTCTGACAGGTCTTAGTCCCAACGTGAAGCAGGAGTGATACAGAGTGCGGAAACTTGTTCAATGGAAAAGACACAGAGCATCAAGCAATCCTTGAAATCGGCTTGATCTCTACCAGCTGCTTATGAGCAAGGTGGACTCAGGTTGCTACAAGAGTGACCTGATGCTGAGACTAACAAAGCAAACAGAGAACAACCTGCCCTCTCATCTGCTCCTTCGCTGACTTGGCAGATTGTCTTGAGCGTTGGCTGTTGAAACTTCTCCTACTCAATGGACACGTCGAGCGCATGTAGGAAACTGGAACGGATTCGGATGCATTACTACTAGGAGTACAAGTAATCCACGCTACAAACACACAGTTGCCCTGCCTTTCTGTTATCATTACATCCACAGCCTTGCCCAGCCAAAGCAATCACTGTTAGTGTTGCGGCGGTAAATTCTCAAATCCACCATTACCGTTATCCATCAACCGTCCCTGGAAGAAGTCAACCGACGGGCCCAACCCAGCGTCCACAGCCGGCGACGTCTGCCCCGGCACTGGCACAGGCCGCCGCGGCAGGCGGCCCGGGTGACCAAAGCCCCCATGCATACCCGAGCCCGGGTTCAAATTCACGTTCTCATACCCATTCTGGGGACAGAACGATGGCCCAGGATGATGGCTCTCGGGAAAGCCGCCGCCGGGGACGCAAGGGTACACAGCCTGAGCCGGGCAGGGCTGAGCCGCATAGGTCCCGTGGAGGTTGATAGCAGAGTCGGGCCGCGATAGTACCCGGTACTGGCCTCCCCCAATCGTCTGACCTTGAGCGTGACCGTGACCCGGGCCGAGAAATCCGCCGTGGAAATAGACCTGCGGCGGGACCGTGACTGGGCTCGTGATTCGAGTCTGGTCGGGGTCGGGAACTGGAACTGTGACTCCGGGCGCAGGTCCAACAAAGCCTGTCATCACGTCGTCCTCAACGCCGCCGCCAGTGTGGCCGGTCACGGGCTTCGACTGTGCATACGGCACACCTACATGTGACTGCATGTGCGGTACCACGAACAGGGAACGGTTGCCGTCGGCACTGTCTGCTGAGGAGGAGGGACTGATGTTGCCATGCGGCTCGCCGGTTTCGTTGCTCCGGTCCATGACAGCAAGACGACCGAGATTGACCCCGTTCGAGGTCGTGTGGAGACTTGCGGTGTCCCGCGGCGTTTGAGCACGGCTGCGTCGGGGGCGTGGCGTCATGCCGTCTGTTTTAGCCCTGCAGATGCCGAATACCAAGTCTATGTGCCTCTGGAAAATTGCCATCCATTCTTCAGGTCTGTCGTGGTCGCTGAGCCCTCCTTGAACTCCCTGCCGCAACTTATCAAGGCAATATTCCGTTTTGAATTCGGCATATACTTCATCCAGTTCGATCGGAGGCACAAAGTCTATACGTCGCCAATCATCAGCCACCATAAGCTCAGGAGTAGGATTAGATCCGGTATGTACGACGTACCAGGCTCAGGAATCATTGTATCTTCCGGAAACAGCGTCTTCCAGAGGCTTTGCCACGTATCGACCTTGACCTCTGCCTTCCTCTCATTAAGAAGTTCCTCGACCTGGGCAGTGATGCCGTCTTCTGGGTCTCCAGTGTGATGCGCTTGTTGCACGCTGCAGATCTGATCCCTATCCACGGCCAAGTGGTCATTAAGAGCCTTCTGGGTCCCCATGCCCTGCTTGCACCGCGGACACGCGAAGGAAACCGGTTTCCGCTTGTGGAAGTTTTTGACGTGACGCCTGCTCGGGTTAGCGTTACACTCAAGAACTTGGCGGGATAGACCTCAGATATGCTTACTTCAACAGGGATAAGGTTGGGAACGGTTGAAGCGCACAGCTTTGGTGGTCCCTTATGTTAAACTTCACGGGGTTTCGCTTTCGAAACGGGCAGCTGAATTGCGATTCCAGCGGCTGCAAGCTTGGCTGAACGCCCCCCGAGACCTTTCGCCGTTTCCCATCGCCGGTCCCTTGACCGCCGCCCCCGTCATTACCGTGGCCGCCGTTGGGACGCTTCTGGGCACCGCCGCCATTGCCACTGGCTCTGCCGCTCTCGCCGCCCCTAGCTCCCGAGTCACTGCTAGCAGCTTGGCCCCCGAATGGGATGCCATCGAAGCCCGCGGTTTCTCGCGTTGACTCGCATATCAGGAGGTCAGCATCGCCCGGACGGATACTAAGCGCAACGTGGGACAGCTCATCCAAGCAGTAGCGGACGGATTCGTAGGCGGCCGAAACCACCCCGGCGGCTGCGAGGTCCTCCATCTCTAGACCGAACGCGTGCTTGATGACCTTTTCGCAGACATCCTGGATTATGCTGTCGTCCGGTTTGTCGGGAGACACCATCTCGTTGTGAATTGACAATGAGGGCGAGGTCTCGATGCGTGCCGAACCAGGGCAGGACTCCACAACATCGTCCTCCTGCCTTGCAACGTCCGTGTGCTCCCGCTGCAGCTGACCAGGGTCTTCTATGGCCGAATCCGAACTCTCCGGGGTATTGACAGTGGCACTTCCAGTCTCATGGTCGCTCTGGACAAGATCGTTGGTATCTCTGGTGTTGCTGCCGTCGACAGAAGGACCTGCTTGGCTTGGTCTCGTACGGAAAGGCAGCGCCTGTCCCGTGCCGGCCCCGCCCAAAGCTGTGCTCCTTCCGGCACTCCCCCTTCGACTCGCCATCTCTTCCACGCGTCGGTGCCGAGGTGGAGAGGCGCTATCCAGCGATGAGGCGTGACGGTACAGTCGGAATCTGAGTGTATCCGAGAAGGAAAGCGAAGGTGGAGTGGATGGCGGGCAATTTTGAAGGGCCAGTGAATGAGACATCAAATTGCTTTGCCGCGGTGATGACGCATAATTTGCTGCGTCAAGATACGAAGCTTCGTCCTGGAAGGAGGCGGTGACTGGGCTTGGGGGCTCTGTGGCGTCGGTGATGACGGATGCGCCATCCAGTGACCAGCCCGTATTCGACCGTCGCTGGGCAAAGCCCGAGACCCAGCTGTCGGTGGTGTCCCGTCGCTCAAGCGGTCGGTTCCCAGGCAACTCCCTGTCCTTTCGGACAGCAACTTCAGCTCTTTGGAGTTCAGACTGCGCCGGCGACTTTGCAGCCGATCCGACTGCTGGGTCCTCGTTGGCATCTTGGCGATTTCGCATTGCAGAAGACCCATGCTGTTTGGTGGGAATAGAGATTGGCGACGAGGAGGTCTCCATGGCAACTTGAGCGCCTGAACTCGGCGGTGCCCTCGCCCTGCTGTCCTTGGTATTTGTGCAGACTTGAGGGCTGAGGTCGGTGCAGGCTGTGAGTCAGGGGCTGGCAGTCAACTGAGTAATCAAATCATCAAGAGGTGTTGAATTCTCCCATTGTCCGCAACACCTGTGGATATCGAGCCCACAGGGACTGTTGCGTTTCTATAAATCTCGCCCATCTTGGTCCAACCGTCCAATACGTCGGCGGTTGCTGTTGCAGCCGCCAGGCCGCCCGCCCGGCTTTGCGCAGCCCAAATATTGATACTGCGCTATTGGTTCTATTGGTTTCAGCTTGCGCCAAACTCGCACAAACTGAAAAGTCGGCGCGGTTAGCCTTGCGGCTACCTCAGCGTGGCGGTGCCGTGCACCTCGATTTTGAGTCGCTCAGATTTGAACTTACCAGTTTGGACATTCGTGCTTTCCATCGCGTGTCACTCTGCTAAGTAGACGTGGTTTGGCTTCAAAACCCAGTTAAAACTCGAATCTGGTTTGGCAACGTTGGCCGTAGGTAGGAACAAGACCTTTCTGATCCATTTCCGTCACTTGTTGGAAACTTTGGTGAGAGTTCTGTAGTTCGAGGTTGTAGGAGATGCAATGAAGCTGTGGCGCATTCAATAGCGCCCGGGCCTCAGGTGACCCACCATGTCCAAGTGTTACCACACGACCCACGGGCCACAACCCCGTAGCGACATCACCTCACCTTTGAGTTTGAGACCAAGGCCAGATACTACCACAGTAGATTGGCAAGACTCTTCTCTCATCTGCACATACCACGGAGATGTGCCACCACATATCATGGATGTCCATTCCTGGAGTTACAAACTCGCATTCCAATAGTTCAGTCAGGCGATGAAGCTTGAACAGCAACGCGGAATCCTGCGGGGAACGACTTCCCAAACGACCCGGAAGCAGGCCGTTATCCAACGTCTTACGCCGTCAAAAGGACAATTGATACTGCACGGTAAAAGCAGCGCCGGCTTTCCAGTTCAGAGTTAGCGTCCTCTCCGATACCATGGAGGTCGCTCGCTGTCTTGCTCAAGCTGCCTGCCTCGAGCAATCACCAGTGGCGGTCCTCCCTAAACTGCGTCCCGTGTGCTTACCGCCCGCCGTACGATTCTTGGATTGCAAGTCACTGGGCGGAAACCCGCTTAGGTAATGCACAAGTACTCAGGTACCAATGTTAAGGTTTGTTTGGTTGGAGCTTCCCCGACGCAACCTAACAACAGCACCCGCGAGGCATCATCAGCAAGCCCACCCAGTCCGCTAAGATTTTCCACTCGTCAACACACAGCCTTCGCCATCCGACTCATCTTCAACACCATCACCCCAAAAAATCCACCACATCGTCTCGAATCACCCATCATTGCGTTAAAAAGTTTCGAAACCGCGCCTGATCCTATTTATCGCGTAGTTTTATTGTTCGACTTGATATTTACCTTCCGCAATCACCCCGCGCATTCGCCCGCATCCAACCCATCGCAACAACAATGGCCGGCGGAAAGGGCAAGTCTTCGGGAGGCAAGAGCTCCGGCGGCAAGACGTCTGGCGTCGACGGCCCCAAGAAACAGCAAAGCCACTCCGCGCGCGCTGGTCTCCAGGTATGTCGCGTCGCTACCGAGTGCCTTATCATGCTTTCTATCATCCCTGCATCTTCAAAAGATTCCGGTATCGCGATACGCGTCCCTCTTCATCTCCACAACATCTGGCTTCCTACCCTCGCAGAAACCGTGATCTGTCCACACCCTCATCCACGCCATTGCTCACTGGCATCGCCGGTTGCGCCCAGTCCTTACCATCGCCCTTACCTCGATTGCGATACGTCTGCCTGCCTGCCTGCCTGCCTGCGCTTGAATCGACGTGTTCTCGACCGATGGCAAGCCCCGCGCTGGTTCCTCGGCAGGCGGCACAATGACGCGCGCTTTCTTATTTCCTCGGTCGCTTCTCGTTTCTTTGTCCGCCATGCCTGCCGCTAACAAGTCGCCTTGCAGTTCCCATGCGGCCGTGTCAAGCGTTTCCTCAAGCAAAACACACAAAACAAGATGCGCGTCGGCGCCAAGGCTGCTGTTTACGTTACTGCCGTGCTGGAATATCTCACTGCCGAGGTTCTTGAACTTGCGGGGGTACGTGTTCTCCTAGATACCTTGCCCAACAGTGGCATCGGACACAGCATGCCATTGTCCCCGTCCTCTTATTATCACAAGCATGGACTAACAGTACACCCAGAATGCGGCCAAGGATCTCAAGGTGAAGCGCATCACCCCCCGCCATCTTCAGCTAGCCATTCGCGGCGACGAAGAGCTGGATACCCTGATCCGCGCCACTATTGCCTTTGGTGGTGTCCTCCCGCACATCAACCGCGCGCTTCTCCTCAAAGTGGAGCAGAAAAAGAAGGCCAAGGCGGCAGAGGCATAAGAGAGATATAGCTTGCGACGGTAGTGGCGCATTGAATGTTTCTAGCAGGGGGGTTTTGTGAAAGCGCAAGAGAAGCCCCCTTTTGCATGGTATTTATGGTCGGACGGGTATGGTACTGGTTTCTCTCTTTGCGATGCGGAGCCCTACTACTCCTGGGCTCAAACTCTTCTTTTTCCATGTCATCCCGTTGGCGAGGTGTGCCACCACTACTGGCTGCACAATTCACATCACTACATCACGCCCGACTTGGTGCGACAACGAGCTCACAAGCGACGCGCTGGAGTGGGCCACCTAAGGTCGCCGTTGAATCGGGAACGGGAACTTGAGCGATGGATCGAGCAGTGCGATGGTCAAGCGTACGCCCTGGATCCACTGCCATGGGCTCAGACATCTGTAACAACACAACAATACTGTGCTTTTTTGATGTTGCCAGCAGGGGCAGGGTACTGGCTGGTGCGTTATCGAGGTGACCATGTGCAACCCACAGGCGGATAGGCCTCTTAAGGGCTGCCCCTTGTTTATGTATGCCGTTTACGATACTGCTTCGGCCCGTAAAGGGCGCGCAGCAGGCTAGGAGAACAATATCATATCATCGGGCATGAGTTTCATCCTTTACTTCATTATACCTGGCATGCCTGTCACCCAGCGGCCTAGGTCAGGATGTCATGGGCGACTGGGGAGATTGGTATCCTCTCGTAACATGTGTGTACATACACGTAGGTAACCTGGCAAGCCTGAGCATGATTTGGGTGTGAGCGGTGACTCAACTGGCTTTCGAATTTGCAGACTCACGGGAATTGAACGCATGTGTACCAGGCATCTAGATATCCTGGCATCTCTTGGAGCTCAGCTTAAAGGACGTCGCCTGATGCCTGTCCGCACGTCTAGATCCATATGCTTCACGCATCATTCCAAGATGCAAAGTTGAAGCTGCCGCCTATCGTCCACCACACGGGAAGTTCCCTTACAATTCCTGCTACCATCCGGTCATATATACCTAGGTAACATGAACTTCATGTATCGCTCGGGTGTTGATTAGGCCATAGATTGCTCAGGAGAGTTATGTTTATAGAACCAGAATTCTCACTGCATCTTTTGAGTTTTTGCCAACGTTGACTATCAACCTACGAAGTGAGATAGCTCCAAGTCATATCCGTGATGGGTATGATGCGCCGTCAAACTTTATTGCAACATCTCTGTACCACAACACTACCATGTGTCCATTTTGATTATCCGTCAAGGCTAATTTGGGTCTCCTCTTGCGACGTAGGCAAGGTATATGGTACCTTATTTTAAGTAAGATGGTATCTGTCACAGTCTCGTTAGGTGATCATATCTGCCCAAGCTCTTCAGGCATTGGGTCCGTCGCTTCATGAGCGTCCATACTCCTATGTTGTCTACTTAAAGAATTTTCAACACTGCTTGAACTAGATATCTCCAGCTAAGCGATTGCCTTCAACTTGCAAGCATTAACCTGAAGCCAGTTACGCTTCGTACAGCCTTCCACTGCTCCGGATTAGCCTGGTCCTTGGATAGCTGAGAGTACATGTAGAGGGACCAGGTACCTACCTACCTAGTATACATGTAGGATTCAAGACTACCAGACACTGCAGACAGCGAGACCAAGGTCATAGGAAGTCTTACACGGACGGATTGGCACCGACAACCAGTTGGAATTTAGATCTTGATTCTCACTGGCAGATTCTCACGGGCATGGCACAGGTCATAATCCAGTATGACCGTATGACAGGTCAACGGAACCCATACATATCATTGATAGGTAGGTAGGTAGTTTTGTTGAGCAATGATCCAACTCCAGAAGTCCCGAGTTAAGACCCCACGTTCCCAACTCATTCTCACATAACAAAATCTAGGCTTTCGTAACCCCGTCGGCTCGGGCCGCTAGGCCGTGAAAGCAACTCTTACCAATAATAACAAACTGCTCTTGTCTCTTTTTGATTCCGCACAACTTGAACTTGACGTCTTGTCCCGGGAGTTCCGTATGCGTCATTCCAACCTCCTGGCTCTCCGAGTGGCCACTCCCGCTCCTAATACCAACCCCGCGTCAGGGCGTCTGACCGCTGCTCAGACAGCCAAGTCCCTCGTAACCTCGTTCAACTGCCGATGTAACAGTAACATAGCGGCAGGTCAACTTGACCGAGTCGGCTACCGCTTATCCCCGAGACCGTTAAGACTCATTGAAGGCTGAGAAACATGGTCCGAGTTCCGATGTGCCCATGAAAAATGTCAATCGAGGTATCGATAACTCCACAGTCGGCGCCGAACTGGGCCGAGGGGGTTCTCCATGACGCGATTTTACCGGGATTTGTCAAGCAGCAAAATGGTGAGGGCTCCTGACGGAGGTTGCATCCAGGCAAAGGATCAATGGAAGATCAGGGGAGATAGGGTGTGTTTTAAAGTACTCTGAGGTCGTCTGCGACGTATTTAAGGCAGCGTACCAGCCGAATCACGCAATCTGGACCTGGAATTGTGCCATTTTCTCCCACGCTCATTGCTCGGTGATCTACACAGCAGATACATACCTAGTATAAGTAATATTGTCGATCGATCCTCGTCATGGCCGCTGCCACGGAGCAAAACCCCAAGCGTCTCTTCCTCGTCAGCATTCCACGCACTGCCTCCAATCTCTTTGTCAAGGTGATCAACATCCTGAACCAGCCCAATGTATTCACCAACGAAAAAGCCGGCTACTTTTTCTACCCGGCCCTCGTGTCGGCCAGCGCCAAGAACTTCTTCAACACCCCTCTGGACAAGTGGACCGATGAGATGAAGACCGAGATGCGCCAACTCTACCAGCAATGCTTTGACAATCTCGAGGCCGCCAGCGCCGAGGCCCGGGACAAGGGCAAGCTCATGTTCACCAAGGAGCACGCCTTCTGGTTTGTCAACCCAGCCTTCATGCTGGAGGTCCTCCCCGACCCGTCGGCCAACGGTAGTGGTGAAGTCACCGCCCGCTCCCATCAAGAGAGCTTCCGCCTCACCATGCCCGAGGCATACGGCCCTAGCGAGACCTTTTCCCCGCTCAACAAGACGCTGCTCTCAGACGAGTACCTGCGCACGTGGCAGTTTGCCTTTCTCATCCGGCACCCGGCGCTCGCGTGGCCATCCATGTACCGCGCCATGATGAACCTCTCCAGCAAGCTCCACATGATGGACGAAGACGGCATCAAGGGCGCCATGCTGTCCAACATGACGTGGAAGTGGACGCGCTACCTCTTTGACTGGTGTCGCGAGCAGTCCGGGGGGTCGACGGTGCCCCTGGTCTTGGATGCCCACGACGTGATCCACAACCAGGAAGTTGTCCTGCAGTTCTGTGACCGGGCAGGGCTGGATAGGAGCGCGGTCCAGTTTGAGTGGGATGATGGGAAGCAAGGTGTCCCTTCCGGGTGGACGGCTGGTAAACAGAATGGGGAGAGTGGTGGACCGGATGGCGCGCCGGACGTTAGCAAGGAGGCGGCCAAGATCATGACGTCGACGCTGGTGGCGAGCAAGGGCATCATCAAGGACAAGGCGCCGGCGGCCGTTGACATCGATGCTGAGGTGGAGAAGTGGAAGGCTGAGTTTGGGCCTGAGGCGGCTGGGCTTATCGAGAAGACGGTCCGCGATGCTATGCCGGATTATGAGTATCTGCGTGAATTTAGATTGAAGGTGTGATACTAGTATTGTCGACCTCAGGCCGGGTTGCGTCGGATCTATCACCAACTGGACATCGTTCTGTCCATAACACATTTTAGTAGCTATGACTGTTGAGCGAGACTGGGCGCCGGGCAGGTAGTTTAACACCTAACAGGATGCCAAAATATCAAATACCCCCCCTCTTCATCCATCAGTGCCGTACGGGCACGAGTTCATCGTAGTGACAATCAATGGACCAGTTCATGACCCCAGAGTTGAACTCCCTGTCTTTCACTTACTCGGTGCACCATATGTGCAAATCTGTTCTCCGGTCCCTGACGCAGAGGCCGCAGAGTGCCCGAGGGGCTCCTGAATAGCCAGGGAGTTAATATTCCTCTGGCTCTTCCAAACTTCGTACAATGCTCACTAAGACCCTTTCTTTCAGATGTGATAGATGCCGGGATCGACTTCAACAGCCGTTACTGCCCTGCGTGTAAATGTAACCTGACTTTCTCGGCAATGTCAATAGATCTCGGCAGGAACTCATCCGAAGTACTGCTATCGGACGATCTCTGTCTGATGTGACACACTGTACTTCTCTCTTCCATTCGGTCTATGGTCAGTACCTTAAATAGCAATTGAAGGATACTCCAGGCATGGACTGGGAGTCCTACCTTCAACTTGAACTGTCAGCTTAGTAGTAAGGCTACAAAGTAAGTACTGTACCTACCTCGTCAGGCCTCTCTTTGAGAGTCCCTTAATAACCCGGCCATTTCTCCAGCACAACGGCGGTTGGCGGCTGGTTGGCCAACCACAAGGTCGTCTCACAGAAAATGAAGCCAACCGAGACGTCACGCGGCGGTAGCGCTCCGTCGAAGTAACCCAACGTCCGCAACTGTGGTCCAACATGCATACTTATTGTAACGGCATACACGTGACGTGTCCAAGGTTATTGGTGTTGTGCACTGATCCCATGTGCAGATGCTGGCGCATTCCTGAATCCTGACCGCAGGTAACCGATCGAGGTCGAATGCTCAATGATTGCAGGTGCTGCCGTGACATGCGATCGGGCCGCTGTTGGCTGGCCATTCCAGGTTGCTGTGATCTTCAATCGCCCCGCCCACATCTTAAACTTTTAGGAAGCAGCGGCTGAAGAGCCCAACCCATTGCTAACCATTCAGCAGCCTGTGCCTCGCATCCCCATTACGTACCCGGTCACAGAGTGCCTGGAGCCACCGACATTCGACAACTTGTTGAGTCACCAAGTTGCTAACATATTATGATTAGCAGAGGCAGCAGCAGCTCGCTAAATAGGCACTTACCTTGCCCGGATCTTAAACAGTATGAGGGGCGCGAACCTCACAACCTGGAAGATTGCTGACAATTGGATGCTCGAAGAACAAGTAAGTGCCAGGTTAAACACATTGGCCCAATCGATGTGTGTATGTGCGCTTGTACCGAACTATGTGCTGCACGATGCTCAGCATTGGTGGGGCCCGGCACGCTCGAACCCTGCTGCCGCGCACGTCTGAATTTTCTGGAGGCGGAAGGCGGAAGGTGGAGATCAAGACGCGGACCCAAAAAAGACATGTTCTTCGCTGCTTCGACAATATCTCAACCTTCCTAAAAATATAGATGTTAAACCAGTTAGAAGCCGTTGCAACTCTCTGGGATGCGATCGGTATGTAGCGTTCAGGCATGCAAAAGAGTTATTAGGCCCTGAGGCGTGGAGCTTCGGGTTTGGGCCTCTTGGGTTCGCCAAGATTCAGGGGGTGGACATTTGATCAGGTAGCGCTACAAAAAATGAGGTCGCTGCTGTGGCATTTGGCGCTCGTCCCAGATTCCTCAGGCGCACACCTGCCAGTTTCTCGGGTCGGTGCATTTGCCTCCTCCTCCCCAACCCAATCTCCTGCCATCAATCGCAGTTGGCCCTCGCGCAGCCGGTTGCCTTCACGACAACGTACGAAACGCAAGACGACGTGATGACTTAGACACGCCCAATACTAAAAGATTTCCTCCAGCGCCGTTCTTCCGGCCTCCGCCGCTTGCAGACACGATCTGGCCTTGTATTTGTGGGAAGTTTTTGCATCTTCGTTTCCTCCTGTTGCTCCATCGACGGCTGCAACCTTTTTCCGCGTCATTGAAAATCCACGCCAATCTCCACTCGTCGACTCTACACTCGACCTGTGTCCGCGATTTGAAAGAACGATTGCCAAACACACGAGCCTCGAATCTGCTCCCGAGACAGTGTTTGATCCCAACTGGAAGCCTATTTTAGTGTGACCCGGGCCGACACTTGGCTCCGCCCTTTCGGCAAAGACAAAATACCTTAATCCGTCGGGGGTCTGGTTTGCTGAGCCTTTCAAGCCAGCGACCTCGAACGACAGTTACGAAAAATGAACCAACCGCCTGATCTTTTTTTCACGAATTATGCCATGAATGCCCCAAACCGGTCTCCCAGCTCCGCGCGGCCGGGTTACAACACCACAACCGGTCTTCCCGGCGTCAATCGTCTTAACCAGCGCCAAATGGACCCTGTCAGCCAAGCGTCTCCCGCTCTCTTCGCCAGCGATGACCGTTTCGCCTCCTACGACAGCAACTCGTTCAGACACAACAGGGCCCAGCCTACCCCTGGCGGCTTCGCTGCCGACGGCTTCATGGGCGGTAATCAAGCGTGGGCGCCATACAGTTCCGGCGCGAACACTGTGTCTGGGGCCCTGGGCGATGGCAGGCTCCGGCCCGGCGCCCGTAGAGCAGCAATTCCGGCGGTCCGTTCCACCCCATTTTACCATTACCTCTGTCCAATGACGTCCCTCCCCTCTCCTCCGCCCATTTGCTAACTTATGCTTCAGGAGTGGACGATGCAGGAGCAGCCTAGTCTCGGAAGCCAGGCTTTAAACACGCCTTCGACCCAGTATTCAGGGGTCGCCAATTTTAACCCAGCAATGAACTTGATGAATGGAGACCCATCCTTCGCAGCCGAACGCCACGTGTACCCCACATCGAACATGTATGACCCTCGACACGACCCGAAGGCGCTCGGGAACGACCTGATTCCAACGGCAATTGTGATTAAGAATATTCCTTTCAATGTGAGGAAAGAGATGCTCACCACCATCATGTCCGAGTTGGGCCTGCCGCAACCCTATGCCTTCAACTACCACTTCGACAACGGCATCTTCCGCGGCCTCGCTTTTGCAAATTTCCAGAGTCCCATAGACACCCAGACCGTCATCGAGCAGCTCAATGGCTATGAGGTCCAGGGCCGGAAGCTTAGAGTCGAGTACAAGAAGATGCTGCCCGAGCACGAAAGGGAAAGGATCGAGCGAGAAAAGAGGGAAAAGCGCGGCCAACTCGAGGAACAGCATCAGCCCATCACCACCCTCCATTCACAGTCTTCGATGCATTCACTCAGTGCCGCCAACGCTGCCGCCAGGTCCCGTAACTCACCGTTGCGTAAGTCAATGAGGAATTGCCCAACACGGTTTGATAGCTGACATTGTGCATCACAGGGGATGTGGACCTTAACAATCCAGACACGTTGAGTTTTTACACCGAGTTGACGCTTTTCCGAAGTGACCCCAACCGCGAAATCATCGTTTTCCCGAGCTCTATCACACCCCAGCAGCGTCGAACCGTCCATATCCTAGCTCACAACATGGGCCTTGAGCACCGGTCCGTGGGCGAGGGGCCCCATAGGCAAATCCACGTCATCAAGGACACTGGAACCACGCAGGCAATGCACATGCCTCCCGGCGTTTCTGCTGACGCCCATCGCCGGGGCCTGAGTCGGGCCGCCACAATCGATTTCGCCGAAACCAGGAGCAGTCAACCTGGCCATTATGGCACGCTGGGCAGGCAAGGTCGGCATGGACCGACCTTGGAACTTCCAGACAGTCCAGATGGGGGCCTGAATGCGCTACGCGGTGTTAAGTCCTTTGCCGATTTGCGCTCCTACACCCCGAGCCCTTCCCTCTCGGCCTCCGGATATCCGCAAGGGACCACCGTTCACGGCCCGAATGTAGCCCAGTACGGCGAGTACAGCGCCAGCCTTGGGGGGCAGAACAGCTCCTTGACAACACCAACCACCCCGGGAACTGCGTCGAATACCGATCCGTCCATGTTGATCTCGGACCTCGGATCCATGTCACTCGGTGAGCCGTTCAGTGGAGGCCGGCTTCGGCCGCGGGAGACCCCAGGTGCTATCGGCAGCCAGCGTCCTGGGCTGAACGGGTCGAGCACTCGCAGTGTTCCTGAGCGTCAGCCCCTTGGCCCCAGCGGTGACTGGGGCGAAAATATCGGCTTTGGAGGAAGGGGTCGAACAAATGGTCACATTCAACGGGGAAGCGGTGCGTGATTGTGGCTGGACTCGCCCAACCTTCGACAACTCACTCACTAACAAGGCCGTTTAGACTCGTCTGAAAATGCCGTGCGTGGTGCAACAGCTTCCACGACCTCGCGATTCCAGTAGGTTCGGGGCAAGTCTCGCCCACAAATTCGATGCCGCAGCCGACTCCCTCCATCACGACTGTTGCCCATGCAACTTCTTGGCTAAGCGACCGAATACCACCTCGCGGCCTCTCTCGTACCCCTCGTCAACATCTGCTCTGAACCGCAGTCACCTAAAATTTTTCACGCCCCTCGCGAAGCCTGCTGTTTCGCTCTTGTCCTCCGAATACCCCGATTCCTTTGCCAGATTTTCCGCGCACTTCCCGGCAGTCCTGTCAATTGTTGTTGCATCATGAAACCAATTGGAGGGTTCCACCTGCCGCTCCAACCAGATGCACCACAGCGGTTCTGGTTGCCAATGATCTGGAATCAGCCAGCTTCCTAGCGCTCACCTATTATTGTCCGGCCTCCCTTGATCCGCATGTTCGGTACTTCCCGCCACAAGACTACATCCGAAACGGAATGCTGCTCCTGAAGATTAGGTTACACTCCATCACATGGCACACCGCGATTCCGGTTCTGTGTGGACCGTGGCAAAGGCTTCCTGTCGATACAGACGCAAAGATAACAGAACCGAATCTATCGCTTACCCTCGTCTCGGATGGCCAGAGTGAGGGTTCGGCCCGCCTTGGGCTCGCGGCCTGGTTGGCGGCCCTGCAGTCCAGCCCGGAAACTTTGGTTGGATAAGATCTGGAGGCATTCAGGCGTCGTCGGCAGGGCCAACCGCATCTTTATTCTCCAGTATCTCGACCCTTCCATCCTTAGACATGAAAAGCCTTGTAATGTTTGTGCTTGTTTCTCAAAAGCAATCGGCGCTCTCTTGCTTTTTTACCTCACTGGTCTCAGCAGCCCCTCTCAAGAAACGGGTTGTTAGTAGCTGGGATCCAGGGAATTGTACCTCACATTGAAGAAGTACCGACGTGCAATCCACTCGCTATGCCGACCGCGGCTTAGCTGATCCTGTCAGTTGTTCCCCCGGCGCCCTGCACTGTACCCGTCTTGAAGACAATAGCTGGACGACACCGAAGAGACGGAACGGGGAGCATTTGGGCGGGTATACACGACTTTTACACCTCAAAATGGGCAACCATCGCGCACTCTGGTCAGAGCACGGCAAGCCCGCATGCAGCATGGACAGTTAAACATTCGATCCGTCCTGCTTCTCTCGGCCCTCCCTGTCCACCCTGCGGTCAGCCAAGTGATCAGCATGACAGAGGGCTTGCCGGCTACCACGCTTTTACGAATGTTACGGTGTTACGACGTCACGTCCTAGATGGCTATGACAAACTCCGCATAGCGGGCTTAGCACATTTCCCTGTCTTGCCTGCTGAGGAGACGAAAAGACGCTGCGGCAACGAACCACCCCTAATAACGTCAACCCTGAAACTCGGCCTCGGTCCCCGCAAGAATTGCTCAAGCATGGCTTTGTCGTGCTGGAAGGCAGCTCTGGGGACGGTTTTCCGAGCTAATCACACGCAATACAATGTGGAAAGAAGACACATTTAAAGATACAAAAAAGAAGTTTTGTGTTTGTTGGCCCAGATGACGAATTTTTGGATTGGCTGGTATGCTTTATGCTCTCCAGTTTGCGGTCTTGCTCTAATATATTTTGTTGTCTGGCTGTCCGCTTCATTAGTTGTAGGCTCTGGGACCTGAGAAGTCTACCCTGGGTGGTAGGAATGCTTACTGTTCTGCTCCAATGTTGTCCTCGTTCTCCGTCGTCCTTGATTGTGCCAGGTTTATGTAATTCCTTATGCGAGTTGTAACTTGTGTTGGCTGCAGGACAGCCATAACCGGAATTGGCTACATATAGCATGATTGTTAACTTGACTCATGTGGCAGGAACTGATTCTAGTCTATGTCTATTTTACGACGCCTCATGCCCCGCTTGTCATTGGGAGAAAAGATCAGTTCTCCTGGATGAGATAAGCGTCTCTTGAACTGCTTGGAGCACTACGTGGTGGAGATCCTTGGGAGCTGCCACGAAGCCAAAGTTTGAAGCAAGCTTTCGCCCTGAACCCAGATCGATCTCCTTGCCGTACACATCAGTGATGACGCCTCCAACTTCCTCAAAAAGCAACATGGCACCAGCGTGGTCCCATAACTTTGCGTATCGGTCCCTCCTCTTATACACCCATACAGTGAAATTTGCGAGCCCCAGCGACAAAACCGCCCACCTGGGCACCCAGCCGAGCAAGTCACAACCCGGATACGTCACGTTCAACCTTTCTGCCACAGCCTTGTGGATATCAAGAATCCCCGAGTCCGGCAAAGTGGTGCACGTGACGGGTCGTAGGTCCGCAGGAACATGGACCTTGTCGGCATGTCGCCCCAGCCTCCGCGGCTTGACCTCTCCAAGATTACCAGGCAGCGGCCTGACATAGGCGCCATATCCTTTCGCGGCGAACAGGATGCACCCTGTCCCCGTCGGGTCAATGGACCTGTCGTTCACCGGAGAGGATGCATCCATAGAAAGGACAGGGCAGGCCACGAGGCTCAAAATCTGGCGGCCGTGTTCAAGCAGGGCGATATTGATGGCGTATTGCTCGCGGCGTATAAAGGTCCTGGTGCCGTCGATAGGGTCAAACACCCAGACCCTCCCGGACGGCGAGTCGGCGCCGCTCGGGTGGTATGTGGTGCAGGAATCGATCACCTGGCAGAGCTCGTCCGCATCCCGGAACAGCGCCGCACCAGCCTGCTCGAGAATGGCGAGCACGCGAGACGATAGTCTGGGGTTCTGGCGGAGTTGGTCGGCTGACTCCTCGCCTACGAAGCCGTCTTGAGGGAAGGCCTGGCTGATGGTGCGGGTGAGAAGGGCCTGGATGGCAAAGTCGGCGATGGTGACGGGGCTTAGGTCGTCTTTGGTTATGTCAAAGATGTCTGCATCTCCGCCGCTGCTCTGCTCGTGGGCTAAGGAGAGGGCGAGGCGGCTGATTTGGGCGGCTTGTTGGACTGCCTTGATGGCGACCTCGAGCTCATGGCGGTAGGGGCTCTCCATGATAACGTGGGGGCTGGGATAGTAGATGGGGGTTTCTAGGAGTGAGACCAGGGGACTCAATCAGAGGCAAAGGAGGGATGTCAACAATCTCCCTCAGCCCCGATGTCGGAGCTAGACCTGAGATATTTCTGAGTGAAGGACAGGTGCAACTAGATTCAAGCTGTAGTCAGTCGACTGCAAGCAACAGAACCAGCATGTTTGAGCCATCATTCGCAAAAGAGTATGCTTACAAACACTTTGGCCTGGGCCACATAGAGGTTGAGCCTGTACTCCGTAGTAAACAGATGGGAAGCCAATCATCAGCCAACGGGTTAGTTGCTTCGTACGACCCAGCTTCCCAATGTTCTAGGGCTGTCCGAGGTGTGGCTGGGTACCAGTGACCCACTATTAGGGCTCAGCTCCCGGGATACGCCTCGGTGAAGCTACATACCTTGCGTCAAGTACCTTCACCTTGAACTTCTTGAAGGTAGCAAAGAAATGCACCTTATACCGGACATATAGCTGTTACCTTCGATATGGTGATCCAGGACTAGCATTTACAAGCCTTTCCGTCACTATCCAGTGAATTTTTAACAGATTTCAGTATAAAAGTAGGTGCAAACTTGACGCTCAGGGGCTGATGGACATACATGTATGTACAATACCTGCTCTCTTGCTCCTCTTTTTCCTGGCATGAGGTGAGTTTTGGCAGTTCCACACTCGCTGACTGACTAATAGGGCAGATGAGGGCTTAGTATCTATCGTCTCCTCTCTTCCTTGGAGAACTATCACGTGCCGCCTCGGGTCTGCTGCCTTTGTAGTACTGTACATACTACTAGTACCTTGGAAGGTAGGGAAGCCCTGGGCATTTTGATTGCAGAGATGCATGAATCGGATATCTGTGCTGATTTGTACAGGGTAGGGACATGGAAAGAGGGATGCCCGTATACCGACGTAGACTAGGACCGGGATGTTGCGAGCAGAGCCTGGCGGTAAACGACAAGCATGCTGCAGAAACTCGAATGTATGTGCCTCCCATGCCCAGCTTCTTTCAGAACTCGTCATATCTAGTATCAAGACCTATATATAGTGGTTTCAGTACCGTACTCGCTGAGGACGAGCAGATACACCCCCGGGCAAGTGAAACCTCCTCCTCTTGCCAAGCGGTTGGCGCCGTGGGTGAAGTTTAGCCGAAATTCTACTTACACCCACTCACTCCTCTACGCGGGTAAGGAGCTTCCATGTCTGGAGCATACTTCATATCTCAGTGTCAGGTAAATGGCGGCAGCTGCTGCTATTACTACCTAGCAGGGAGAGGGGGGGTCTTTGACCGTACAGGCAACATTACCATTCCACCTGACATTGTAGTCCGGTACTAGCAAGTACCTGCCATTATATAAACATTATGACACCGGCTAGGTACTATAATGCTGTCATTACAGTTCAATTTGCTGATGTCAGACTGCAATGTCATGAGATAGACTGTATAGTTAGATACCTCCCCTTCCTCTACTAGGTAGTATATACTAGTGTCTTCATATATATCCCGGCCTGGTCGGTCTCGGCGGATGACCGGAGAGAAGTGAACCCGGTGCTCGCAATTCTATACACATTGATCGACGTTGGTACTATTAGTAGTAGCAGTCCAAGGTCTGGCAGTCATTGGGGTAACAAACAGTCAATACTGGCACCGTTACATGTCTGGGAGTGGTCAGGTAGGTTTATATGAAGATGCTACGTAAAAGGACATGAGAATGACGGCTCAGTACAATGGTTTGAACAGGAGGAAGTCAAGGTAGGTCGACCGACCGCTCCCCTTGCCAATCCGTAAGTTCTCTGGTTTTGAAAATTGAAGAAGTAAGAATGGCAAGGAGGGTTGTTTGTATATTAGGCCACTCAGGGGATGGAAAGCCGAGCTCCGTGCAGCTCCTTTCCTTTTGCCCAACAAACGGAAGCGTGTAATCTCTCTCTCTTTTCCCTCGCTGCAATCTCCTGTGAAAACACCTCGGTCTGGTCTAGCGGATGGACCAAAAGGAGTGCAAGAGCGGAACGTGAACGGACTTAGGCCTTGATGGCCATCTCGCCCATGGGCATAGCCTTGAGCCCTGTATTGGTTGAGGATTGATCAGCGATTGCTGAAGAGAGAAGAGAGAGATAGCGGGGGGAAAAAAAAAAGGGGGATACTCACAGCCGTCGACGGGCTCGGGGGCTTGTTGCTTGATCTTGCAAGCGTTGTACTTCTCGGGCGGCTGCGAGGTGAGGCCGGCAGCCGGGCAGTCGCGGTTCAGGTTGCAGCCGCTGTCCATGGCCCTCTGGAGGACATCGCCCTTCCAGCCAAAGACGTAGTCGCCGTGGGCAGCCGAGCCACTATTTTGGTGCCACAGTCAGCAAATCTTGAAATTTATACGGTCTGAAAAGGGGGCGAGTAAACAAAGGGAGTCCCTTACCCAAGGTTCATGCTGTACACAAACGGCTTGCCATCGTCGGGCCAGATGCTCCGGTCGGTGAACTTGGATACGTCCCACATAAGCTCGTACATGACCTGCGGGAGCTTGACGGGATGGCTGCTCGGGCAGGCACCGCCACCGTTGGCACCAGAGCCCGCGCCGTAGGCGACGTGGGACTTGTGGTCGGGCGAGTCGAGGTTGCGGCCGTCCCAGCATCTGGAGATTGGGTTTTATCTTGTCAGCAATTCAAACCTTTTTCTAATTTCATTTTCAGGGGTAAGTCCGTACGTGGGGAAGATGATGGTCTGGCGGATCATCTTGCACTTGGTGTCTTGAGGAATGCCGACAGTGTCGGAGCCGGTGCAAGGAGCACCGCCAACGAAGGGGGTGTCGGATGTCGACGTCCAGCAGCGGTGGCAGATGTTGGCCTTGGCAACCTTGCTGTCGTCGGTGTTCGCAGCGTTGCCCGCAAGCATACGGAAACCCTGATGCCGCCGTTAGCGAAATGGACAAAAATGGAGACGAATAGGGGGAGGAATGCAGCATACGGGCTTGAAGGCCTGAACTCTGCCCGAGGGGATGTAGTAGACATCGAGACCGCCGTCGTTGATGAGACGGCCCTGGGGACCGCCGTTGCCAACCTGGGGCACGCGGTGATAGCTGCCGTTTTTGGCCTTGAAGAACATGACTGCGGTCCAGTAGTTGGACAGATCCTGGACGAAGCTGCACGAGGTGCATGTCGACCGCGCCGCAAGGTCATACTCGACGGGGGTCATGGTCAGGTTGAACGAGTTGCCGCCCACAATCTGGTGCAGATGTGGGGTGTACCGCATGCCGGGGTTGACCAGGGGGTCGACTCGGTCGACGACCAGCTGTGAACAGGCAAATCGCAGCATGTTTTGTGCAACGGCACCGTTGGCCAGCAGCCCAACGGCGGCGGCAATGGAGGCCCACTGATGCATCTTGATGAACTCGTTCCTAATCCCTTTTCTGCTTTCACTGTCTCCCTTTCTCCCTCTTTCTGGGGTTTCGTCTGGCAAGACGGTCTCTCTTTAAGTCCACTCGTCGAGTAGAACCGAGGACAACAGAACTCAAGTGCCTGATGTGGTTAGCCGTGTAGAAGACAACGAACTCGTTGAGGACAAGAAGAGCTGGAAGAAGAAGGGCCACGAGAACCAGGAAAGGCAGGCTGGACGATATCGTCCCAGGCACTTATACTACACGGTGCCCTGGCTCCCCCCCTTTCCCTTTTTTTCCACCAATCCAACCAGAACTCGTTCACGACCATGACCCGGTTGACCAAGACTTGCATCTTCCAAACGCCCGGCAGGTGCCTAACTGCCGATACTACGGAACAAGTTCGAACGTGTTCTGTCATTTGGGTATAATATGAGTGATTGGCTTGAGCGTGCTCCAGTCGTATATTGAGCCTCCTGCCGGATTCGTCAACAATTGCCGGCGCTCCGGAATGGCTGTTTAATGGCTGCTTGGTCTGGCTCATGTTGTGCAAATAGGATGGTCCTCTCATTGAGCCTTCCGGGTAAAAGCAGCAACACATATATAATAACACATCCCACCCGGCACCCCCCCCCCCCCCCCCCATGTCCCCAATATCGCCCGGTTATAGATGTGTTTGCCACGGGGTCACGCTGCAGCACCGCGGATGATTAATCAGGGGCAGCGGCGCGAGAGACGGCCAAAGTGACGTCGAGAGTCTCGTCGCCAGCTATTATTGGACCCTAGAAACGTGGACTTTGCAGCCGCTCCGGGGTGTGCATCTGGGTGACAGCATGTTTGTTTTCCTGGGGAGAACTATGCCGTCTGTGGGGTTGTTGAGGGTGACAACGGCTGTCATGTTATGTAGCTGCGGGCTGTTACCGCCCCCTTTCGGGCCTTTGGAACATAGGGGTTAATTAAGACAACAGGAAGGTGGCAAGACAACAAGCGAGGCCAAGAGACCAACACAGTTTTCGCGTCCCTGGTTGAGGCTAGTGTGGCATTCATGGTGCTGGTTACCATATTCCAAAGTTGGGATGACACCTTGGATGTGATGATCATATGAAGGACTCCCATTGACAGTAATACTGGACCAACTACCACAGGTAGCACCACTACTTGTGGTTGTTGAATTGCCTAGCCGGCTTGTGAATGTCGACTGAAGCCATGACCTTGAATTTGAAAGTCGTCTAATGCAAGCTAGATCTTCCTGTCTACTAATCCCTTACTCCTAAAGCTATTTGAGTGCGTTCTATCGCCTTTCGCTACACTGTGGTTGCCTCCTTAACTGCAACAATGTTGTTCTTACCGCGATTTCGGTAACTGATACAGCTCGGCGACATGTTTACATCCCGATGCCCAACTATCTATAGTTCGGTGGCGTTCTAGAATGGGGTTTAATCTGGCAAGCACTGCAGGGTGAGCCTGTGACGTATACCTTCTACTCGGTTTCTGACTGCCGGAACTGGATTAAACCACCACTGCAGACGACCAAGTTCGGAGTCCGGAACACCTGTATACCATACCGCATTCACTGGAATCCATGGCGAGGCTCAATGGAACCCCTTATTGAAACGGAGGCTAGGAAAGCATCTTCAGCGTTTCCTCGAAGTAGTCAAAACCAGGATCTTCCCGAAAAGCCCACGTGGTGGCACCCCCTGAGTTTGACTCCGGACTGACACGGTACATGTACTTGACACGGCAACCCCCTTTACCCGTCCAATGGTAGCAATCCCCTCACCCACGCCCAGATATTCTGTATTTATATTACTCCCTCAAGCCTGCTGGCAGCACATCTTCGGCATTTTCGTTACGCGCCGGCAGCGGCGTGTTCCGTTCTGGCAAGCTCCCTCTGCCTCAGCCAGAGGGCACAATACCAGACATCTCATCCATTGAGCTGATCATGATCCACATATCCTCATTATTCCAGAGGAGACACAAGCCCTTTTCAACATACCAGAGTATCAGGAAGCCGGATACCTCAACGTATAGCCTGACATCTTCATCACACAAATTTCATATCCCTGCAGCCCCGCCCCCCCGCCCCCCCCCTTAACCAACAGATATGCCCAATCATGGCTAGTTTATATAGAAAATGCGTCGACAGACCTAGTTCCACCAACAGTTAAAACAAGACAAACATATAAAGCATCGCCACTATCCTGTCTCAAAACGCCACTCCCGAACTCCCCCTGCCCACCGTCTTGAAACTGTAGCTCATCCACTGACCGTCGCCAGCCAACGTGTCGAACCGGCTGATGCCGGCTTCCGGATTGTCAAGGCTGGTCCCATAGCCGCTGAAGTAGTATCCGACCACAACCACCAGATAACTCAGCAGCAAGATGCTGCCCTTGAAGTAGTTGCTCTTGCCCTCGCCATACATGTAGCTCAACAGGAACACGCAGAGGATCACGGTCACCATGTCCCACTGCGGGAAGAGCAGGCTAAACGTGTAGCGTGCCACATCCTCAGCGGGGACGCCGAGAGGGTTGACGGCCGAGAAGAGAACCAGGGCGGGGATCTGCAGCAGACAGACCTGAAGAGCATAGGCCGAACCAATCTCCATGGAGAGCGCAATGTTGCCATTCATGGCAAACGATATGGCATTCAGGAACTCGGTCGTATTGGGCACCAACGCAAACAGTGTGATGCCGAGAAATTTCTCGTCAATCTCGAAGCTCTCAAGCACAACGTCCACCGTGTCAACGAGTATCTCTGCAATAATCGCGTAAAGCACTGTGGCTCCCATCAGTATGACGGAACTCTTGAGTCGGCTCCAGTTTGGTGCGTCGTGTCCGTGGCCGCCTGCCTGGGTTCCAGCTTGATCCGGAACTTCGTCGTGGCCTGGGACGACAGTGGTGCGTCCAAGTCCGCTAGGGCTGATGGAAAGGGGAGGATGAGGAGCTCCTGTCGAAATTGGAGCCGGGTGACCTCGCCTGTGTCCTTGCACGTTCCTGGCGGCAACGGTGGCAGCCGTCGCAGCAATCTCGGCAACTTGGTGAGCAAGATGGTTATTCTCAGCATCAGTAAGCCCAGGAATGCTGATACTGGGGCCAATGGTTTCGGTGCCGTATGTTGTGGGCTTCGGAGGCACGAGATGGAGTGTGCCTTTGGCGGCGTTGCTCCCCGCAGCATTTGAGCTTTGTCTCGTCTGCTCGTCTGGTCGAGATTGATGGCCAACTTGGCGGAGAGATTGCCCAAGAATGCGCTTGTACAGATTCGAGTCCCGGATGTCCGTGGCAGTGGAGTCCGCGGCCGACGGATTGCCCAGAGGTCGAGGGGTGTGGTGAGGCGTGACGTGGTCATCGTGCTTCTTCTCGTCGGCATCCGTGTTCCAGATGACAGCGGCATGTGTGCGGAGTGTGAACCAGAGACCAATGATGTAGGACATGAATAGCATTGTAGCAGCAAGATAGCAATAGGGCCGCACCGCCTCCAGGTAGAACCGGTCGTTTATGGCTGGCGTTTGCGAGAAGTAGCAACGCCGACAATCGCGGAGCACCCCTCCACCGCGACCGGGGCGGTCGAAATTGATGCAGTCCTGGCAAGTCAGCTCATGGGTACCATAGATCTGGTAGAAAAGGGTCGGGCCGAAGGCGCCGATGACGGCAAACAGGAGCATGGTCGAAGTCACGCCAGCCGACTTGGAGTTGAACCGCTGCGTCTTACGCTTGATGGCCCCAAAACACATAGACAAGCCTGGCAGAAACAGGATACCAGCGAATATACTGCCGACGATGCTGCCTTCAACGAGCTGGGCTTTGCCCTGCTGCAGGGCCACGCAGTAGAGGAAAACCTCGACGATGGTGGAAAAGAAGGCATTGATGGCCGCGCCAAGACCCATGGATGACTGGGCAGAGATGGAAGCCACAGCTTGACCGATGAAGTAGGCGAGCGGAATGATGGACAAGAGACCTGCGACGAAGAGGAACGCAGATGATGTGAGGAAGTTGTCAATATGCAGGACGCCCTCGAGCACGAGCCAGTCAAAGATGACAAAGACTACGACGGCCATAAGGTTGATCAGGAAGATGTTGGTTCCGTCAATGGTGTACTTCCAGTACTTCAGACCAACAGCGCGATAGGTGCAGACCAGGATGGAAGAATGAGGCGCTGTCGGCGCTCGAGCAGAAGCAATGTCTGACTCGAAGGACAGGGCCAGGGGATGGCGGCGGAGGTGGTCAAAAAGGAGCAGCGTGACTTTGCCCATGGGTATCCAGAACACCAGAAACCAGCAGATGGCCGAAACGGCGAAAAGGGACGGTGTGATCAGAAAGTAGAAAAATGAGAAAAAGATGACGCGCCCAACGTTCCACTCCCCGCGCCCAAACAATCTTCGCTTCATCCGGGGAAGATGCAGATCGTGGTCTTGGCCGCGTCCTCTGCCGAGAAGACTCTCGGTCTCGTCGGGTTCCGAGTCGATGCTCCGCCGAGACCGCCCGATGATGGAGCGGTTCCTGTCCGGCCCAAAGAAAAGGCGCCCATACTCTAGGTCACCGCTCTGCCACTGCTCATACTCGCTAATGCTTCTGCCCTCGCCCTGATCCTCGTCCATATAGGCTTCCTGCTGCTCCAGCCGGATGAATTTGCCAAAGGGGTAGAATAGATAGCTTGCCAAGCCCCACAATACTCGGCCGTACTCTCTGGCGCTGGGGGCAGCAGCGAATAAGAAGCATATGGCGGCGCCGGCAAAGGCGATGAAGGCCATCCACCATCCAAAAGCAAGTGTCCACAGTATGTTGAAAAACAAGAGCCAGTTGCTGACACGGCCGCCGGGCGACGAGTGGATGTCAACCTCTGCCGTCTTCTGCACCGACCGACTCTTCTTGTATAGGGCTGGCTTCCACAGCCTGATACCGAAGGGGTGCGTTTCATTGATGGCCTGTTGGCGATCTTTCAGGGTGAAGCTCTCGGCGTCGCTGACATCCCCGTCATCGTGAATTGGGGTCTCATCCTCATGTGTATCATCACCCGGAGTATTTGCAGTGTCCTCGTTTCTCAGGGCGGCGTCGATCGGGGCTGTCTGCTCTTCGGGGTGCTCGGGCACTGTATCATCGTCGTGAGAAGAATGGACTCTTGCAAGCGCGGGAGCGGCAGCGGCTCGTCTCCGCACAGTACCAGTCAAGGTCTGCTGGCGCTCGGCGGCATCCGCCTCCACCTCGGCAATGCCGTCGTCGACCGAGAAGACCTCGCCTCGGTGGGGTGCTTGCGCGCTGGAAGATGCGCGACGCGGCATGGCCGGTTTGCGCGGGCGCGTCGAACGTCCTCGATCGGACCCAAGCAGCGGGGACCGCCCAGCGCTCTGGCTGGTTCGTGGAATGCCGAGGTCGGATCCGGAGGGTTGGTCTCGGTCCCACCGGCCAGTCTCGTCGGGGACCGGACTGCGTATGGAAGCTGCTGGTGAAGGCGAAGTGGTTAGCAACCAAAACAACAGGAAGAGAAGCAAAGAAATGCCAAGAGATATTCGCGGGGCAGCTTGGAGCTCTGCCAAACCCACCTTCAGGCCTCCTTCGCACAGTATCCATGGGCTGGTGACTGTCTGAGGCGTGCCTCGAAAGGGAATCATCTCGCGATGAATGGCGCGTGTCGGTCGACGGCTCGTCAATCACGGGATTATCGCTAGACCTTGGCAAGGGACCCATGATGGCGAGCGGGTCGGAGAGGATGGGGAGACGACCCCGAGGAGCAGATCTCTCACTGTCGCCTGGTGATGCTGCTTATCGTCGTGGGCTCGGGATGGTCCGGATTGTCGGAACTTCTGGAAAGCTACCTAGGCTGACAGTCAAGTCCGCTACAGGCATAAACTGTTCAATACACGGTCAACAGTCCGCGGCTGCTGTGCGCCGCGTTGTGCATGACAGTTGCTAGATGTGAAAAGTATGCAGGCCAATGATCGCTGGACCTAACTTGGGTCGGGAATCGCTGCGTTCTTGTGAGAAGGAAAGGTGCGGTTGGGTAGTTGATCTTTGGAGGCAATGGAAGCTTGGATCATTGGATGAATCCAATGGATGTCGCCTAGAGAGGTGGATAGAGCTAAGATAGTGTGGCCTTCGATCCAAAGTTAAACCTCCAACTTTGAACATAAAATGGATTATAACGACAAAGTTGAAGAGAAAGAAACCATAACGCTTTCAAAGTCCGAGGGATGGGGTTGAGCATGCAACATAAGCTAAAGCTGTGCCCGCCAAATACAGTACCTTGATAAAAGTGTCGAAGGAGTCAGCGGCGTTGGTGTTGTGAAACGGCACCTGGCAGGACCTACCGGGATGATCCGCCTGTGATGGGGTTGGATTAGCGCCACCATGCCGCCAGTGCCACATAAGCCGGGCTCCCTCCACTGTTTCCAGGCTGTCAAAAACGGTTCCCGCGCCCTGGAATCAAGGAGCCGTGCCGCTGACGGGAGAACAAACGACAACCTCAGAGAGTTTCACTGCTTCTTTACACCTCAGCCTCCAGTTCAAGACACACTCCTTGGCCTCAGTCCCAAATTCCACGTTCTTTAAGATGTAGAAATGGTTCAAGTCCCTTGCTGTATTGATATTCTTGAAAGACATGGAGGCGGTAGGTAATTGTTACATCTAGTGTACTGTGATGTTCTGTCGATTGGACCTGTGCCAGACAATGCAGCATGCTTCCCGGGGCGCCTGTCTCAGTCTTCAACATCCTGTGATCAACCTCTCGGACTGTGGCTGACAAACCTGGAACATGTCGCTCCATTCTGCAGATTTTCCTTGAATTCGAAACTGTAGTTGCTGAATCTCGAACATGCTGCACCCAGGCTTCAGCGTCACAACAGACACATCCCAGGAGAAGTTGGAAATTCCAAGACGAAAACCAAGCAAGCGATTCTGGCAGTTACACTTTCGTAGTCTTTTGAATGTACGAAGTGCATTATCCTTAGCTTGAGTCCAACTTAGTTTGTAATTTCTGAGCTCCAGGTTGGCAGTGACATCACACCTCGAGTCGCTCCTTAACATAATCTCCTTCGAGGTCGCTCGGGTTCCAAATCCAATTCCGATTAGAGATAACGATAAGAGATTGGCCCACTCCATATCACGTGCACGACCCACCAGCAGCCCAGCCCATCCTGGAAAGGTTAGCTTTCAGCCCAGCAGCGCAGCGACGTTAACTAGTGGCCGCGATGCATTGCGTTGACCTGAGCTGCCTTCGACAATCTTCACAGCGCATCTTCGCCTCACAGCAACAAAGTTAGAGTAGCAACCACAACCCACCCATCAACCTTACGGCGATTTACCTCGCACAACGACCATTGATTATCCTGCCATAACGTTATTCCGAACCTATACTTCCTTCGCTGCTAAGGTGACCACGATTGACATTCCGAGCTCGACGAGGTTCTCTCATTCTTCGCTCGCCCGTTAGGCCCGATTCCGCATCCCGCGACGCCGTCACCATGGCGCTCGACAACTACTATCACAACAAGATCGAGGCGATGCAACTCGAGATTTTGAAGGGCCAAGCCGTCCTTCGTCGTCTCGAGGCTCAACGAAATGACTACAACTCGCGGGTGCGCCTACTCAGAGAAGAGCTTGGGTTACTACAACAGCCCGGCTCGTACGTGGGTGAGGTGGTCAAGGTGATGAGCACCAAGAAGGTTCTCGTCAAGGTACATCCCGAAGGGAAATACGGTAAGGATACGCGCTGCCCGGAGCCTTCCAAGATGCTGATCCGCCACACCTGCAGTCGTCGACGTCGCCGACTCAGTGGATGTCTCCAAACTCACAGTCGGCAAGCGTGTAACCCTCTTATCGGACTCATACAAGCTCGAAAAGATCCTTCCCTCATCAGTCGACCCGCTTGTCTCGCTCATGATGGTCGAGAAAGTTCCCGACAGCACCTACGACATGATTGGCGGCTTGGATCAGCAAATCAAGGAAATCAAGGAAGTCATCGAGCTAGGTCTGAAGCATCCCGAGCTGTTTGAGTCGCTCGGAATTGCGCAGCCAAAGGGTGTGCTGCTGTACGGGCCCCCAGGTACCGGAAAGACACTACTGGCTCGAGCAGTAGCACATCACACCGACTGCAAATTCATCCGCGTCTCGGGCTCCGAGTTGGTGCAGAAATACATCGGTGAGGGCAGCCGCATGGTGCGAGAGCTGTTTGTCATGGCCCGGGAACATGCGCCAAGCATCATCTTCATGGACGAGATCGATTCCATCGGCTCGTCGCGCGTTGAGGGGTCTTCGGGCGGCGATTCCGAGGTGCAGCGTACCATGCTCGAGCTTCTCAACCAGCTCGACGGCTTCGAGCCGACCAAGAACATCAAGGTCATCATGGCGACCAACCGGCTCGACATTCTCGATCCGGCCCTGCTTCGGCCGGGCCGCATCGACCGCAAGATCGAGTTCCCCCCGCCGAGCGTCGAGGCGCGCGCCGACATCCTCCGCATCCACAGCCGCAAGATGAATCTTACCCGGGGCATCAACCTGACCAAGATCGCCGAGAAGATGAACGGCTGCTCCGGCGCCGAGCTCAAGGGCGTGTGCACCGAGGCCGGCATGTACGCCCTGCGCGAGAGGCGCGTCCACGTCACCCAGGAGGACTTTGAGCTCGCCACGGCCAAGATCCTGAACAAGCACGATGACAAGGAGGTGTCACTGGCCAAGCTCTGGCGCTAGGTTAGGTTGGACGCGAGGGCGGTTGTCCTGTAGGTGACCCACTCGCTAAGTGGACGGATTACCTGGTAGCAGCAGGAAACAGGAGGGTGGTGGTGATGTATCTAGGCACTCCTCAAGGGGACGCAATGCTCCTCGTACCATGCCATGTACAATAAACTTGGAATCGCATGGGCTACTGTACGACGGGCTGACAACGTAACCCTCTTTCCGAACTCGTGTAGTATCGATGGCTCCGGACTGCCCTCATATGCCTTCGCCCTGGTCCAGGTCGACAACTTCCCGTACTTTTCTCTTGGGCAGTCACTTCACGCTGGACGTCCAGGAAGGCTGAGAGAGCATCACTGTGATGCTCCACCTCTTACTTCTAGGCCTGTGTGATATGACAATTCTTATTTCTTTGCCAACCATTGCGAATGTACATTTCGCTCCTTATATATATATGCACTGTATCATGTTCCAGGTGGCGGGGATTCAAGGGGCAAAAACCATTGTAGACGCCCAGCCCATGCAAACCCAGGCCTGCCCCCCAATCCAAGCATGTATATCCAGTCATGCACAAACGAATTTCACCTGTATCACCCCTCCGCATATGCAAACTCACAGATGCACTCAACGCCAAACTCCACAAAGACCAGGAAAACGAAGATATCAGCGGTGGTTTATCATATGTAGCCTTCCCCCTCCAGCAAAGTGTTGCTCTCCTAGCCATGAGTCCATGTCCATGGTTGCCGTTTAGTCTCCCGCTGCAACTGTTTCCATCACAAGGCCATACTCCCGCTCCTACCCCTCCCTCTGGGGTCAAGCCCTCCACCACTGGGCCCGTCCGATTCCTGGAGGCGCCAGATCCACTCGAGAACCGTCTCGTAGCAGAGGACAAACTGCCGCAGGCTCTGGACCATGCTCAGTCTCTGCCCGCGGAAATCCTCCACCGTCTGCGCAATCAGATCCAGGCCGTCGTCGTCCAACCAGCTCATGTCTATACCCTCCACGTCGTTGTGGCCCGCAGCCTCCTCGTTCACCCCGTCCTCCATTGCAATGTCCCCGTCTGGATCCTGATTCGGAAACGACGACTGCCGGGCTCCACCAGCCAATCCGCCTCTGTCCCGAACACTCCACGGCACCCGGCTGCTGGTGCTGGCGCTGGTGCTGCTGCCGGACTTGTTCAGCACGTGTTGCCGCTGGCGCTTGAGCATGTCGATCACGCTGTCGACGGTGCAAAACGCGCCCGTGCGACCACATCCGGCTGAACAGTGAACCAGCATCGGCCTGGCGTGCTCGTTGGACTCGGGATGATCGAACCAACTTGAGGGTCTCTCCGGGGGACGGCGGCCTCGAGGGGCAGCCATCCCGTCGGTAGCGGCATCACCGTTCTGTTGGGCGGCGGCCGACGTCGACGCAAGCGTTCCCGGTACATCAATTGGCAGCGCGGCGCGTTGCATAACGTTCGCGAGCTCCACCAGAGCAAGAAGATGGCTAGGTTTGGCGGGCGCGCCAAAATCTGGCCATGACGGGTAATGGAGCTGAGTGATTTCGCGTATCGGGGAAAACGGGTGCGCTGCGTGACTGAGTGCGAACTTGCGGATGACAACATGCGGCGGTTCGGTTGACTGTGGGTTGAAACTGAACTGCGAGACGCCCTGGGTGTCCGAATCGAGTGTCGTTGTGGTGTTTGCCCTCCGGCGAGTTCCTTCCAATGAGGAGGGGTCAGCCGACGGACTTTGTGCCGAACCCGCGGACGACATATCGTTTCCCCCGGAGCCCGTGGAACTCGTGTTTGAGGGAGATCGGCGCTTGTTGATATCCAGCGAAACCTTCTTTTCAGACAGCACCCGGAGCCTAATTGGTCCAAAATCTTGGCCCCTCCAGTACGGGTGGCACTTTAACTGCCCACCCTCCGACTCAGCCGTCAGCATGACGATAACGCGGACGTCGTGATCCCAAACCACAGACCAGAAATCCTATAACCATGTGTTAGCCCTCGCTCGAAGAGAAACTCGGGGGATATCGGAGGGATATCGGATCGCATACCTCAAAGGTAGCCGGCAAGGGCCCTTGGCTGGCGATGTACCGCTTGTGGCTCCGCTTGGCCCGTATGTGACTCGCGTTCACATAGTCACAGGCACCCTCGGGGCGTCCAAGGAGCCTAACTCGCGCATGCTCGAAAGGGAGAATATCCTTGTACCTATTTTTGCCGCCCTTTTCGATGCCCGACAGCTGCACCCTAACTTCGCCCTGTGGGGTTCTGGAGACATCGCGGGCGGAATTAAAGGCCGAATAGGCTTCTCGCATGCGCGACTGCTCCATGAGCTCGATGCGCAAAAACTTGTCTGATACTCGTTTGCCTCGGTCAGCGGTCTCAGCCGCTTCCCGAAGCCAGCGGGGCAAGCTATCCTGAGCGAGGCCGGAGGGCATGCCAATCTCCATCTGCCCAACGCCGTCAACCAGATCCTGATTCTGGCGAATGTTGGCAAAGAAAGGGTTCAGATTGTGGCTCGCAGTGGGCAAAAGGACGCCGCCAATCACCGGGGGTACATTAGGCCGAACGCTGCTGGATACGGAGCTTGAGCCCGCCCCAAGTGACAAACCCGGCGACGGGGAACCAGATGAACGGTCAATGAGACTTGGGTATGCTGCAGCAAACGCGTTGAAGCCACCGCGAAGTATGCTTGTCGAACCGGAGTACCCTTCGTTGGTGAATTTCTTGATCATATTGATCGCCGAAAGAGCGTCGCGCTTCTCGGACGACGAGGCATCGTAGGCGATGAGATGCTTTGTGTTGCGCCAATTTCCAAACTTTTCCTGATCCTGGTCGGCCTGGAATGTTTGCTGAAGCTTCTGCAGATTGAAGGTCGCCCGCTTCAGCAGCGTCGTCGGGATGCACAAATTCAGCGCGCCCCGTATCCTCGACTGCGAAAACTGTGGTGAGACTCTGAGATCCAGCAGCAAGATGCTCTCGTCTTGGTCCTTATCCAGCAGATCTTTCAATCCAGCCGGAGACATCATGGCGGGACCTTCGGCTTCCGAAGTGTCAGAACTCGCGATGCCCCCGCTTTGTTTGCTCGAACTGGGCGGTGAGGGTCTTGCTTTGCTTAGACCCTGCAATTGCACTGGTAGTTTACCAGCAACATCCGGTCGGAACATGGAAAGCTTGATTCCCTCATGTTCGGCGCCAGGGAACGGTGACTGTGGCGTCTCCTGTCTGCCCATGGCCATGGGAAACGGCGGGTTGAACGACACAGCCGAGCTGCGCTTGGAATCGGCAGAGACGTAGGCAGAGTCTTCTTGCACACTCTCGGTATCACCATCAGGCTTGCTGACAGGAACATCCTCAGATGCGTACGGCGTGGCACCGAGACGCGACGGTCGCGGTAATGCCACATCCGGCCCATCGGGTGCTTGGACTTGCCGTTTTGGAAGGCGCAGTCGCTGCAGCGCAGATGGCGTTGACGCCAATGGAATCGGCTGTGGGACTCCAGTCGTCGTAACATTGAAGTGTGAGGATGATAGACTAAATGTTGACCTCCCGCGGTTGGCATCAACTTGCCTACGGAAGGCTTCGAACTCGGGGTTAGCATCCAAGGGCAGTTGCTTAGGTATTGCCGCGGCGAATGACTTGACCGAAGAAGAGGGTGAACTCCAGTTCTCGCGGGGCAGTTGGGACGAATCCCGTGGATCGGCCGTGGGGTCGATAGCGAGGCCGAAATAGTTGGGGCTCGGTGATCTCCCCTCCTTTGCGACACCTCGGGTTGCTCCTGGAGAGGCTCTGGCCGCATGCGCCTGTCCCACAGAGTAAGGCGCTCGCGGAGAAGCCACGGGGGATGTCGTCTGTTTGATGGAGAAGTATGACTGGGAGTTTGAGCGAGAGTGGCCGAGCCCCTGCGAAGCGGTGGGCGGGCCCAAGCCCGGTGGTGTTTTCATGGTGTAATAGAGGGTCTGATCGTTCAAGTGGGTCTTTTGCTTTGCGTACACCATGGCCGCGGCTTGATGAGACCAGAGATGTGCGTCTTCCGCACGGCAAGGTCCGGAAATCGGGGCTTGTTGGATGCCCTCTGGCGTCATCAACGAGTCTATGTGTTGAGAGCAAGCTGTCATAAGGCCGCCATTTTGCTTGACGCGGCGGTTGATTCTAGGAATAAATATCAGGGAAATATAATATCAGTGACGCGAGAGTGGTCGCCTTGTTCGTATCCGTCGTCTTTGGGGTAACCCCAGTCTAATCTGTCTTCTTGCGACGAAGGGGAAACACAGGTGTGCTGCGTAGGCGGCGAAGAAAAGATAAGGTAGAGCGCGTGGATGGACTGAGCTAAGATTGGTGGCAAGGGACGGGATGGATCGCTAGTCGGGTGTGTAGAGCAACTGCTCTCTCCTGACAGAACCGTTTCGGGTCGGGGTTCCTCTCTTGAAGGCGGGTTCCTCTCTTGAAGGCGGGTTCCTCTCTTGAAGGCGGGTTCCTCTCTTGAAGGCGGGTTCCTCTCTTGAAGGCTTGAGACGGTGACGATTTTAGCCCTGTGGAGCCTCGTAGCAACAAGTCCGGACAGAAACCAGGACGAGGCTTGCTGAATACGACTTGCTTGGCGATCTGAATGCCGTGCTTTTCCAGGGTTCTGGGCTGTTTCGAGGCAGGGCAAGACCACGAAAATCAGCGACAAGTGGGAGAAGTGGGAAGTAGTTCAAGATGGAGAAGAAATGGGCCCCAAGTGTTGAATGCGGTTCGAGGTTTTGTCGAGTCAGGAAGACAATGGGCCTACGAAAGTACTAAGTACCTTGCGACTTATCGAAAACGGCGGCCGATTGGACAGAGGTGAGCGAAGGGACGGGTTTGGGAAGAGGCTCCCAGTGGGAGATGGCCCGGAAGAGGAGGGGTGTTGGTTACTTTTGGGTACGGCAAGAAAAGAAAAGCATCCGAAAGGTTGAAATGCATTTGAAATGTATGGGAAGAACACAAAAGTCAGTGCAGAAAGGGTCAAGGTCCCTGCTACACGTTTTGTCACTTCTGTGCGCCTGGTGGAATGCCTGAGTGGCCAAGAAACAAGGGGAACCATCACGTTAGGGCGAGACATGAGAAGTTGATGTCAGGATGCGCAGGGGGAACGGGTTTTCCAAGGGTCTGGGATAGCAATGATCTGCAGTCGGTAACTTACCATATATGCAGTACAGATTGTACCGTAATTCTTCCTCGTACATACAATCCCCCAACTGGCGATCTTCAACTATTGTGACAGCGTGCACGACTTGCCAAGGATTTGGTACCTCCTCCATGTTTATTTTTGAAATTCTATTCTAGTGTATATAAGCTTCAGCATGTCTATACACGTGTATAACTATAGTGGCATCGTATGAGACCGCAAGACCTTGCTTCCAGAAGCTCGAGGAATGCGAGTAAAACCTGTTGTTGCTGCTTACTGTGATACAGATTTTTGCTGTGGGATGGAAATGTTTGTGCGCCGATGGCCCCGATGGCTGAAAGCCGAGTGCTGGGTGGGGCAATCTTTGCGTCACTGTCGGCGCTGTCGTCATAGCCTTGGAACTTTCGGGGTCCAGATGCAGGTGGGGCTGAGGTGAAGCGTCAGTAAGTTTCAAAGCTCAGAAGGAAATAGTGTAGACAACGCTCTGCTACGTCCGTTACTAGTAGTCTTGGGTTGAGCTTTTCAGTTGTGAAATACCGTCTCAAGTAAATCGCTTGTCTTGTGGGAAAATGCGAGATTTCAGTCGATCGACTACCTACAAGATGGCGTTGTGAAGATCCTAGGGCATAGATTTCGGGTCAAGTCAGGGGCGATCACTCGCGAAACACCAAAACCGGAAGGAGTCTCCCAATCCCATCACCACCTCACTTCCTGGTATCTTACTATTTTACACAAAAACACAACATACAGCCGCCAAGGGCGATCCCGCAGGGCTCGGCGAAGTTCCTAAAGATTGTCTGAGACATGTTCTTGATCTTTGAGCCCTGAAGAGATTCCAGACCTCGACAGACCCGTCCATCAGGCAATACATACATACCATTCATGTACCGTGTAATACGTGTACACTACATACAGGGGTTCAAGAACGGAATCCGGCTTCATCGGTTGGGGCCTTGAAGTCCTGATCGGTTTGGAGAACCCACTTCCCCACTGTTCCAGCCACTGAAGAGTGTGGCCGTAGGGACGGGACTGCACTGGCACGGCACGGGACTTCGGGGCTCGGGCCAGAGTACCTCACCCCTCCATCCCTTGCATCTTAGCCTTGTGTGTCACTACACCAGTACATCATGTACTCTTGATCATGTTGAGGTCCGTAGTATGCTGTGTAATATCTTATCTGCATTCCACATTAAACGCATCCGTCTCTCAGTCTCCGCGGTTTTCGGGGTCAGCAGTCCGAGAAAGGTACCAAAATGATGTATGAGATCTGCTTGCGCGCGTGCGCACTTGGAAGGAACGCCGCGAATATTGAAGACTCCCATTTATTTCCTGACCGTATGCGTCTTTGTATCCGTGTAGCAGCGAGCCCTAGTTAAGCAGAGGCCATGTCTGTCCGCCGCTTGGAACGGGGTAACCTCGCATCTTGTCACCTATGCCGAAGCATATCTGCCCAGTGAAGCTGGAGGCAACGTCTCCTGGCGCAATATTCCGGCATCAGACAGCTGTGTCCTGTGCGGCAAGAGTAATAGCCAGTCCCTTCTGTTCTGTATATCTGTGTACGCTATAACCGGATATAGAGATCCAAGCAGTCGATCCGCCATTCTCTCCGGCCGAGGAGACTCCGCAGCCATTCCAGACCAAGCCCTGTCCACTCAACCTTGGTCCGCGCGATTTGCTCGGCCGCTGCTGTAGCCAGAGCTCCGGCAGTGGTGTTCGCCATGTCAACCATAACTCCCGCTACCGTGTCGTCGAGCCCGCCAGTCGCAGTGACGTTGGCGGCCTCGGGCCCCTTCCCAGGAATCGGCAGGTATACATAGCTCCCCGCAGGCCGCGACTGGAACCAGTTGTTCCCAAAGTCAAAAAAGCAACGGTCGGCCCAGTTGCATGATGTAAGAAAAAGTATGAGCAGGAGGAAGGAGCAGTAGAAGCAGGGCCGGTTCAGGAAGTAGGTGCAGACGAAGAAGAGGAATATGAAGGCTGGTGATGCGTTCGTGGGGATGAAGAGGAGCGGAAGCCAACTGCAATAGCAACAAGAGCCATGGTCAGTATTGCGCGCCATCGAGAGAAGACCCCGTGAGCCTTGGAGGAGCGCTGCTTACCTGCGAAGGCAAAACATGATTGCGATGCGTCCAGCTCGGCCGCACTTTGCGTGCTGGTCAGGCTTCCACAAAGAGCGGTCCGGCCGGAGAGCGGCGCCCGCAAATCACGATCGATCAGATCGGGCCAAGCCGACCGCCAGGCCGGAGACGGAAGAACAGATAGAGTCCGAGCAAGCGGCGTCGACGGCCTGGTGCGCACCACACTGCACGAACCCTATGATCGAGGACCAAATCGTCACGCGGAGACGGCGTGAGAGGGTATCAAGGATTGGGCGAGCGTGGATGATTGACTTCGTGGTTCTAGAATGCGTCAGGTAAGGCTGCTGTACCCCAAGCTGAGGGTTGCGTTCGATAAGTTCGAAATGGGATGAGTGGGCATTCAGTCGCGTCTTGGCTGATGAGAGGTTGGAGTTCCGCCAACCTGGAAGCATCCGATTGAGCACTGTAACCAAAAACCCATCAGCCAGTCGGCACACAACACTGCTTACTAATCCCGCAATGGAAATCGGGACTCGGGAGCCGGGATGAGGTTCAGGCTCTGGCACTGGGCAGCATTTGTGGGTCTACTCATACCGAGTACCTACTGAAGCGGATTGCGATTGATGAAGTGCAAAGGTTCGCCCGCGACCCAGATCGCCCTCAAACGACCTAAGGGCAAACCATCAAGAAGATTTCTAAGGTTATCTATCCACCTGAAGTCCATCATAAGATGGCAGCCCTCTTCTTCTGTTGGAATCGGCAGTCCTAAGCCTCACGGGAGCTACGGAGCATACTGTACATACCGGCACCGGGCCGAGGGCGGGTACACATGGAGCTAACTTTAACGCCAACCTTGGAAATGCTTCAGCCAACAGATGTTTCACACGATCACCTGAGTTTGCAAGTTCTGTCCGAATCATGCAATCCCAACAACGCTGGCAGCACTCCAACAAGTCTTCCAACTGCTATTGTAAAGACCAGCCCTGTTTTTTTCTTGCTGCATTGTCGGTATCATTTGTGTGCAAAGTACCCTTCGTCGTGCGTAGAAAAGCTCAATCCCCAGCCTTGTCGCGTGCCCCTGATTGGGCCGTCTCGGCTTCACCCCGCGCCTTGCAGCGCGCCACCAGGACGACACGTGTAGGCACTAACTAAAAGTGGCACGGGCCACACCACCCACCTACCCACTGATCCGCTGCTTCCCCAACCGCCTTGAAGGGAACCGACCGCAATAATTTTCACAACGCAAAACCAATACCTGCTCTACAACCTGCAAACTCGCCTCTCTTGGCCGACAGTCACTGCCTTTCCACTTGTATAGGCCCATGAGAGCAGCGCCGTTGCTGGTCGGGTTTTTGTGCACTTAGTACGAGGTGACCGATCGCCTGTTTGCCGGTCGACTTTTCTGCCGGGCAAGTTTATCTTAGTATTTTTCCGTTTTCCATTATTTTTCGCCATCAAGGTACTGTAAGTAGCTCCTCGCCCTTCCGCGTTTGTTACCGGCCATCATCAGCATCAAATCGCTTCTTCACTGCCTCCATCGATATCGAGCTTGCCTTTCTGACCATTGCCGCCTAGATCGCCCAGACCCATCGCATCCTTGGTTTCGAACAGCGGTTGCAGACGTCCGTCATGTCCAACTACGGCCTGCCTGGCGGCAGCGGCCAGGGCGACGGAGATGCAAATCCCAACTTTGAGTCCCTTCTCGCCCAGCTTCGCCTGCAATCGTCACCCAGCCCTGGCCCCGGCGCAAATTCCGGCCCTGACCTCGGCCAGTTCGGCTACAACCACAATGGCCAGCCTTTCTATGGCCACCACTCCAACGCCGACTCTCCCAACATGAGCAGCCACATGCAGAACACGTTGGATTCCCCCGCCTTCCTCCCTGAGGCTCCCACACCACCTGTCGGTTTCTCACATAGCCAATTTCCTCCCGGCATGATGAACCCGATTGGCGCTGGCCGCAGCGGCGCATCTGGACCGGGTGATGGCCGGACTGCCCATCTGCTGAACCTGCTCAAGTACAGCGGGCAAAACCCCCCTGCCAACTCTCACCAGTTATCATCGCGAGAACCCCCAATGAACTTCGCGCCAGCACCCATCGCTCCGCCCGTCATTCACGCCCCTGCCCCCGCAGCTGCTGACCCTACTGGCTTGCTCGCTGCCCTTATGAAGGGCACGCTGGCCGAGCCAGCCCAGCCAGAGGCGAGCTCGATATCTTCTTGGAACCAGGCTTCACCTCCATCGGGCACCCAGCAATATTTGCTGAACCTGCTCAATAGGCCAAAACCAAGCCAGCACGAGCCGGCGGATCCGTCCGAGTCCAACGTACTTACTCCGCCTCCCGTCGGGGAGGATTCGAAGGATGCCGGCAGCTCACATGGGGGCCGGTCGGCCGAGCCTACCTTGGTAGGCACCCTGGCCTCGCGATCCGAGTTCGACTTTGAGCCCAAAGACCTCGAGTCTCCTCCGCCAAAGTTTGACTCGGCGCCACATTCCCAGCACTCGCATTCGGGCGTGAAGCAGGGTGTTTTTGCTGGCTACCCTAACACCTTCGACGAGCTCTCGGGTTCGTCTCCTGTTTATCGGACACCAAAGTCTTCCACTACCCCGGGCGCTTCCAGCTCCATACTACCTGCCAGCCATGCCCCGGCGGGCCCGGTCCAGATCCTCAAGAAGCCAGAACCTGCGCAATCCAGTCCCGAGCATACGAAGGTCAAGCCTGACCATCATATTTCCCCAGTCTCCACAGCCAATGTCGTCATCCTTCCTCGCAGTGGCGTTTCTCCTTCGTCGCCTGCTCTTAAAACCGAGCCGGAAGAAGCCCCGGGAGCCCCCGAAGCCGAGGCTGATGATGCTGAAGTCAAGAAGCAGAGTGTTGCGGATGCTATCAACGGACTCGCGGAGCAGGCTAGCCGGGAAGCCACGGAGGCTTTGGCCCGTGCCGAGCAAGAGGAAGTGCATGGCGAACTTGACCAAGAACCAGAGGAGCATGCCTCGGGTGTCAGAGCGCAGGAGGAGCCGGCAGAACTGGCAGAGCCGGCTCAGACCGCGGGCGAAGCTGCCAATACTCTCGACACTGGTGATAACGCGCGAGTTCCTCCGTCCGCCGCGGCCGCCGAATCCAAGGACAGCGGAGACGAGGGGGCCCAATCTGTCCAGGGCCCCGTGGCCGACAGTTGGGAGAGCGCAGAGGCCGACGAGATAGTTGTCATCGAGGAAACGGCAGCCCCTGTCAAGGTGTATAATTTCCCCATGAAGCCCTGGATCACCATCAGTCTTCAAGAGACGGACGAAGCCCGTCCCGTATTCCGTGAGGAGGCTATCCTAGACATCGCTCGCCTGAAAAAGGACTTTGACCAGGTCGACCGGAACCTTGTCTCGGCTTCCGAGACATACATGGCTTATGGTATGTCCAAGGCGGGCGGTTTGCGGGTCATTAGGCAGGAAGATGGCAAAGATGCCAAACTGTTCACCGACACCAAGGACCGCATCTTCAACGTGGCCATCTCGTCGTCGCCTACTCACCATCACCCTAAGGAAGCCATCATTGGCACCGGAGTCAGCGGCACCGTCTACTGGGTTCAGCTCAAGAACGGCGATCGCGACCACCTGGAGGATGCGCACCCCGAACAATATGGCTTCGCCCTGCCGCCCATTTCCGCACAGGAGGGCGGTGATGCTCCCGGCGGGGTTCTCAAGACGAGGGCCCGCCCATCTTCGATGCATCCCGAGTTCTTCGCCGTCGGCAGGGGCAAGTCCATCAACATTGTCTGGCCCTCGTTCATCTTTGAGAATGATCTCTTCAAGAACGCAAATGACCGGGTTGTCGACACGGAACGGCTTTTGAAACAGTGCTCACTCAAAATCAACACGGGCAAGGCTGGCAAGGACTTCACCTTTAGCCAGGATGACACTCTTGTTGTTACCCTGGACAAATCTGGGCGAGTCAAGTTCTGGGACGTCCGGGATCTGACGGCGGTCAAGGAGGGGTCGGAGTCTTCAAACCCCATGCCCGCTCAAACCTCGCTCGAGATCAAAGAGCCGCTGATGACGCTAACCACAACGCCCGAGGGTGAGAAGGCGTGGCCCACGTCTGTGATGCTGCTGGATAAGTTCCGGCCGTACCAAAAGCGTGCCGCGCTGAGGTACATGATTGTGGGCATGAAACAGAATCACACTCTCCAGCTCTGGGATCTTGCGTTGGGCAAGCCGGTCCAGGAGTTCAACTTCCCACACAACAGGGAATCCGACGCTGTCTGCAGTGTTATGTACCATGCCCCATCCAGCATGATTGTCGTTGGGCATCCGACGCGCAACTCGATCTACTTCCTTCACCTCTCGGCGCCCAAGTACACCCTCAAGAATATATCTCAGGTGGACTATATTCAGCGTCTCGTCGCGCAGGACTCATCCATTCCCCAGCCTGAATCGACTGCCGTTATTAGCGGCATTCGCGAATACTCTTTCGCGAATAAAGGGGTGCTTCGCAGTCTCAACATCCTCGAGAACCCCGCCGCTTCGGGCGACGGTGACGAGCCCACACTGTTCGAGCTGTACGCCATGCATTCCAAGGGCGTGACCTGCTTGTTCGTCAAGCAAGCCGAGCTGGGTTGGACAAAGGACAACAAAGTCATTGCTCCTGCCGATGCCGTAGAGGTCGGGCTCGCCAAGATATCGAAGCTTGTCGCTCCGCCACCGCTCCAACCTGCTGAGGCGCAACACTCCAACGTCCAGAGCGATGCGAATGCAGCTCCTCAGATTCGTATCGCCGTGCGGGGCGGCAAGGACGCCATGCAGAAGACCACGTCGTCTCAGGGCGAGGACAGAAAGGCCCTAGAGTCAACGACGCCGCCCAAGGCTGAACACAAGGACGAGAACGAGGCGCCGATTCCGGCGCCCGAGAAGAACGAGAAAAAGGGCCGCAAGAAAAAGGCGGCAGCTGCGGCCGCCGCCGCTGCTGCTGCTGCTGCCAACTCAGACCATGTGGGCTCAAACGGCGTGGCTGCATCGCAGAACAAGGCCAACAAGTTTGCTTCTCGCAACAACGAAGCCGCCGACCACGCCGCAGGTAGAATTTTCGCTGACGTCCCGCTGGCGCCAAATTCGGTTTCTCAAGAGCACCTCGACGCTGTCGTCACCAAAATGGAGTCGCGCATCGTTGCCAATATTTCGAGTCGCTTTGACGCTGTCTTCAATGAGATTGTGAAGCAAATGCAAACCTTCCAGGAGAGCCGCGATTCCGCCTTTGCAAGCAACCAGTCGACCTTGCTGCAGATGGTGGCAGACGTACTCAACGACAATACCGAGGCTGTTTTGAAGAATCTGATCATAACGCAAATTAACAATCATGTCATTCCGTCGGTTCGCAGCACCATCGACAAATCAGTCTCCGATCAGCTGAGCGCGAAAGCAAATGCACAAGTGACTGCGGTCCAGAAAGAAGTACAGAGGCTCTTGCCCAGCGCCGTCAGCCAGGCCATGCAGAAGCCTGACATCATCAAGACCATCGTGGACAAAGTCTGCAACAACGTCAACGCCCACATAGAGGCCCAAATTGCCGCCTCTTTCAATGCTGTTGCGCCCGCGCTGGCCAAGACCGCAGCCCAAAGCATGCACCAGCGCATTTTGGATGACGTTAACGGCCGTGTCAGCGAGACATTTGAAAGGCTGAAGGAGCACCGTAGGGAAGAAGATGCCAAACTTGACCGGCTCATCGCCCAGACACAGGATCTTTCTAGTGCCATCTCGTCCTTGGCAGCTTCGCAGACTCAGCTCCAGAAAGATCTTGCTGCTCTGAAACAGCAGATGAGCGAGCAGGCCCGCGAGCGAGCATCTCTCAGTGAGTGCCATGTGCATGGGCATGCTCATTCTCGCGGTAGCGTTGGTTCCCACGGTATGCCGGCTCCAGCTCCCCGGGAGTTGGTCAACTATCCTCCTCAGCACCAGCACCAGTCTCCGACCTCGCATCCAGCTCCGGCGCAACCTTCATACCCACAGCAGCATCAGCATCAGCATCAGTTTGGTAATCAGGAGCAACAGGGAGGGTTTGTGGCGACCAGCCGCGAAGACCGTCAAAAGCTGGAGCTCAACAGCCTCATGGAGACAATTGATGGCTTGATGCGAAGCGGTAACTACGACGACGCTATGCTGCGCTGGCTGCAGGCAGGTGACAGGACCGAGGAAATCTTCCAGCAGGTGCTTTCCAACTACAATCCGATCTTTGTGCACGAGTTGCAACCTCTGCTCCTGCTCTCTGTTGGCGCCACCGTTTCGGTTGACTTGAATCGCAACACGCCGAAACTGGTTAAGAAGGTGAACCTTCTGGAGGTTGTGATTTATGCTTTCAACCAGAGTCTGGCATCTTTGGTATGTTTCCTACTCCTTAGCTATTCTTGTGAGAATCTTTGGGCGCTAACCACCGTGATTGCAACACAGGACGATCAAGTACGCGAGGTCACGCCCAAGATCATGACGCTCCTGAAGACGCGGACCGAGCAGCTCTTGCTGGACATCAGCCGTGTCGCGCCTCATGATCCCTCGTTGAAGACACTGTCCGGCATGAGCCAGCTTGCCGGGCGTATCGCCGAGAGTGTTCAGATGCGCCATGGACCCATGCATGCCGGCAGTCACCTGGGCGGTCCATACTAAACCCGGCCAATGGCAGGGTCGGGATAGGCGGATGGTGGCCACGACCACTTGGGACTTTTGAAACCGGGCGCGGTGGCTATTAAGACCCTGAGACTTTCATGCGGACATTGGGCGGCCGAAAGTGGCAGATGAATTTGGTTCAGGCGAGGATTCCTCCGCACCGTACCGCCAACCTCAGGAGGTGGGAGAACGCGGCGCTCGCATTGGGATAGAGCGCTCCTGCATCGTTTCGAAGGTTTCCTATCTCTCCCTCTCTTCTTCTCTCGTTTCTCCTTTTCCTAGGCGGCTGCCTATGTCCGAGGTAATCCTGCCTCAGTAACAGGAAGATGGCAGCCGTCTCTACTCGGGGGGTAAAGTCCAGTTGTGGTACTGGAAGTTAATGGCACGAAATAACGATACGAAGATGGCGCCTATGTTGTGAATGATCATGTAAAGATATAATGTATGGCTGAACGGCGGATAGGGTGCATTTTCAGGTCCACAGTTCATACCAAGTTGTCAAGTATGTGACCATGCAAATTCCCTCGAGCTTGTACATTGCATCAGTGAGAATGGGACTTGGGCCAACAGAAACTCACCACGAGGCGTCCTATGAGTGCTTTCTAGAGTGCATTTGGCTGTGGGATGGTGGAGGGAACCACTGCGTTGATGTCAAAAATGGGCCTGGTTGCGGTGAGGGCCGGTGTTATGAACATCGCCCTCCCAAAGCTTGAATGGTGTGTATCTCTGGGTAAACATGGACGTTCCTCCTGGTAGGACGAAGGTACCGGTACTGTAGGTGAACCTGCCGAGGAACCAGTAATCTTTGCCTGGGACGGCGACGGCTCAGCTGCGGGTCTGACGCGGAGGAGGGCCGGCGGGGCCGAGCCAGTCCGCCTTCTGTCCGCTGACTGCATCTACCGCCAAACGGTTCAGGCCTCGAGAACAATAGTTCATTGTATGGATGGGCATGCAGCTGACGCCACCCGGGTTTTGTGCGGTCTTCCAGGGGCCCAGCCGTCTCGGGTCATACATACCTTCATTTGGCCGTTAAGCCAAGCGCCAGTACATCTAGGCAGATGATGCGGATGGGCGGTCCATGCGGCGCGGAGTGGCTTGAGAATAGAACTCTGGCGGTATCCCAGGCCTTGCGTCTTGCCAAGCGGTACAGTCCTGGCATGGGGTTCAGCGGGGGAACGAACTGTGAGAGCATTCCATTTATGAACCCTTGAGTACCTGGTACGCATAGACTTACACTAGACAGGCATGACGCTCCGATAGAGAAAAAAAGAAAAAGAAAGAAAAGGGTGAAAACACAAAGAAAGGTACCGAACTGAGTAGTATGCTACAGGGCTAGTTATGCAAGGCAGCCACCGTCATCCTACGGTCCTGGACCACTTGGTCTCTGCCTGGGTTCATGCCTAGGTCAAAGTCCTAGCATTGTAGCCGCCGCCAGCGGTGACACCCAGGGATGAGGATAAGTGCAAGTTGCCAGCATCAAAGAAGCGACAAGATTCTCCGAGGTGTCACAGTCACTCCTCATCTCTCTGATTATTCGAATACATCAGCCATCAAAGCTGACACCGGTCCCACCCTTTCCGTTTACCTTTCCCATTGTTTACTGCATTCGCATTTTCACCCCTTTACTATATTTAACAGATCCAATTTGCCAGGCCCTGGGCTGCGTGTACTTGCACATACACCAGGATGTCCCCAATTAGCAGGGCCGTGTCGGAGAAGCTGTGGAAGTGGCAGTACAAGCTACAGCACCTTGGCGAAACCGGAGAGAAAACTCTCTCCGACTTCTCGTCGTCTGACTCAGCCATCGGTGGAAACGACCCTAAAGGTCCACATGGGGAGAAGAAGAAAACAAACAGAAAGAACGGTGAACCACCCCAGGGTCTCGCATCATCTGCTGCCGGATCCAACAAGAACGGCGAGCACGGTGCCACGGCCTCGGTCAAGACGTTCTACGAAGGGCCCGACTCGCGCGAAGGCGTATACAGGTGGGTTGATTACCCGCCAAAGCAGCTGAGAAAGAGCGCGGCAAAGGCCCACAACCGAGTTGCCATCCATGTCTTCAAGGTGAAGAACACGGAGAAGCCCGTCATCTCGGGTCGCTTCAGTCTTCGGTACCACATGGTCGAAGTCCAGAATCCCTTGCTGGTGGCCGCCCTCGCAGAGATTCTTAAGGAGCAAGATATCCACCTCGATCCCGGGGAGAACGCAAGCTTCAAGTACCCCTTCCAGGAGCTCTACTTTAGCTACGACGACATTGTGGCCAAACACCGCGCCTTGGGTGATACGGATCCCAGCCATCCACTGATGCCTTTCTTGCGCTTGTTCATTGCCTTGCTCGACGACATCTTCGCAGATACACGGGCCAAGCTGAAGGCTCTTCAAGCTGATGGCCTGGTGTCGTTCAAACTCGCCTGGGCCTTCTTCCCCAAGAACACAACAGTTATCTCGTGGGGCAACAACTGCGAGCTCCTTTCCAGGGTGACGGGTACCACATACCAGACCCTGGGCAGCCGTGCGATGGGCTTGACGATTCAGTGCGAGATGCTCCGGTTCGACGGCAGCAACTTCCTATGGGATGACTACTCGATCAGCATCCCTGCCTTTGGCGGAAACCGGCCCATTACCGAGCTGGCGGCCCACCCGCTTGAGTTTCACGACTCTGCCGAGGATGTCCGGGCGAGACTGACGAGCCGTGGGAGAAAAGCCTTGGACTATCAGGGGCTAGCTTATGCCAGCTACAGCGGCATCGCCGTCGATATGCAGTCTGGAGGAAAGCACAATGTTGACGGCAGGGTCCTCATCGACGTGGCTGGCTACAACAGGCACCATTTGGCTCAGGGGTCCCGCGAAAACAACGACCCGCAGACCAAGAAGAGGCGGTTGGTCATAGATGTCGACGACGACGAAACGACGGTCGCCGCATCAACCTCTGCCGAAACCACAGCCGCCACTACAGGCACCAGGCGTGTCAGCCCAGCGGCCCAGGAGCGCAACAAGCAGATCCTGTTGGCAAAAGATGCCGAGCAGCCGCTGCTCATGTTCATGCTTCCCCTGATCGACGGGTACGCGCTCACAAACAAGCGCTGGCTCTCCTTCTTTGTCGAAGACATCAAGCCTGTGACCTGGAACGACCAGGCATATGATCACCTAGTCTACGACGAACAGAGGAAGGACCTTGTCATGTCCTTTGTCGAGAGCCATAGTGGCATCCGAAGCGGCACCTCGGGTCCAGGAGAACAGGGGCCGAGCAAAGTAATGGAGGATGTCATTGCTGGAAAAGGTGTGTGCTTGACAGTTTAGCTACTGTTGTTTTGTATGTTGTCAAGTACTAACAGTTTGGCATCCAGGGCAGGGCTTGATCATACTCCTCAGCGGGCCTCCAGGAACTGGCAAGACGCTCATGGCAGAAGCCGTGGCAGACCGCACGCAGCGGCCGCTGTTCCATCTCCAGGCCGAAGACCTCGGTATCAACGCGGCCGTTCTTGGGGTCAACATTAAGAAGGTGTTCCAGATGGCAACCGACTGGAACGCTGTCATCTTGCTTGACGAGGCAGATGTCTTCATGGCTGAGCGACACCCTCAGGACATTGCCCGCAATGAACTCGTCTCCATCTTTTTGCGTGAGCTCGAATACTTTCGCGGCATCATTTTCCTGACCACCAACCTGTACAGCACCATCGATTCGGCGTTCCGCAGCCGCATCAGCCTGCATCTGCTCTTTAATCCACTCACGCCCGAAGCACGCATGCTCGTCTGGGAAAAATTCCTGGACCGACTATCGCCCCGACAACCCAAGTCATCCGCAGACCCCGAGAGACCAGTGGCTCTGGAGAACGGGCAAGGAAAGGATGGTTCTGCCGAAAGTGGTGAAGCAGAAGGGGACGGTAACTTGCTAACCAGCAAAGACATCAAGGAACTCGCAACGTGGCAGCTGAACGGGCGGGAGATTAAGACGGCCGTGAAGATGACAAAGACTTGGTGCGACCACAAGGGATACCCGCTCACTCTGGCAAGAATCGAAAACGGAATCAAGGTGACCAGCCCTCATGCGAGCAAGTGCAACCAGGAGAATGATACGTCGCTCTACGACGAATGATCGGGGCAGTGGGTGCCAGTTTCCGAGCACTTACACGGGCAGTTTAGGTTGACCTGTGCATGCGAACAAGTTGAGCTCAACTGCAGAATGGGAAGATGTATTGGAAGTGCGGGAGTGTGTGTCAACGACCATCAATAGGACCATCTGACCATGATAAACGTCAGGAACGGAAGAGTTGACCTTGCCATCAATGTTCTGACTGACCGGCGACGTGATAGGCATATCCGGATCCCTTGAAGTTAGGATAACCTGCATGGGCACTAACGGCAATTGGACGGCGCGGGAAAGCAATACGAGGTCATGGCTTGGCACCCATCCATCAGATGCATTTGTCGGTCCACGGGGGCACCAAGATAGAAATCAACAATGTCTATAAGTTCAAGTGTAAAGTATACTAAATGCTGCCATCCATGCCACATGCAGCTCAAGGTCCCGTCAAGCCTCGCAGATAGTACGATCAGACCCTCGTCTCAACTCCACTAACGCCGACGAAGATATGGTGAAAAGCCTGATCCCATCCATCATTGCCGTGCTGTCAGTTCTCTGGGGCCAAGCCGGTGGCAGGAGCTGTGATGCGAAACCGAAGTGTTGGAAGGACGTGCTGGGGCTCCAGTGGACAGTCCAAGGCTTCGACTACCATGCCCAGTACACCTTTACCAACCCAGCACATCAGAACTCTTGGGGCTACGTGAATTTCAACGTCTCGAACAACGTTGTCCCCTACACTGCCGTGTGCGGAGCTTCCAGCAGCCAGCTCACCGACTTCTTCTATGGAACCATGGACTATACCTGCACCCTCCCTGCCACTGCCCCGATCGGCTCCACCGTCAAGTTCCGCTTCAGTCGTCCAGCAGGCCAGCTTGACTGAAGAAACTGTTGTGTGCGAGGGGAAGAAGCCTGAGACGAGGTAAGACTGCTGAGCTCAATATCTTCCCACAAGTTCTTAGTTGAGTCCAGAGATAGAAGGAAGCTGGCTGGTCTCATATTCCCCCGTGCTGAACTTTGCCCGCTCTCTTTTTCCTTGCCCCCTTTCTTACCTGTCCTTGGATATGATTAGCTGACTGAATAGCAGGCGAACATTTGTCGCATCTGGATCGACCAGTTTTACACTCAGCTGCACCGACACAACAAACGTGACCGAGAACTGGACGCCAGGGCAGATCTACAGCAGCCGTGAAGTCAAATGCACCCCTATTGATATTACCGTTTTGCTACGCCAAGTTGTCGGCTAGGTGTAACCTGCGAACTTCCCAGACCACTGACTAGAGCGAGGGAGGTTATGTACAACCTGAAAGGGGCAAGAGTGGCAACCTAGGGTATGCACTGCAGCCAGTGAAATTCCATTGTACCCAATGGTTGTGCGCAGCAGAAGCAATAGAAATAGGACATAGTTGCCTATACAACTTGATACAGGCGCTGATTCACGTTGATAGCCCTGCTTTAGATTATAAAGTCCATGTACTGAAAAAGTTCTTCGCTTGTATGTTGTAGCAATGTAAAGAGGCTTCCACCTTATACTACTCATGAGCTCTTGTACCTATCTCAATCTCCTCGCTTATTGTAGCAGCCTGGAGTATCAGGCCTGGGAAGGGCCGCA